TCGTACAGCTACTCAGCTCAAAGGTAGGAGTTGCGCCAAGAAGAGTTATGCCGAAGCGCCGAGATTAGCGTGGGACAAAACTTTTGTGAGGCACCTCCGTATCATCATTCTTATTATTCAAAAAGACCCGCTCGCCTCCCTCCTCTGTGCCTCGCTCTCCACCGCTGCCACGGCCGCCGCCGCTAATACTTCCTGCCCCCCCCCCGGTCACGACTAGCCCTAGCTCCCTCGCCCGGCGCACCACCACCACCATCACCACAACAACTCCCACTACCTCTACCACCACCACCACCACACCCACCAACCCCCTCCTCCTCCTCATCTTCCTCCTCCTCCTCTTCCTCCTCCACCCTACCGCCACCGCTCGCTCCTCGTCGTCTCCCGCCTGCTCCTCCGCCTCCGCCTTGTCCGCGGGTTCCCTCGTCCATCTCCCCCGTCCACTTCCCCCGTCCATCGCCCTCGTCCGCCTCTGCGTCCGCCTCCGCCTCCACCGCCAGTCGGTCGCTTCTCTTGCGCCCCCCCCATCGCTGCCGTTACTCAGCTCGCCTTCGCTCTCGCCCGACGCTGCATCCATCCTCGATTCGCTCGCCCTCGCCGCTGCAACCCGCGCCACGCCCTGTTGGCACACGCCCGTCGCCCTCCTATCACTCCCGCACGCGTCGCTGCTCTCCCCTCTGCGCTCCCACGGCTACTTAACTGTATCCTGACCCCCATCCATACCACCATCTTTGCGCCATTTTCCAAATCCACCCGCCATGGCCCAACAACAACAAAACGGCGAGCCCGTAATGCGCAGGTGCGTACCAGTCCATCTTTTTTCCCTCGCCTTTCCCACCTCCTCCCTCCTTCCCGCGTCCAACCGCGCCATGTTTGCTCGGCCTTTTTTTTCTTCCTTTTTTTCCCTCCCTCCTTCCCCGCCCGATTCTGCTGTCAGCCGCCCTCCTGCTGCTCCAGCCTTGACATGCGTCAATAGTATGGCCTGTTGCACCTCGGCGTTTGCGTCACAGCTTGCATTGGCGCACCCGGTCCGACACTCGCCCGACTAAAAATAGTCCATCTTACAGCATCCCCATGTCCACTTTTTATCGACCGCGCTCAATTCTTCCTGCTTTTGGCCAGCTTACATTATGAAACTGATTTTCTTGGACACTTGTTTCCCGCCATGCATGCTTCAACGGCACCATGCCGCCATCCTAGTACACGCCGCTGATCTTATGACCCTCTAGGAAACTAGTCATTATTGGAGACGGTGCTTGCGGCAAGACCAGTCTGCTCAGCGTCTTTACCCTAGGTTACTTTCCAACGGTATGTCGCCTTCTACCACCCAAGACACGCCTCTGCTGACATTGCTGCCCAGCGATATGTCCCAACCGTCTTTGAAAACTACGTCACCGACTGCAGAGTAGACGGCAAGTCGGTACAACTGGCCCTCTGGGATACCGCTGGACAAGAAGACTACGAGCGCCTGCGCCCACTGGCCTACAGCAAAGCACATGTCATTCTCATTGGCTTTTCGGTCGACTCGCCCGATTCCCTCGACAACGTCAAGCACAAGTGGGCCGAAGAGGCGCGCGAACGCTGCCCAACCGTTCCCATTATCCTCGTCGGCCTAAAAAAGGATCTCCGCGATGACCCGCTAGCCCAGGAAGAAATGCGCAAGAAATCCCTCCGCTTCACCACGACCAAGCAGGGCGCTGACATGAAGGAAATGATTGGCGCCCGCAAATACCTCGAGTGCAGTTCGCTAACGGGCGACGGCGTTGACGATGTCTTTGAAGCCGCAACCCGCGCTGCTCTCCTGTCGGTCGACAAGAAGGAGAATCCTGGATGTGGCTGCGTCGTGCTATAGAAGCCCATCCATTCGCCTTGCAAGCAACCTTTTTTCCACCATAAAATAAGCATTGGGCGGAGTACACATGGAGTCTATATATATATATGTATGCAACGGGGGGGGGAAATGGTTTGCCCCCAACCCCCCAAGCTTTTTTCTTTCTTTCTTTCTTTCTTTCTTTCTTTCTTTCTTTCTTTCTTTCTTTCTTTCTTTCTTTCCTACTTTCTTACTTTGTCCCCCCCCCCCACTTCCCCGGGCGTTTTTTTTTACACTTTCTTTTCTCTTAAATCTTTGTTTTCTGAGCGCCTTGTTCTTGCATTGCTTGTCCTGGGCCCTGTTTTTTTTTCGAAAAACGTTTCTGTTTCTGTTTTTCCCTGGAAAATGGGAAAGACTGGAAAGATGAAGAAGATTCAGAAGAAGAAGATGATGAAGAAGATGATGAAGAAGAAGAAGGAGAAGAAGAAGAATGAACAAAGGATTCGGATGGAAAGAATAGCATTCACACGGGTCGTCTGCGCATTTTGCATGCTTTTGCCCTCCTCCCGTGAGATTTAGTAGTATCTTGCTTGGCATTTCATGTCAGTATGTCTGTCTATCTGTATAGATATGTCTATATATCTGCATATAACCATGTCTGCGTATCCATCTGCGCCCATCCCATGTTCTCTTCTCATCTTCATTGTACGCTGCTTGGTTCGGTTCAGCTACTCACTCGCCAATTGAGTCTAAATATCAAGTCTACATGTACATTTCTCATACACACACCGCCATGCTTCTCCAACCCAACATGAACCTCACTCCCGCCTCCACCCCTCATTCCACCCATCCCGAGGCGGAAAATCTACAAGCAACCGCCCATATTCCACCGGCACACTACCCCACACTCCGCGCTTCAACATGGCACTGCGGTAAAGCCTGCCAACCTCCCTCCCCTTGTTCCCTAGCCTGCCGGCATCAGGGCCCTGGCCCCCGGCTTCACTCGCGGATACCAGGTTGCCGTGGGTATCCATCAGACGCAGGTGCTCGCATGCAGCGCGCATGGCGGCGTATTGGCGCTCCAGACTGCGTTCGGCGGCCGCGCGGCGCTTGCGCTGGAAGAGCAGCCATGCGCGGTGGATGGTCCAGTGGCGGAGGGCGCGGGTGCGCGAGAAGTGCAGCGGGCGCGGCGTGAGCGGGTGAGAGAGGTGGTAGCGGATCGAAGCTTTTGGTCTTGTTAGTTTTCTACATTGATTTACCGGTGGCGTGCTTGGTTGCATGCACGCACATCAAGGACAAGGCAAGCAAGAATGTATGCGGGGAAGAAGAGAATAACCTACTTATCCTGGGATCATTGCCAGGTCCCTTTTTCGCTCGCTTCTGCATTTGCGCCGTCGACGAGAACGGCGCTGTTCTTATCCGATTGCTAGGTGCCATCTTTTCTACGCTTCGAATGCTGCTGTTGTTGTTGTTGTTGTTGTGCCAATGGCTCGGCCTCGCTCGCGGTATCCATGGCGCGGGGCACGCTCGAAATACGGGTCTAAATGCGGAGAGATTCATCGTGCGATATGTGTGTGTGTGTGTGTGCGGGGACGGGTTCAATGGCGAGGGACAAACGAGTTTTGGTCATGCGGCGGCGGCGGCTTGAGTTGGGGAAATTCCGACATGCACATGGAGATGCAGGGATCATGGGGTGCCAAGAGGGGCTAGTGCCGACGTCCATGGCTTTGTATACATTCCTACAAGTATACTACTGCTAATCTACCTTTTTCCATCTTAAACTTCCACTAGTCTCAATAAATCATACCTTCCGTCTCACCAAACCCCGGAAAAAATCAAAACTGTTACTATCACTCTGCAGCGTCACCATCCTGCCCGTCGGCCGATCCTCCCAGCCCAGCTCCTCTGCAAGCAACAAGCCCCAGTCACGCGTGATGCCCTTAATCTTGGCCTTGACGCCACCCTCACTCTCGAGCGTGACAATCTGATCCGCGTGCAGCCAATTGTCGTAGTAGTCGCCCTCCATGTCGCGGTTGAAGCCCGTCTGGCAAAACGTCGAGTAGAGCGTTTCAAAGTGCGCGAGAATGGAAGCAAGCAGCTTTTCCGGGGTAAAGGCTTTGAGGGGCGGGTTTTGGCTGGATGCAAGGAGGTTGAGGGAGGTGGTGGGTAGAGCGTTGGACAGATTCAAACCAATGCCCGTGACAATGTCGTACGAAGAGCCGCAGTAGCCGCTGTTGACTAGGATGCCGCCGATTTTCACGACAGGGTTATTGGCGGAGCCTGGGAGCTGCGCGTAAATGTCATTTGGCCATTTGAGCTTAACGGGAATCGTTTCGTAGCCCGGTGCATAGCCTTTGATGCCCTGGATAATGGCGAGCGCTGCGAGATACTGGATGAAGATCACAGGCGCGCTTTGGCTGAGCGAAAAGGAGTGATGCAGGACGGTAGAGAACATCAGCCCGCCGCGGGGTGCAACCCAGACATTGTTGCCTCGACCGCGACCTGCAATCTGCGTGGTTGCAGTCATGGTGAAGCCGTTTGGTAAATGTCGCAGCAACGACGCATTCTTCTCGAGCAGCGTGTTTGTAGACGTGACGACTTCGCCATACAGAAGATGTTTGCCAAACGAAGCATTTGGGTTGCGCAGCTTGTTGTGGTAGTGATGTAGATTGGCATAGTAGGCCTCGTGGTGGAAAGGCGTATCCTTTATCGACGGGAGAGCCTTCTCGTGTGGTACAATAATCTTGACAATCTTCTCGTATTCAAAAATCTGGTCCGCATCGGTGTTGGCCGTGTACTCGATGCAATCTTGAAACTCCTCTTCTTTCGTCTTTGGCTTCTTGTCTGCTTTCTCTTTGTCGTCTGTCGTGCCTAGTATGGGCAATTTCTCCGAGACAGCGCTCACAGCGCGCTTCAGCTCCTTGACGCTCCAGGCGCTTCCCTCCTTGTCCATACGAAACACGTCATTCTCGCCTTTGATGTACTCGTCTCCATCAATCACAGTAAAGATTTCAGACCAGCCTGCAATGAGCTCCGAGACGTCTGCCAGGCTATGAGCAGTGAGATGCAGGCGGGAAAGGGACGGTACCGCTTGTTCCTTCTCGTTAACATGCAAGCCCAGTTTCTCGAGGACTAATCGCATAAAGGCGACTCTGGTAGCGTCGGTGGCGGTGATATCTTCAATCAGTGTTGCATAGCTCGGCAAGCCTGGTACCTTGCTGAGATTTTGGGGTGCGAATCTGTACAGTCAGCGAATGAATGCGATGAATAAAAGCAAACCTACTCTGGATGTGGACCGGTAACCACAGCATGGCCTTCACCAACCTTTCGATATACCACAGCAGCTTTGCTGTCCCCTGAATCGACATGCAAATCTTCCGTGTAGCTGGCTAGGATCTGCACGCCTCGACTCTCGAGCTTTTTTGCATCGACAAACACACCCCCTCCGTTGTAGTAGCTTTTGAAAGTATCGGCAATATCCCCGCTTTCAAAAGCTTCCTTGTGAATCTTGATGTCGGCTGCCCGCGCACCAGCCTCGCTCGCATACTTGAACCCCGCAAAAGCCAGTCCTCGACAGGTGCCTGGAAAAAAGCCCAGTTCGCGGTCGCCTTGGACTGCCATGTTAGGGTCGTCGAGTTCAAACTCACACTTTGCACTGCCATAGTAACCGCCTGCGCAGAAGCCGAGGTACGAGCCGCCCGCATTCACATAGCGGCTGATGCGCCTGTTTCCCTCGCCATTGAGCGTACGACAATAGCCCATGTCGGCGCCTCCAGGAAAAACTAGCAGGGCGCAGGTGCTGAACCACGGCTCGCTGATAATGGCATCGCCAGTCACAGGTATGACGGCATAGGAAGGAGACAGAAGACGCCGCAAGGTGTACAGGCAGTTGCGGACCGACTCGCTGGTGCTGCCATGGCCTGTAGCACATCAGCGTCTCTTCGTCTCTCCGTCAACTGTTATACCTGAATAAACCAGGACATTCATCTTCTTCGATGCCATGATGCTTGGAGTGACGTTGACTAGCGGACCGAGTTTGTCCGAGCGTCTTCAGGCAACGTCTGGGCGGTTCCTCGACCCAACACCACAATTCTGCTTCCAAGCTCTTCAAAATGACCAAGGATGACAAGGCAGGCGTCGCAGCGGCACAGCTGATGATTGACGATGAACCCGACGACTGGTGGGAGCAATTGCGAGCTCAGAGAGAGCAAGCTGACAATGGCAGGGACAAGCGCATCTACAGCACCGGCTGTGCAGGTAAATCGAGGCGATGAGAGGCGATGAGAGGATGATTGACGCTGGTATAGATGAAAACGCGAAATTGACAGACTGCTACTATGACAAAAAGGACTGGCGAGCGTGCAAGCAGGAGGTGAGTCCAGGGCAGCTCTAGGCCGGAAGCCGAGACAAGCCGATCGTCACAGCAGCAGAACGCGACTAACATGCGCCTAGATGGAAATATTCCGTCAATGCTGGGAGCGGCATGGAAACGACAAGCGGACCAGCTCCAAGAATGCTTAGCAATCACATCCACTTGCGATGCGTGGCTAGGCCACATTAAGTGTATTGGATGCTCCATGTCTAGGTCGATGTAGAACTACTTGATAGCATGCCTGTGCACGCCGCCCAACATTCCTGTTTTACCATTATTGCCTTGTGCTGATCTTTGATCACAATACTCATAACTCATAACAAACAATCGTCCAACGCATCTACTTGCGCTCGTAGATTGGAGGCACGACCGTCGGGTGAAAGGGCCGCGTGGCGGCATCGGCCTTTTGCTTGTCAAAACTCCACACGCCATTCGTCTGCGAGTCGTTGATGCTCTCGCCAATCTTGCCGGCCAGCTGCTCAAACAGCCGAAACTCTGTGGCGCGCGAGAAGAACTTGCGCTCCCACTCGCGGCCCTCGTCCTTTTCCTGCTGCCTCATCTCTCGCTGGCGCGTCTCGATAATCGTCTTTTCGGCCGACGTCAACTCCATGTTGCCCTGGTTGATGGCGCCCGAGACCTTTTTCCATGCCCGCCGCGTCTCAAAGTGGTCCTGGTCCTCAATCTCGGCAACCGTGAGGGGTGTGGTGCTGGTGCACTTGTGGTCAAATGTGTCTACAACCGTCTTGGTCTTGGCCTCCTTGATCTGGAACGACTCGTTCCATTGTCCGTCGGCCTTGTAGATGACGTCCTTTTCCTTGCCCTCGGGGTAGAGCACCGCGGAAAAGGTGTTCTTCTTTCCCGACACCCAGCCTCTTCCGCTGTAGTCGATGCGTGCAGTGTACCCCGTCGACGACTGGATGTATGTGCTGCTGTTGAGCTCCACGTACGGCGAGCCGGTGATGAGGCCTTCAATGTGGAGCGAGGGGAGCGTGATCAGGTAGCTCTCGTTGAAGCCGTCGAGATGGAGCATGGCATGGCCAATTTGCTATCGCCTGTTAGCCTGGGCAGGCGCATGCAGCGCCGGACGCACCTTGACGTTGATGGTCGTCTTGAACGAGGCCTTTTGCGCATTGTAGCCCTCGAGGCGGACGCCGTGCTTGTCGTTCCAGATGGCGTACGCAGTGACTGGGGGATGGTGGCTGGCGCGGTGTTAGCACATGGATCCAAGGCCTGGGTAATTGACTGGCGGCGCTGCTCCGGAGCCACTGAGATTTGCACGTACCTGACCTGCTCGCTCACGAGGTTGGTCGTGCCGGCCTCGTCCTCCCACTTGCCCAGAAAGAGCTCGCCCAAAAAGGGGTTCAGGGGCTTCTTTTCGCTGCCCAGCTTCTCCGAGCGACTCGCATACTGCTGCTTGAGCGTCGTCAGGAACCACTTCATGACCAGCATGGCCCGTTTGGCAGGGTCCTGTTCGGCGGCCGGGGCAACAAAGACGGAGGGGTGCTCGGTCCAGTACGACGAGAACTCGGTGAGCGACTTTGTCGAGAGAATAAAGGCGGGCGCCGTCATGGTCGAGAGGTCGCCATTGAAAGACGCAATCGACTGCGCGGGGGGTTAATACTCGTTGCCTTGACAGCCAAGCACGGCGTGCCAACTCTCGCCGTACCTTGAGGAAGCTCGACCACGAGCTTTTTGCCTGCGGCGGCACAGCAGCGCCTTCTTTGTCGGCCATGTTGGTGGGTGGAATGTGTGTCGAGGAGGGTGGGCGTCTAGCGGCCTTTGACGGGGCTGCTGGGCATATGTACAAGTGCAAGTAGGGGCGCGAGAAAAGCGGGGGGTGCCGTGTTATGGCGACGGCGCGGCGACGGGGAGGCGCAGGCACAGGCACAGGCGCGGTGCATGGGGGATGACGTCTGCGAGCCAAACAGGACGCGCAACATCGCCCTGGCCACTACCGCGCCGGGTCGACAAGCTGCCGTGCCATTGCCGCCGCCGCCGCCACCACCACCACCACCACCAAAAAAAGTCCGGTAAGAAAAAAAAAAGAAGATACATACAACAGCGAGGATTCGCCAGTGGTCACCCACCTGGCTACTAGCTCGCCGGAAAACCGTTTAACGAATGAAGAGCGGACGGGTTTCTGTTTAATCGGACGTCCTATGGTCGTATGTAGCAGAAAAAGTCGGTTTTTAGCCTATAGATCACATCCTACGTTGGAAAGAACTCAAGACTGCCTGTTGGTTTAGGTGTAGCACTTTTTTTAGTGACATAACGTACCCCACGGCTTCGCGAGCCACACGGGTTCGCGAGCCACTTTTGCCAAGCCCTCACCAAAACCAGTACATTATGTCCTAAAACAGCCCAACTTTAGCCAATATAGTGCAATAAAATACAAAATGCTATTTAGAGACTACTTCTGCTACATTCTTACAAGTTCGCGCGTTATGCCCAGTCCTATTGCACTATCCACACCGCCGTTGAGACGGTTCACCCACTTCAGCGCGCTTCTGCTTCTTTAACTTCTTCCCATCACTACGCACCCTAAAGTCCTAGAGAGCAGTTAAGCGCGCCCCATCTTCAACTATCAAGGTCCCCTCCGCCTGAACCCGCTTTCTTTTATGCGATTTTCGTCGCATTGCGGCCTTATTTGCTGCTTTAAGCTTAGCGATCTCCTTTTGCGCCAACACTAGCTTGTGCGCGATAATCGCTGCCCCCTTTGAGACCTTTTTAAAGGCCTCTACAATAGACGTTGGCGAACTATTCGTATGCCTCTAAATCCTCTGCTTTACTAGCGTCGATTGCGACCCTAATTCTAGGGTATTGCTAGGCGTTTGCGACACCCAGGGCTGGTTGTCGATAGGTAGGGGTGATGGAGTGCGTAGCTTGATATTAAGCGTTGATATGACCCGTTCTGGGTCAAATGGGACCAATCCAGCGCCTCGAAACCCTCCTTGGACATTGCTAGCTGTAAATGAGGCGTTAAAAGCCCGCTTAAAGCAAGATAGGAACTCTTGTTTGGTGATGTGGCTGATCTGGCTGCGCATGAGCGATTCGACTTGGCGCCCATAGGCCTGCTTTAAAGGGGCAAAACAGCCCACATCAAGAGGCTGCAAGAGGTGGGACGAGTGCGGAGGCATGCAAATAGTGATAATACCCTGATCTTTGCAGTACTTTTGGAAATCTAGCGAGTTATAGCTCTCATGGCCGTCAATAATAAGTAGGCGGTAGATACCAACCTTCTTTGTCTTTGTATGCTTATTAAAGTGCTTTAGCCACGCAAGACTAAGCTCATTGGTCGTCCAGCCGTTCTTAGAGACTCCAATAACCCAGTTCTGGGGTATATCGCCGTCCTTATACCAGCTTGAGAGGTGGTGGCGCGCCTTGAGTATAATGAAGGGCGGAATCGTCCACCCGGTCGCATTGATGCCCTGGATGACTGTTGCCCACTCTCTATTGCCAGGCTGGATAGTCTTTGGTCGTCCACGTCTCTCTGAAGCTGTAACAACAGCTCCAGGGGCAATCTGGCCCATCATAAAGCCGGTCTCGTCAAAGTTGTACGTGTCGTCGTCTATAATACCATACTTGGCTTTCATGCGGGCTACTAGGTCAAACCAGGCCTGGATGGTCTTAGGATTCTCACAGAGGGCTCTCTTATAGTCGTACTTGCGATTAAAACGCGTCACAAGCTCAGATTGACGTTTGACGAAGGTACTAGGCCAGTTTTGGCTAACCTGGTCTAGATTACGCTCAGCGCGCAAGGAATTAGCTATATTAGCCACGTCTGTGAGCTAAGGGGGAAATCCACGCGTAACTAGCTCAAGTATATGCTTAACAATCACGTCCTCTTCAAACTTAGTTAGATTCCTTGTTTTTGGCCAGCGATCTGCCTATGAAGGTCGTCCGTCGCGTCTTTGGCTTAGTGTTGTTCGATCTACGTTATAGATAGCTGCAGCGCGTCGTAGAGAGAGAGTCGTATCTTGTTTAAGAGCTTGAAGAGCAAGCTGTATCTAACATTCACTAGAGGGCTGTAACTGCTGTTGTTGTTGCGACATTAGGGTGGGGTAGTAGTTTTGGTGAGGGCTTGGCAAAAGTGGCTCGCGAACCCGTGTGGCTCGCGAAGCCGTGGGGTACGTTACATGCCGGCTTGACATACGAATCATGATGCAATACATGTCGTCGCGTGCCGCACTCACGCATCCGCACGAATAAGCGTCACTCACGGCAAAATGGTCCAGGCGCCAACTTGCACATGTATTGCGTTGCTATTCGATGCAATATTCATATCATCGTGTTTGTTCGTCATTCATGCTCATTACTCGACATTCCTCTCCACCATCACTCTCACACACTCACGCCTATGTCTTGACGTCAGGCTCCGTGCGCCCAATGTACTCCTGCAGCTTCAGGAGGTCAGTCGCAAGCTTGACATTGTCCTTGAGGTAGTCCTGGGCGTCGAGCTCGTATGTCGACTCGTCGCTCGTGTGCTTCTCAATGTACAGGCGGATCGTGGCGCCGCTGCTTCCCGTACCCGAAAGTCGCACGACGATGCGGCTGCCGTCGTCAAACTTGACGTAGATACCCTGGTTCTTGCTGACGCTGCCGTCCAGATCCGTGTACGAAAAGTCGTCCGCCTCAACCACCTTGCGGCCGGCAACGGTTGAGCCGAGGAACTCGTCCTTTTTGGTGGTAATGAGCTCCTTCATGTGGCTGGTCACCTTGTTGGCACCCTCCGTCTCGCAGCCCTCGTAGTCGTAGCGCGTGAAAAAGGTACGTCCATACGTCTTCCAAAAGTCCATCTGGACCGACGCAATGCTGGGCGTGGTGCCAGTCTGCTGGCCAACACCCGCCAGGATGTTGAGCCAGGCAACAACCGCCCACAGACCGTCCTTTTCGCGGATGTGGTTGCTGCCTGTTCCGAAACTCTCCTCACCGCAAATGTTCATCTTGTTGGAGTCGAAGAGACCGCAGAAGAACTTCCAGCCAGTAGGCACCTCGTAGCACGAGACGCCCTTCTTCTTGGCGACCAGGTCAATCGCGCCAGACGTGGGCATACTGCGCGCAAGACCGTAGATGCCCTGCTTCTTAAAGTATGGGATGAGCTCGGCGTGGTGGGCAATAATGGCCAGACTGTCGCCGGGAGACACAAACGACTTGGCGCCATAGATCATGTTGCGGTCACCGTCGCCGTCACTGGCGGCGCCAAAGTGGATGCCGTTCTTGTCGACGGCATCGACCAGCGACTTTGCATAGACCAGGTTGGGGTCGGGGTGGTGACCGCCAAAGTCTGGCTTGGGGACGCAGTTTTGTGTGCTGTTGGGGATGCCGAGCTCCTTCTCAAAGATGTCGACACCGTACGAGCCTGTAACGCCGCTCAGGCCGTCAAAGAGGACCTTGAAGTCCTGGTGCTGCTTGAGGAACGACTTGATCAGGTCAAAGTCGAAAATGTCCTTGAGCATCTTGAGGTAGTCCTCGGTGGAGTGGACAATCTCCACCTCGAGCTCTCCATACTTTTGTGTGCCAATTGTGCTGAGGTCGACGTCGGGGATGTCGGCAATCTTGTATGAGGTGAGCGTCTTGGAGGTTTCGTAGATCTTGTTGGTGACGCTCTCGGGCGCGGGGGCACCGTTGGCCAGGTTGTACTTGATGCCAAAGTCTTCTTCGGGGCCTGCAAGATGTCAGGTGATGGAGCCAGTTGCTTGCTGCAGCTACTTACCACCAGGGTTGTGGCTGGCAGTCAGGAGGATACCGCCCGTTGCCTTTCGGATTCGGATGAGATGGCTGGCCGCGGGCGTGCTCATGATGCCATTCTGGCCGATCAGCAGCTTCTTGACACCGTACGCAGCACCAATCTTGGCAATGGCCTGGGTGACTTCAGGGTTCCAGTAGCGGCCATCACCGCCCACGACGAGGAACGAGCCCTCGACACCCTCGGGGATGGACTGGAGGATGCTGGCGACAAACGACTCTGAGTAGTGCTCCTGCTGGAAGACCTTGACCTTCTTGCGGAGGCCAGAACTGCAGCATCGCCGTTAGCTAGTGCAGGCCATGGGCGAGCTATCCAAGCTTGCTTCTATACGTACGTGCCGGGCTTCTGGTCCTGGAAAGGCTTGAGTTCGACAGTCCGGACGCTCATGATGGCTATGCGGATGCTGCTTCAATCAATGCAAGCAAGGAGTGAAGCAATTGAGAGAAGGGTTGGGGACGGTGATGGTAGCAGCACCAGCAGGCGACTTTTAGGCCACTGGGGTGAGGGGCAGCTCGTCGCCCCCACCACGCGGGATGACGCCGAAGCTAGCTCATCTCAGAACACCACAACGCCACGCTGGGCTATCATCACCAAGTTCTGCCCTTGTCCGCTCCCAACACTTGCCTCTGACTCGCGCTAGAGCTGCAGTCGTGGTCGACAAGAAAAAATCCTCGTCGCAGCCCCCTCAACACCTGCACCACCACGCCCGCCGTTCCAACCACCACCGCCACCGCCTGCCGAGCCCCGCTTCTGCATTGTCGTGCCGTTGCCGTTGCCCCAGACGACATCGCCATCGCCATTGCCATCGACATGGGCATCCAGGGGCTCACCCGGCATCTGGAGCCGTATGCGACGCGGCTCTCATCCGACCAGCTCGACGGTTATGCGGGCGTAGTCGACGGGCCCGCCCTCGCCTACCACGCTCACAAACTGGCCCTGGCCGCTGCTGCTAGCGCGTCGCGAATGCCATCGTATGCAGACATCACCGCCCAAGCCCTGTGCTGGCTGCGTGCTCTGGAATCCAGCAACATCAAGGTGTGAGTGAACCGCCATTGCTTTTCGTCCCCGGCCGGTGTGCACAGCAAAAGTCGATACCGTGCCCGTGAGCAGTCCACCAAGACCAATAAGGTGCGCACATATGTCGTTGGATTCACCGCCATTCGCCCAGGCTCGGTCGGCCTCTCCAGTACATCGTCAAGTGTCCGTCTGGCTATCGGTGCAAGCTCGGCTCCAGCGGATCTCCGCTTTGCTTGGCCTGTCCAGTCTCTGCATCAACATCCAGTGCTGATTGCACGTTGCTAGGGCGGCCATCTTCTTCGACGGGGCCCTTCCTCCATCCAAGCGGACAGAGAGATTGTCGAGGACCGAGCAGAATAACAGGCGTGTGCAGCAGCTTCGTGCAAGTTATGCAACAGCCGCATGCCCGGTTCCCACGTACCTGGGCTCGATAGCCTATGCCTTCCTTGCCCCAGCACTGCAAGAGGCCTTGCAGACCTCGCCTTTTGCTTCGAGGACGCACATTGTTTCTGGAGAGGCAGACGACTGGTGTGCACTACATGCCAAGGAGAATGCGCAATCCATCATCTTCACCAGTGACACAGATCTCGTCCTCTACGACTATTGTCCAGATACGCTGATAGTCTTTTTGCATCATGCCGACGTGTCGACCGGTATCCAGGCCTACTCTCCCAATGAAATTCGAAACCAGCTGCAGCTAAAGAGCCTGCTACCCTTTGCATTCGCTCTCCTGGAAGGTCCACAGGTGGGCGCGAACAAACTAGCCCACAAAGCTAGGGCTGTAGACAAAAGCTCTTCGCAGTACCTTGAATTTAGCAAACGATATGTTGCCAACGCTGGTACCAATACTTCGTCCAATCTGCCCAAGCTGGACGTTCGGATATCGGAATTTGTCCATCAAGCCTTGGAAAAGGTCGAAACTCCTTTTGTGTACATGCCTTTACTGATGGAAGAGCCCGGCCAAGCATCGGCATGGAATGCGGGTTGCGACGTGCGCACGTTGGGATACTCGTTGCTAGCATCTGACAAGATGGTTGTTCACGAATACAGACGAAAAGCGCAAATCGTCGCTGTGCAAGAAGTTGTTACATACTCGCACGCACATCTGCTGGTTCCTATCAAAGACCTTGAGCGACAAGTTGGTACCCTAATGAACTGGGCTGCTTCCAGAGCTATCGACACTACCCTACTTTGGCCTCTCTTTGCCCTTAGTCTGGTTCTGGGAGAGTTGAAAAGCACTCCTCCAGTTTCTTTGGTGCTCCGCGTAATCAACGGAGATTTTGACAACTCCTGGGCGTTTGTACAGTTCATGGCTCGCTTACAATCAGCTCTTTATTCGCTCCGCATGTTCAGTCAGATAACAAAAGTATGTCTTGCAGTCAAGCCAAAAGCAGACCCAAAGCTCCGTGATTGTTTAGTCAGCTTGGACCAACACATGCACACTCTCCCTTCTATATCCAACGGGTTTGGCGTGCCAGGACAAACGAAGCGAGTTTTGGCAGACCACGAAAAGCTGAGGGCATTGGTTGAGGAAATATATGTATCCGCTGGTGTTGAAGTACCCACGGAGCAAATCTCGAACAAGAAGAAGAAGCGCCAGACAAGAGAGGCGGAGAGGAAGAAGAAAAAGGCCGAACAGAGACAGCAGCCCAAGCCGCACATTATCAACGCCTATAGCCTGCTTGGTGACATTCAGAGCTAGAGACAAAAACACTAAGAAGCAGTGCCCTGTCGCTTTCCTCACCGCATGTGTTCCTCGTATACGTCTGCGCTTACTTCTGCACCCAAAACTCAATCTCCTGCAACTGTCTCCCGACCCGCAACGCAGATGGTAGAGGGAAAAAGGCAAACTTATTCACCATTTCGACCTTGACTAGGCGAGCACAGAGCTGTTTTTGCCTGATGCACGCATCGCACGCTGTCGTCATATCCCCCATCTCACGCGTCCCTGGGTACTTCGACCGGTTGATAATGGTCTTGTTGGCACAACACTGACTTGCAACGCCTTTTTCTTGCAGTCGGAGCAGTTTTCCCCATTCGTAGACATGATTATAGGTAGAGAGGTAATCAGCATCGAAATTTTTCGTCATCCGCGTCGCAAGGCTGTCTCCGCGCTCGTCGTCGAATGCAAGTGGGGAAAAGCGGTGCTGCACGGGATTCCAGTAAACGACACCGATGGCTGGGGCTAGTTTTCCCTGGATGAGTTGTGGGGTTTGGATGCGCAGTGAGGGTTTCACTTCCTTTGCTGGGGTTATAGGCTGATTAGACAGGATTCTCGGGTGTTTCAATGAACGCATACCAGTGTGACTGCGCAGTGTATACTTTACGCGTTTCTGTCCGGCCGTATCGGACGCAGCCTCAGCCGTCCGTTTTCTTGTGACTGAAACCTCTGGTGGATCCAACGGCCGCAGGCAATCTCTTTTAAGCCCTTTGATCGCGTCAGCAACTATTCTTCAGCGCTATATCAATTCCTCACGTGTCTGAGTGCCAGAACTGCTCTTCTGCCTCGTATCCAGTGCGCCACCGCCGTCTTCGCTCGCCGTCTCCCCATCTCTCGCAATGGCATCGAGAAGCGTAGACGCGACGTCTTCAAGCCCGCGCCGCGTAAATTCCCGATGAATTATGTCTGCGACTAGCTTCTCCAACGCTTCATCGCCCATGCTCTGGGGCAGGCTTCTGCGCGCATCTGAGAAGCGCTCGTTGTTGGATAGCATGAGCAGCGCTTCCAGGTATGTGTTTTTTTGCTCGGCCATGGCGCGTAGGTATCGAAGGGTTTGAGAGGGAGAGAGGGGAGTGTGCACAGTGTGAATGAATGGGCGATCGCGCTAGTGGGACGCGAGCAAACGCATTGTACTGGGTCTTGGGAGTCGGCGTAGACAGTGTTATGTAGCAGTTCTATATCATCGACGAGCGTAATGAGAAGTGCCATGTCGTTGGATATGGATTCGCTGTAGTTGGCTACTGAAGATTTCAAACTCGGACACACAGCTACAGTACATATTTCGACTTTGATAGCTTCACATGCAATGGTACCATCTGGACACTGTTTCTATCCAACAGCGCTGCTTTGTTCGCCATCGTGCGCATTGCCTTTTTCGTATCGTGCCCAGCTTCTCTTGAACTCATGAATATAGCGGAATTGAATCATCACCAGGGCTTCTATTATGTTGATTGCAAGTGAGAAATGAAAGCGAATAGACTACTCGAAGTCACAGATGGCGCTGGAGGGCGGGTAGATGGGAAGAAGACGCAGACCTCAAGCTCAACTATCTAGCTTTCAAAGTGCTTCTATGGAGTTGCGGAGTGACACTCCCTATATTCCAGCACAGGGACAGCGGTAAGGAACGGCCAGTTGTGGTTATCCAATCGCATATTCGAAGAAATGGAGGTGGAGCAGTAGTCTGGGGGACATCGTTTCTTTCTCCTATCGACTTTCGACGACCCGATACATCTACACTTCATATCATACTTGTTACGTACTTGTCTAACATCACGCTTCAGCGTCTTCTTGAACGAGCCTGGAAATGTGTATGAACGTGGGATATTGCTGCATTCGACCGTATGTGTCCAATGTATCTATGCACAGCGAAAGAACATTTCTAAGGTAATCGCGCTACACCATATCACTTCGCCGACCCAGTACATTAGCATCGCCCATGTTCTCTCCGTATGAAATCCCTGGACCATGCACGCGGCCTATTTTGACCTGGCAAACCTCAAGTTCGCTGCGTTCTCACCAGCCCAAGTTCGGCTGCGCAACGAAATCATACACAAAGACTTGCGCCAGCAACGGATCTGTCTCGTTCTACTCGGCTTGATCAGCACCAGCAGCAGCAGTAATCCAGCGGAAAAGGCCCTGCCCCCCCCCCAAAAAAAGGGGGGGCTGACGGGTGCAACAAAAGAAAAAAAAACGTACCTTCAACCGATCATGCCCAGGATCAAGATCAAAAGTTTTCTTCGCAGCTTCATCCTATCCACGCGTTAAATCCATGCATGCATGCATGCATGTATGCATCCAACACCACGCATACATACCTTGAAAACCACCACAAACCCCGTATCCCAGCCATCCTCCCTCTTCACATCGGTCAAATCCAACGGGGTATTCAACGGGCGTCCACCCGTCGGCTCCTGCAGCAGTAACTCCCTATTCGCCGCATAGAGCGCCAGAAAGGCGGCTGTGCGGTCGCCCTTTTGCGCGGCCGTCACCGTGTCGCGGAAGCGGAATGTCGCGATGCGCGTTATCGGGGATGAGGGCGATGAGGGGGGGAGCGTGGATGCCGTCATGGTGGGTGTGAGGAGTGGGAGGAAGGGCAGAGAGAGGCGGAGCGGGAAGTGCATTTGCGAGGGTAGGACGGCAGCAGAGGGAGGGAGGGGGGTAAGCGCTGGGTTTTTGAGTGTCGCGAGCGTGTGTGATTGGAGGTCATGCAGGCGCGGATATGTATTGCATGGGTGGATTGGGAGTTGGGGTAGGACGCGGGTGGAGAGCCGATATGTGTGCATGTCGGGTGCACGGCGAGAGAAACATTGGTGGTTTTTTTGGTGTTATTGTTTTTTTGGTCTATCTATGCTATATGAATTGAAGTACTTCCATCGTGTGAAATGTCGTGCATGGTCGTGGTGCTGCTGCGCGTCGAAAGGAAAAGAAAAGAAACCCTCCATCCTTCTACTCATCATGATCGTGGTGCTCGTCGTGGTGTATAGGGTATAACGTAGTCGCAAAACGCAAAAAAAAAAAAAAAAAAAAAAAACACCGGTCTCCAAGAACGAAACCCCAAAATCGCAAACGCCCAAAATAAAAACCGAACGCCGAAAACCGAAAAACCGACAACCGAAAACCGAAAACCGAAAGTCCAAACCACCAAGTCCAAACCTAAATCTAAAATACAGGAATCAAGTCTCAAATACAAATCCACAACGGAAGAGACCAAAAGTCATGAATGCACCAAGCAGCTCGGATTTAGTGAAGAAGATTTTAGAGTGTGCGTTGCCGCAACCAAAAAAATATTCCTCACTAAATACGAGCTCCTTGGTACAAAGATGACTGAAAAAAGAAGAAAGGGAAAAAAAAGAAAGGAAAGGGAAGAAAGAAAGACATCAACGCAGAACATACATGAAAGCGCGAACAAGGTATGACAGCAATATAAACTCCCCAGACATTACCCGACCCCATGAAAACAACGAAAACAACGAAAACAGGAGGATGGGAGGGAAAAGTAAAGGAAAAGAAACAGATGAGAAAATGGTACAAAGGATATGATGAAAGGAGGTGGAACAAAAGACGAGCAGCAGCACCGACGACCTAGACATTGTTAGCTGAATTGCAGGCACTACATGGCCGTCTCATTGAAGCCACCAGTGCGCTTCATCTTCTTTGTCAGGCCTCCAGCCTCGTCGTCACGACCGCGCTTGCCCAGAGAAACCTTGCGAGCACGTCGAGACATCGGCTCGGACGGCCCAAACATTTGGGTATGCACCAAATCGACCATGGCGTAAGCGCGAGTGATGCGAGGGGACCGACGCAGCAGGGAGGTTTGGGAGGCGGGGGCCCTCGTCTTGCGAGGAACGCTAAGCAACTTCTTGGGGTCGACCATGAGGCGGTTGGCGAACTCTGGCTGGGTCGCGGGGTTGGATTCGTCCGAGTACTGCGTGTCTTGCGTGGAGTTGTTGAACCGAGAGGACTGGGTGGACGGGGTGGACGGTGTGGACGGTGTGGATTGGGTGCTGTCCTCGGTGTCGGTGACAATGATGGTCGGAATGCAGTGAGCGTCTGGAGGAGTGTTGGAGGCATGTTTGACGTTGACAGCGTTGTTCTTAAAGTTGGGGACGTTGGTCTCATAGTTGACAGCGTTGTTCTCGTAGTTGACAGCCTTGATCCTGGAGTTGCCAGCCTCGTTGATGTTGGCAGCGTTGTTCTCGGAGTTGACATCCTTGTTCATGGAGTTGCGAGCGATGTTCTCATAGTCGACAGCCTGGATGTTGACATCGTTGTTCTCGTAGTTGACACCGCTGTTCTCAAAGTCGGCAGTGTTGTTCTCGTAGCTGGCATCCTTGTTTCCGCAGTCGACAGTGTTCTTGAAGTTGACATCCTCGTCCTCAGAGATGCGAGCCCTGTTCTCGAAGTTGACAGTGTCCTCCAAGTCGACAGTGGTGTTCTCGTAGTTGACATGCTTGTTGTTGGTGTTGGGAGCGTTGTTCACAAAGTTGACATCCTTGCTCATGATGTTGACAGCCTTCATGAAGCTGACAGCCTTGTCCTTTGTGATGCGAGGCTTATTCTTGGAGATGCGGGCCTTGGTCTCAAAGTTGACAACCTTGTTGAGGTTGACAGCGTTGTTCTTGACGTTGCGAGCCTTGTTCTCGGAGTTGACGGCTTTGTTGTTGAAATCGGCAGCGTTGTTCTCGTAGACGATATCCTCATTGTTGCAGTTGACACCATTGCCCTCGTAGTTGGCAGTGTTGTTCTCGTGGTCGAAAGCATTGTTCTCGGAGTTGCGCGCGTTGTTGTTGAAGTTGACAGCGTTGTTCTCGGAGCTGACAGTGTTCTCGTAGTTGACATCCTCGTGGTGGACGTTGACAGCGTTGTCCTTAGACATGGCGACACCGTCAGTGTTGAGCGCGACATGGATTTTGGTCTCGGGCGCATCATCCAACGCGATACCAGAGTCGTGCTCCTCAAAAGCAGCAAAAGACTCGTTGAAGGAGGCGTTGTCGGCAGGCGCAGTCTCAGAGGCAGACTCCTCAGTCTTGTTGTCGACCATGAGCTCGTCCTGCGACACCGGGCCCTCGGGCTCTTCCTTGACCGGCGGAATCATGGACTGGAACGAGGCCGAGTCGGGGCTCCACGAGAAAGACGTGTGAACATCTCGAGGAGGGCCGTTGACAAAGGGACGATCGCGAACATAGGGTCCGAACGGCAATGCACCCAAAGCCTGGTGAAGAACACTCTGCGGCTCATGGTAGACAGTCTCGGGCGCATTGTTGAACAAGTCGTTGGTGTTGGGCGCATAGAAGGACTGATAGGTGTTGCGGGGGCCTCCGAAGCGCGTCTCGTCAGGAGCAGGCGCAGACCTAGAAATGACAGTCTGGAGCTTTGCGAAATGCGCCTTTCCCTTGAGGAAGGCCATGGAATGGCGGAGGCGACGGCCGGCCTGCAAGTCAGTCGCGCGGTCGGGGTCGAGCGGCTTGAAGGGTATGGAAGACTGATGCAGGTTCTTGTGGACTTGTCTAGCTATCTTCTTGAGACAGTCGAACTCGAGGTGGTTGTCGCCACCCTCCTTCTTGACGACGTTGAACAGGCTGAAGACGAATTGCTTCGGATTCATCGTGGTGACCCAGACAGCTGGAACAAGTCAGTAGTGCGAGAGCCGGGAAAAGGGGTATCGACATACTTTGCCGAGACATGGTGGATGGTCGATGTGGATCGTTGAAGAGTTGGAGATGAAGAGTATGATGTGTAAATGGAATGTGGATAGAATGTGAATGGAATTTAGATGGATGATGGGTGGAAGATGGATGGAATGTGGTTGAGATTGAGTGGTTGAGTGTACGTGTGTAAGGTCGCGTGTGGTTGAACCGGGTGAGTTGGAAAAAAAAGTGCGAGAGAAAGGCTTTGTAGGGGCGGGGGGGGTAGCCGGTGTGGGTCAGAGCGCAGGTGCTCTCACTATAGTGTTGAAATCTCCCATGCGAGCGCCGGCCGTCTCTTTCACTGCGCCAAAACAGGTAATCCCCACATGCAGAAACCGGCTTCTAGTCCTCCTGACACACCAGAATCTCTTCTCTATCCCCGTATAGGCCTCGCGTACTCTTTTTGCTGCGGCGATAACTTGGTGTTTTGCGGGATGCTGGGTCACGTGGGCTAGCATTCACTGGCTGACGTGCGGGCTCGAGCACCATCCCTCCAATCAAAAGCATGGTGAATCACATAATTGCGGCCAATACGTCAACCGTAGTACACGCCTGCGCAGCATTAGCCCGTACCAAAGTTGCGATATCGCTCCAAACCAACCTACCGCAGCCGTGCCCAATCCCAGCCATGCGCAGCAGGTTATTGCAGAGCCGTAGCAGCATTCATAGCCCAGTATATCTGTAGACGTGATCATGTCCTATTTCCTCGCATGTTGGCCTTTTTCTTTGACGCAATTCCATTGTTGCCGCACAATGACTGCCTAGCCAGGCGTTTGAAGTGCACGTTACCCTCGCAACGCAGACCCACGTGCTGTACAGTGCTAGCTGTGACTTTGCTGCCACCTGCATGCGTCTGTTCGTCTTGACGTCTTCGCCCGCCGCTGCACAAGAACCTCTCGCCGCAATCCCATACCACAGTGCTGCCTCCGCTCACGAACCTCTTGCACCGCCCGGACGACTCGATTTTTTGCATTTCCGCCGCGTTCTGGATACCGTGATACTGACGCAAGTCTGATACAAGCAGGATGAGGATGTTCACCCAGAGGAGCGCCGTGGGTGAGAAGACGCCGTGGACGCAGCGCAAGGCTGTAGGCAGCAGCAGCAGTAGTGGCAGTCACGCCGACGGATCCGGAAAGAGCACCTCGCAAGGCCGACGACAGCACTCCTCTCAACAAAGCTCGTACGAGAGCCAAGAGCTCTTCCACAGCAGCAATTCTCACCAGGAGGTGTCTGATGCACTGGATGAAGCGCAGGACCATGGCGAAGTCATGTACTCGCGCTTCCTATCCCAGCATCACGAGCCTGAAACCGAGACTGCATCCTCCTTCTCAGACGACCCGGCCTTTTCAGACGACGAGTACCCAGATGCGCTCGATACCTGGGAACAAGTCTCGCAGGTAGCACACTCCCCCCAGGCGTATACCGCTGTCTTCCCTCTCACTAACACATACATGCAGTCTCTCTCACCCGCCTACAACTTCCCTGGCACATGGACAGCCGCGCTGCACGACACCACAGCGGCGCTCTCGCAGGTGCGGAACGCCACATCGTCATATGCGCAAGCGCTGTGCACGTCTGGACTCGGCAGGGCGACGTTGAGCATTGGCGCCGCAGCCCTGCACTCGACCAACAACTACGCGCTCTCGCTGGCCGAATGGTCCTTGTCCAAAACAGGTCTTGTGCCCAACGAGTTGCCCGCCCCGGTACGCGCGTGGGTTGCGCGCAGACAGGAGGGCGATAGGAGGAGGCGGGAGGCGAGGATCCGCAGGCACAACTTGAGGCATTTCCAGGAGGCGAGCAATGGCCTGTTTATCGAGGGTAGTTCGAGATTTGTGATTGATTTGCATGACACGGATGCGAGCGGTGAGTTTTTGGATAGCGTGCCTATGACGTTGGAGAGGAGGGAAGAGGTCGAGTCTGGGGACGTGGAGTACGAGGATCCTTTTGAGTTGGGAGACGAAGACGACGAAGACGACGGTGAAGACGATGAAGAGAGCGAAGAAGAAAGCGTGGAAGATAGTGTCAAAAGTGTGGATGACGAGGCAAGCGATGGGGAAAAACAGAATGACGGACTGGTCCGACTATTCGAGTTTGATGATTAAACATGGCGGGAACAAGATGCTTCAACTCTGAAAATAAATGAAGAATATATTCGTGATATCTTGCATCAGTAGAGACAGCGTCCAAAGTGATGACATGGCCAGCATCCACTGTCAAATCTTACAACAAACTTACATCATACAATCGTGAAAATTACCGCAACAAAAAACCTACAACTTCTCCTTCTCCAGACCCTTCCAGCCCCATTCTTGCGCAATCAGCTCAGCTGCGCGCTCGCCAATGCCCAAAACAGTCAACATGGGGTTGATGGTGGGCATCTCGGGGAAGACACCAGCATCGGCAATTCGGACGCCCTGGAGGCCACGGACCTTGAGTTCAGGGTCGACAACCGCCTTTTCGTCCTTCTTGACGTCGCCCATCTTGGTGGTGCCGGCAGGGTGGTACACCGTGTGGGCCACGCGGCGGCCGTACTCGGAAAGCTCCTCGTCAGAGGTAATCTTGGGGCCAGGAGCAACCTCGCGCTTGATCCAGTTGGAAAAGGGGGCTTGCTTGGCGACTTCACGCGCCGCCTTGAGACCGGCGACAATGGTGGCGGCGTCGTAGCCTTCGGGGTCGGTAAAGTAGCGGAAGTCAAGGGCAGGCTTGACATTGGGGTCGGCAGAGGTGAGGTAGAGGCGGCCGCGAGAGCGGGGGCGGGGAATGTTGGGTGTCATGCAGAACGCATCAATAGGAGAGTCGTAGCCCAAACTATCGCCATGTCAGAAATCGCCCACTCGACAGACTAATCATCACTTACCGAGCAGTGTTCAGGCAAAAGGGAATCTGGTAGCAGTGCATCATAATGTCAACAACCTCGCCATCGTCGCCAGCCGCGTTGGGCGCCTCGCGTCGCAGGAAGATGCCCGCGTCAGAGTCTTGGGTGGTCTGGTTCGCGGGGACGGGCTTGTTGAGTTCCCAGATAATGATACTCTCTGGGTGGTCGAGCAGGTTCTCGCCAACACCGGGCAAGTCCTTGACGACGGGGATGCCAAGGTCAGAGAGCTGTTGCTTGGGGCCGAGACCAGACAGGAGCATCAGGCGTGGAGTGTCGACGGCACCGGCACAGAGAATGGTCTCGCACTTTGGGCTGATGATGCGCTTCTCACCGTTCTGCAGGGTGAGGCTGACGCCAGTGGCCTTGTCGCCAGAGACATTGATCTTGCTGACCCACGCGTTGGTGAGGACAGTCAGGTTGTCGCGAGTCTCGTCGCCGCGGAGGATGGGGTGAATGTAGGCTACACTAGCGCTGCTTCGGCGGCCGTCGTCGGGGTTGTACGAGACGGAGAAGAAGCCGACAGAGGGCTCGAGGGCACCCTTTGTCTTGATCTCATGGTTGAAGTCGTGGATCACGGGAATGTTCATCGAGGTAGAACACGACTCGACCCAGTCGAGGCAGAGCTGGTTGCGGTGCTTCTCGTGCACGGGCTGGACAGTGTTGCGGAGGTTGTCAAGCACGCGCATAAACGTCTTGAAGCTCCAGCCGCGGCAGCCCTGGGCCTCCCACCGCCTGCAGTCGTACTCAAACGGCCTAAAGGAGATGAGTGTGTTGTGCGAGGAGCAGCCGCCAAGGACCTTTGCACGCGAGTGTCGGATGTGCGAGTTGCCATTGGGCTGCTCAGTGGTGCCGTAGTCGTAGTCGAGCTCGCCGCCGAGCAGATTGAGCCAGTCCTTGAGGAGCAGGACCCGGTCGTCCATGAAGTCGCTTGGGCCAGCCTCGACTAGGAGGACTTTTTTGTTGGGCAGGTACTCGGTGAGGCGCGAGGCAATGACACAGCCGGCTGTGCCGCCGCCGACAACGACAAAGTCGTAGTCGGCATCCTGGGGGATGGATGTCACAGTCTCAAAGGCCATTGTTGCGTATGGGATGGGGAGAGGAGAGGGCGGGCTGGGTCTCACAGCGGCTGTTCACGTCGACGCAAGTTTATATGCATGCGGACTATCGCGCGAACGGGGTCAGAGTCGTCTGCACGGACCGCGTGTCGCGATCGGGTGGTCGGCAGACAGTCGGACAGCAAAAGCGAGTCGAGTGGTGAGGCTGGGCGGGCGCAGAGTCGTGGTGCCGCTGCAGGATGTGTAGTTTGCCTTCCAGATAAGACTGGGCTAATAGGCCCGTTTGCGACAGGACCGGGTCGTAGCACGTGCTCCCGCACGCCAGCCAGCCTGGGGCGCGATGACGCCGGCCAAGCGCGGGCGGCTCAATGCGGCCGTGGGCGATGGCGAGCTGGAGATGCGGCATGAATTGAGGCTGGGCCGTGATGGAAAAGGGCCTTTTTCGCAAGAGTCCATGGCGGAGCGTGTGTGGTCGTGACGGGAGGTGCAGTGCGAAAAAAGCGAGGTCGAGGCGGCGATGATGACATGCCCGGATGCGGCCTAGCCGACCCCGCCGGGCTGCATGTTCCGACTGCCAGACCCCTGCTCCAGACACGCCGCGCCTTGCCCGATTGCGCGGCGGTGAGGCCGGCAGCCACCCGGCAACGCGTATTCTGCCGGGCGTGCGAAGCTCAGGCAGGAGTGAGCTGAGCAGAGGCAGGCGCATCCCGCTGCAAACCGATGCCCATGCCTATCCAGCACCAGCTCGCAGCGCTCGCGCCACCTGGTCTTGCTCCCGGCGACGACCCGACGTCGATTCTTTGCTCGCTGCGCCCAGAAAGGAAGACAAACCGCATCGCCTGCATCCCGCCGCGCCCCAGGGCCCTGCCTGACTTTTTCCAATCCATTTCCCTTCTTCTTCGTCTTCTTCTCCGCCGCGTGACAGGCAGTGGCTGGTCAAGACTCGACTGCCGCTGAGCACCTACTAAACCACCGTCCACGTCGCTCCACTGCACCCATCCCGCTCTCTTCGTCATGTCTCTCCCATATGCGCCACGTGCCGCCTACTACGACGGCAAGATCCAACCCGCCTCGTCTTCGTCTACCTTCGACACAATTGATCCCGCAACCGCCCAGTCTCTTGCAACCGTCCACGCAACCACAGCGGCTGGCGTCGATGCTGCCGTAGCCTCTGCGCAAAAGGCCTTCCCCGCCTGGTCGGCCACGCCCCCCATAGAGCGCGCTCGCATTCTGCAGCGAGCCGTGGCCCTGCTTCGCGCCCGCAACGACGAACTGGCCAAGATCGAGACGAGCGACACGGGCAAGCCCTTTTCCGAGACGTCGACGGTCGACATAGCCACGGGCGCCGATGTCCTCGAGTTCTACGCCAACCTCGTCGGAGGCGGCGGCATGAACGGCGAGACAACAATGCTACGCCCGGATGCATGGGTCTACACAAGCAAGAACTCGCTGGGCGTGTGCGCGGGCATCGGCGCATGGAACTACCCCATCCAGATTGCGCTCTGGAAGTCCGCACCCTGCCTGGCCGCCGGAAACTGCATGGTCTACAAGCCATCCGAGTTCACGCCTCTGCACTCGACGGTGCTAGCAGAGATTTACGCAGAGGCCGGAGTGCCCTCGGGCGTTTTCAACGTCGTCCAGGGCGCTGGTGACGTAGGTGGATACCTCACCAAGCACCCTGGCATTGCCAAGGTCAGCTTTACCGGCCAGGTAGCGACCGGCAAAAAAGTCGCGGGTAGTGCCGCCAACGAGATGAAATACGTGACCATGGAGCTCGGCGGAAAGTCTGCATTCATCGTTCTCCCAGACGCCGATGTCGACCAAGCAGCCGATGGCGCCATACTGGCCAACTTTTTTTCCACCGGACAAGTCTGCACCAACGGCACGCGTGTCTTTGTTCCCGAGAGCCTAAAGGCCGAGTTTGAGAAGCGTGTGCTGGACAAGATGCAGTACATTCGCTCGGGCGACCTGCACAATCTCAACACCAACTTTGGACCGCTAGTATCCAAGCCACACTACGACAAGGTAATGTCCTACATGAAGCACGGCATTGAAAGCGACAAGGCCAAGCTTCTCTACGGCGGTCTGGAGAAGCCCGCGTGGCTATCGTCATACTCGGACAAGGCCTACCACAACGGCTACTGGGTCCAGCCGACCGTCTTTACAGACTGCACCGACGACATGAAGATTGTGCAAGAAGAAATCTTTGGCCCGGTCATGTCAATCTTGTCGTACAAGACGGTGGAAGAGGTTATTCAAAGAGCAAACAACACGCCGCTTGGTCTCGCTGCAGGCGTCTTTACAAAGGATATCAACATGGCGCACAAGGTGATTGCCCGGCTAGATGCAGGCATCACATGGATCAACACATGGGGCGAGAGTCCTGCAGAGATGCCTGTTGGTGGATGGAAGCAGAGCGGGGTTGGTGTGGAGAATGGAAAGAAGGGTCTTGAGGCGTGGGTACGGAATAAGAGTACAGTAGTGGAAATGGGCGGTGTTGTTCCTACTGTATTTTCAAAGCTATAATTCTGTATCATGAGCGACGAAATTTCCTTTTAGATATCACAGTATATACATAGTCTAGCCAAAGAAGTTAGAAGTTTTTTTTCCTCTCTGACGATGTTTGACCATGGCATAACTATTCTTTTCTTGAACTATCATGAATTCAACAAACACCCTCTCATAAATACACATATCAACCGCGATAACCCTATTAAAACAACACTTATCCTCAAAGCATGTTTCCCTTGACACCCCTGACCAAAAACAACAGCACACTCCAATCACAAACATCACATACCCCCCCCCCTCTCAACATAATATATCCCAATCCCAACCCTATACCAGCCAACCACAAATCTCCGATCCCCATCCCATACACAACAAACCCGCGTACCAACGCACCGGAACCCCAACACAACCTAATTCAACCCAATCCTACACAACACAACACAATACAATACGCCTGCCAGCATCTCTAAAAAAAAAGAAGAAAAAGAAGAAGAAGAAGAAGAAGAAGAAGAGAAGAAAAACTACACTAAGTACCAGGGTGGGAGATAACACTATGATCACGCCATTGGTCCGATTTACACATATACACTGACATATATATATATACACACACAGAGAGAGAGAGAGAGACGCATAGTAAAGTCATCGATAAGATAGAAGACAGAAGACAGAAGACAGAAGAAGAGAAGAGAGAAGAAGAGAGGTGTGTGTATGTGTGTATGTGTCAGCTGACGCGCAATGCAAATGCAAATGCAATGCATGTAAGCTGGAACAAGGAACAAGGAACAAGGGATGATATAGTTTAAAACCATGTAAGATAAAACTATATAAGTATTTGGCGGTGAGAAAGAAGAAGAAAAAAAAAAGAGGGGGATAATAATGGATAAGTTTGTTTCCCCGCTAGTTCTACAGTAAGTACTAGTAGTGGTTGATTTGTTATCTTCTTCTTCTTCTTCTTCTTCTTCTTCTTCTTCTTGTTGAAGTAAGGTGAGTTTGATTCCGGACTTTGGACTTTAGGGTGCTGACATAAAGGTATACATATATATGCACGGCAGGTTTGTTCTTATTTTTATTTGAATTCTTGATTTACTTTACTTTCTTTCTTACTTTCTTTCTTACTTTGTTTATTTACTTTCTTTCATTATTCATCTCATTATTCATCTCATTATTCATCTCATTATTCATCTCATTTACTTCAACGGCAACGCCTTATCCTCGACGACATGCTCTGGGATGTTGACGGGCAGCGCCTGAGGACTAGCAGCGGGCGTGAGCCATGGCGCCTCGTGCTGCTCGACGGCGTCTGTCTTCTTGATGCGGGTTGCGAGATTGACATTCTTGACGCGCTTGTTAACGTAGTCAGGGCCCGGGCTCGGCCAGGCATAGCCAAAGCCAGGACCGAGAATCTCCTCGACGCCCTCGGCGAGGATTTGAACGGCTTTCCGGCGATTGCAGCTCCATTCCCACGCGCGCGACCAGCGGCCCGCTTGGACGGCTGTCTGCTGGCCGCCGTCGAGGCCGTCGAGAATGGAGCGCCACACGAGCATAGTCTTTTCGAGCTCCGCTGCACACGATACGCCGATGACGCTGACGCCGAGTTTCGAGCCGCCGACATCGTCGATGGATTCATGCTGCCACGGCACGCCCGACGCCGGGTCGCCCTGGGAGCCGCATAGCGCGCCCGCCGACATCCACGTCTCGAGCGCAAAGCGCAGGGCGATAACTTCGATGGGCTCGCCGTAGGCGTCGCAAAAGTCGCTTGCGCGCCGCACGGCTTCCCGCAGCGACGACGGCGCAGGATGGAAATCGCCCAGGCCGCCGACGGGTATGCCTTGACGCCGCAACAGGCCCATGCCCAGGATGGACGCATTGGGAACGACATCGACGCCGGCCTTGTGCAGTTGCTGCACGCCGCGTGGACCAGCGAGCTCCTGGTTCTGAAGGGTAAAGTTGGCATACGACTGGACGGCGTCGAGGGGCTCGCCCGTCTCGCGCAGAATCAGCTCGGCCAGGTCGCCCAGGACGTCGAGCGGGTAGCCTGAGATGCCGACGTAGCGGATAGTGCCCTCTTCGTCTCGGATGCGGCGCAGCTCGCGGACAGCCTCGAGGACCTCTGCAGGGCTCACAAACTCGACGTCGTGGCGGGCCGGTGGGCCAAAGGCATTGACAGCAGCACGTCTTTTCGGGGGGGGGAACTATACCAAGTAGAGCTGGATGGAGTGTATGTGCGAGGGGGGGGGGGAACCGTGTGATGTGTGACGCTCGGGCGGGATTCTGTTTTTGGCTTGTATCGTTGTGTGTGTCTGGAGCGGGCGTTGTGGGCGGGTGGGCTTGCTTTTTTTTTCTCTTTCGTCCGTCCGTTCCTTTGTGTTTAATAGAGACCAAGGGCGCTTGTGCTATGCTTCTTCAGTTCTTTGCTTTCCCCAGTTGAGATAGTTTCTTGTTTATACCCGCGGGCCTGACGTGTGGACGACGATCACGACAACCACCACATTGATATCGACATGGACGACGACGACGATAAGAAAGATGGCCTGGACCGAGGGCTGGTGTATATTCTTGCGCTTCCACTTCCCTCGGACGTTTCCTGTCGTGATTGGATCCAAGGCGATTGGCATACCAGCCGGTGGCTTTTTTTTTCTCTGCGCGTAACGACGGACTATTATCCAGCACCCCGCCATACGTCTAGGCGAGGGACATAGATAGCCCCAAGCCGCCGCCCTCGAGTGCGTCATCCCCAAGCATACAAGAGTCATGGCGACTACACCCGTCGAGCACCCCACGACAACCAGCGCGCTTCCCACGCAGCAAAAGCCCCTCCCGTATGCCTTTGCCAACGGCCAGCGCACGCCGCTGTCGTCGCTTCTGCCGCCCCTCGTCTTCGGCACCGCCACCTTCAACAACCTCTACAACAAAGATCCCTATGCCCTCGACACGGTCGGCCTCGTCACCTCGGCCCTGACTCACGGCATCCGCGCCTTCGATACCTCGCCGTACTATGGCCCGTCGGAGCAGCTGCTGGGCGATGCCCTCGCCACGCCCTTTGTGCGCGAGACATTTCCCCGCAACTCGTACATGATCCTGACAAAGGTCGGCCGCATTGCCGGCGACGAGTTCGACTACAGCGCCGAATGGGTGCGCTACAGCGTGCGCCGCAGCCTCGCCCGCATGCACACCGACTACCTGGACCTGGTCTACTGATTCGGGTTATAGATACACGAGAGGCGATGTTGCCGACCCCGACCCCCCACCCTTGCCACAGCACAGCATTGCACAGCCGAGAGAGAGAGAGAGAGACAGAAGTCTGATCTCCACCCCCCGTCTGCTCGCTTGCCCGCCGTCTTACATACATTCGATACGATACTATACTGTTGCATTCCAGGCACAGGTACGGGCGTTGGGGCTGGGATCTTTGTCATGCACCCGCGCTCGGAACGAGGAGAAAAAAGCCCACAGCTGCACCTCCACCTCCACCTCCCACAACCACGTGCCCATGCAAGCACAGATGCAGATGAGCCGATGTCCCAGAAACATGGACTAAGTAGTAGTGGCAGTAGATTTGTGAACCCCACATACCGTACTGCAACCGTGACAGTGACGTGCATTTCTGTTCCATCATCGACCAGCCTCGCCAAGGTAGGTAAGTAGTGCGATCGGGTTTGCTCCCTCCTCCTCCTCATCCAACGCCCGCACCCGGCATCCGATTCGCATCTTCTCCAGCTTTCCAATTTTCTTTTCCACGTTTCTGTTTTCTTAGCTCCCGAATGAACCAGGGGGGACCTAGATCTTTGTGTGGCGCAAACTATATCTTTTTTTTTCCTGCTGACTTCTGTGGCTGATTGCTGATTGCTGACACGCACGCACGAATGCAGGGCAGGACAGGACAAGCCACACACACACACACACAGTGCGGGACGGGGGGAGGAGGAAGAACCACACCCAAGTATTGGACGATATATAAAAGAAAGCCTATAATTAGTCGGAAACCATGACGAAAAATTCATCTTTCGATTGAGGCCATGTTTGCGAGCCCTACTTACTTGTTGAACCTGGAAGCTGGAAGTTGGAAGGGGAGGGGCTAGAACTCGCTCCCCCATACCTGGAACAAAACTCCGGACGCACGTGCCACACCTCGTCTTCAACATCCAGCCATACAGAGAGAGATACTTACACCAGAGTACCGGGGAAAAAAGAGAGAAACCCCCCCCCCCTACGCGTAACAGGTTTCTCCATCAGCCAGCCAGCGAGACAACGATTTCGGTTTCACAGAGTGTAACGAGGCCACGGTGTGCGCGTCTCGAAGCCTGCGTTTCCGCGACCATGTCTGCATCTATCCAGTCAGCAGCGAGGCAACCAAGTAGTCGGCGCATCTCAACATGCAGCGGCCGAAAGATGAGGACGAGTAGGTATCAAGATAGCGCCGGGGCAATAGCATAGCCTGCCGTGGCGTAGCCCCAGTGTTGCAAATAATACCCCGTCTGACAGACAGTCAGATAGTCTGTCCGTCCGTCCCGCTCTTTTTTTGGGACGTGGCCACGCGAGAAACAATTCGGGCCGTATGCTCCTGAGAATGCCTAGGCGCATGCCCGGAACATGATCGTGGTTGTACAACATGACACGCACATGTGCTGGTCGACAGCCCAACAAGACTTGTCGCGTCCCACGGAGAAATGCATGATGCCACGAGGCGTCGCATTGGGCAAACGACCAAGACCTTGGAATCGTATCATCAGTGGCATTACGCGGCATCCTCGCCAAGGCTGCCGCGTGGCTATGCTAGTTCCGCTGTAAAAGGAACATCTCTATGCTGTCGACGCTGCAATTCTCCAGCTCGCTGTAGCCTTCTCTCCGCCCAGGAAACGCCGCTCGGCTTGGCGGTCGTAGCCCCGGATGCGGAGCCAACGGCTTTGACATGCCCATCCCCCCACGAGTTGGCGCACTGCGACTGCTGGCCTTTTCCATGCCACTCACTCCATCTTCTTTTTGATACGACTCTCGCTCAGACTGTCCGACCGACAACGTCTCTTGGATTCCTTTTGTGGCCCGGAAGCGCAGGGGTGGACGAGGATACGACGATGCTTGCGACGAGCCAGCAAAAATACGCGGGAACATCCTGTTCATCAGGGGCTTGCAGCCTGGGAGACATCCGCATGCAACACCAACGCCCGTCTCGATAGACATGATGATGAACGTTGTGCCGCCGTACCCTAGTTGCGTCTTAGGCCATCACCCTGGGAATTACGGGACAGGAAGAGAACATACAAAACACGTCGTACGAGACGAGATATTGGTGTGTGTAGTAGAGCCGAAAGACACCGGCGATACAGACACTACTCATGTCAGCACGTCCCAGTTCAAGATACAACTACACTCACATAACGCCCAGTGAAAACATCATCGTCAGTGTCAACCTTTGTCGCTGCGACACCTGAACGTTGAGGAGATTCCTCGCCGGCCACAGGAAGATGACAAAGTCGCTAAAGGTGTTTTGGGCCGAGTGGAAGTAGTATATCGCCTTGATGTTGAGGCATTTGGCTGTGCCCATGTATTCGAAGATCTTCCAGTAAGTGCTTACTGGCCTGTGGCACTGCTTAGCGCAATGTATAGAGATGGTGTATCGCCATGCTTACGAGCATTGGAACAGCGTCACGAAGAAACAGGCAAAGTTCAGCCCTACAGTGTAGCCAATCATCAGATAACAGAACCACCTGTCGAGCTTGGCCGGAAATATGCCTTTGCCTCGTGTCAGCGCGCCTGGTTGGTCCGTGGCTCGATTACGTACGTATATATGTGAGGAGAATGGCAATTTTCATAAACGCCGTAATCGAGGTGAAGAGCAATTGGATCACCATGCCCATCTAACAACCGTCAGCAAAGAAGACACAGTGCCAAACAACATACCAGCGCTGCTTTCATCGTGCCATAGAGTTTCTCTGGGTGAACATCCCCTGCTCGAATCAGCCTACGTGCCCTGCTATGCGAGAGCAACTTACACAAATGGTAGCCCATCTGGTACTCCGGTAGCATAGATACGACGATCATAACGTTATTCGCAATCGCCAACAACTACCAGCATTAGTCGCCAACAAACCAAAGCTTGCGGGATTCGACTTACAGCCGCGACCGTCATCATGCCATCATCCCAGCCCAGGGTCTTGACAAGCACTGTCCGGCAATAGAGCCGACACGACATGAACACGGCAACCAGTCCAGCCGTCGGAACGGCGACTCCCAGAGCCAGGGGAAACCGCGTCGTCGGGTCTACATAATTGGGTTCGGGAAAGGACGCAAACTCTTGGGCCGTGGGGAATCGCGCAGTCATTCTGTATGCGCCGCACAGCGACCGGTATTGACTCGAATCAGCAAAAACAAACAAGACCGCATCCAGGACACAAAGGCAAAGCGGCACAGGGCTCGGGACTGCCCGCGGATATTATAGCCGGCATAGACTCTGTATGTACCCCGCGGTATGCAGGTGCAGCTGTGGGACAAGACCGTGAAACTCCTTTGACGTGAACTACGGCACGCTCGTTGCATGACGCGGGATGGGCTTTTGTTGCCACTTGCTCAAACAAGATGGTCGTCCGAGGTCAATTACTGCGCTTGGCTGCCTTTGCGACCGTCCGATTTGGGACAAGAAATGGCTCTGGGTGCGAACTCGAGACGCCTCCGTTCCCAAATGAACAGCACCCTCGGCGGGTTCCGCAATCTCGTGGCAACGACAGCGGAGACATCCTGATCCTTCAGGCAGAGGATGCGTTGGGACGGTCGACCAGACTGATATCCCTGCTGTCTGAATTGCTGGGTACTGCACGTGGCTGCACAGTCGTTATAGCACTCATGCGCCCCGCCATGTGCTCCTGCATGCTTAACTGCTCGCTCCTATTTGCTCCGCCCCTTATTGAAAATTTATCAGCCATTCGATTTGCTCGGAATACCCATATTTATTTATCCCAAACTTTGTATGATGACGGTCATGTCAGTGTGGCTTGGGCGAGCCCTTCGCCCAGTGAGCTGATCCCGTTCGGGCTGTCCACACTATTGGAAATATCACCCGGATCCGGGTAAACGTTGGTGTCACCCTTGAAACCTAGACTCCCGCGAGGCACGATGGGTTGCGCGGTTCGCTGTCACCTACGTCTACAGCTGTCGACTTGTAGCGTACTTTGCTCTGCGCAACTATGGTCTCATGCCCAGAGACCTTGTGCGCCCGCGATGAGGAAGGTGACTAGGTTAACCTAACCCACTTGCCTTTCAGAAGCGTAGTGCAAAAGATAAGACTAGATGCCCATGGCCCAACATCTGAGAAGTGTTTCATCCAGGCTGCACCTGCATGGGGCATGCGATCCGACGCCCTGCAGACGTGCGGAAAGACGTGGCACTGGTGGCTCTGGTGCATACTCGGGCCGCAGTGTAGCCCAAAATCGCAATTCCCCCGCGTTGCTTGGCAGGTCTTATATTGGTTGACGCCCCTACACAGCTTTGACAGCCGCCCAGGGCCATCTCTTCACTCTGGCATGTGGCTGACCAAAGCGTTCCCTTGTGTTGAGCCGCCCTATCCAGGCATCGCGCTCACTGTCGAGTTGAACTTGGAGAATCATCTTATTAACACATCTTCCATGTCTTGATAATTGACCCTGCCGCGGTTCCAGTATGATCCCTGAATCAGTCGACCTGAGTTATAGGTACTCGCGATATAATATTGGTGAGCATTGTGTGCAAAGCTTGTATCGAATACTGCAATCAAGACAGGGTATACCATCCTGAGATAGCATTAGCGTGGGTTTCGAGAAAGCACTCAAGCCAGACACACTGCTGTTTGACATGACGATATAGTGTGCTGTTGTCGCAGTTTTATGCAGCAAGTTCCGAAAATCTTGCCCAGTTTGGTAGGTCCTATGCTGCTTCATCCATGGCATTCTGATCAGCCCTCCATGATAAAGCGACATTTTCCTTGTGGATGCGCGAATGCATGCATTCAACAGGCGGTGTGGGTGCATTTGTTCCAAGGCAGAGTTCGTTTTGGTTGTATACAGACATGGCATGTTGTAGTGTTTCACCAGTATACAGGTTGACGTCGTTGACAGTAACCCAGAGAGTACAACGCCATTACGCGTCATCAATGGGTGTGTAGGATACACCAAACTCACCTTTTGCATAAAGAATTTCTTGATGGATGGGCAGCGGCATCTCGCGTACCGTTCGTTCTGCTTTGCTGAATGCCCAAGCTGGACATGATCAGCAACGCGCCCGAGCATAGATGTAGTGGTGTAGTGAGCAGACCATCTAGCGACGGATATACCCGAGGAGGGTATTCCGAGCCATCTGTATATGACAGCTTGTTCCAGTCCTACTCGCTGCTCAGGATCATGTGCCATGTGTATGCACTGTACTAGTCCACCACAACTCGTCGCCAAGTGTAGGATGGCATATCTGGGCGTGATTTGCAATCACACGCATCCATCAGAACGTTGATGTAGTGTTCAAATCAGGTATTTTGCCCGCAAGTGCTGCCGAGGTATGGTGTTGAATATCAGTCACTGAAACTGGAAGCGCCAGACGCGGCAGCGAGCTCGAGTGATTGCGATCAAACGCGGAATTGACGATTGAAGAGCGCTCCCTTAAAATTCGTGCAATGAGCAAATGGACCGTCCGCGCCGAATTCAGATTGGCCAGATGAGAGTTGTGGTGTTGAGGCTTGGACTTGGTACCCCAAGGAATCCACCCATGCTAAGAGCGGGGCAAAGGATTCCGTCAGACTCGTGATGTAGTGAGTCTGGCATTTTAGTTCAGCTTCCTCTTTCAGAAATGGCATTCCTATCTGTATCCCCAATGACTGATGGGCTTGGGCAAACTTGCAGCGGACGTCGTAGCCGTTTCGGGGGCCGGGGCCGCGTTCACCCCATGTCGACGGCGCTGGACGTCTCGTTCAAGAACTGTTCTTGTGAGCAACGTTGTGGGCCGGAAGTTCAGACGCACCTTCGTTCCCGTTGCCGTGCAGATCCAACGTTCGAGGCGACGCTGATCAGGTCCGCACGTTGGTGGCGGGGCTGAGCTTGGTGTTCAGCTGTAGTGAGAAATTACATCTCGTAAATAGGTGGGGACGGCGCCACATACGACTCGACGTCAAAGACGCGATACGGCATGTTTTCCAGGATATGCTGCGGCCGCAATTGGTATCGTGTAGGTGTAAAGGGGAAAGGGGCACATGAGGTGGTGGCTAGAAGTGTCTTGGCAAGTTGAGGCATCCACTTGGGCCTAGTTCACCCAGCAACCCCACTCAAGGCGAATAGCAAGCACGCCTCGTGACTGTGGCATGCAACACCTCTGCTAATTAATGCAATAACTGAGAGTAATAAGAATTTCGTTCATTCTTACTGGCATTGTTGTCGGTACGGCATGGCCATGGCTGTAAGTGGGTTTGCTATGTCCTCGTGACTTGCTCAAGTTACTGACGGACGAGCTGACGGCCAGGAAGCACACGCCCCCACCAAAAACCCCCCTCCATCTCGCACCGAAATACATCAATTCTTACCAGCGCATGCAAGAGAATCAGCATTATCCGAGTTGCAAACAGAATACTTATACATGCGCTAGCCCACAACACACATGAGACCGTTGTACTACGTCAGGCCGAAAAAAAGAAGATTTCCGTTCTCAAATCGTGTCTGAATCATACAAAAGTCCTGAAACCAAAAAGATGCTTGGTCTAGCCCCTACGCCATCCACGTCCACCGTGGAATCCATACCAGGACCAATCGATTAACTTCGTTACTTGGCAATTCCCTTATACCCTCAGGAGCTTGGCGGCATAGTCGGCAATCAAGGTCTCGGTGGGGAAGCTCATCTCCTCAAGCTTCTGCGCGTAGGGAGTGGGGACCTCGGCACCAGTGACCCTGGCAGGGGGAGCCTCAAGGTAGTCGAAAGCGTACTCGCAGGTGAGCGCCATGATTTCACTTGCGACACCGAAGCTGGGGAAACCAGACTCGACGCAAAGCATGTGACCAGTCTTCTTGACCGACTTGACAATGGCCTCGACATCAAGAGGCTTGATGGAGCGCAGGTTGATGACCTCGGCCTCGACACCGTACTTGGACTTGAGTTGTTCGGCGGCAACCAGAGACTGGCCGACGCAGCGCGAGAGGGTTACAATGGTGAGGTCCTTGCCGGGGCGCTCGATCTTGGCCTTTCCAAACTGGGATCTCGGTTAGCATGCAGGCCGAGTTTGCAAAGGTGCGATGTCTTACGGGAATGACAAAGTCGTCGCGCTGGACCTCCTCGCTGACGGGGAAAGAGAGACCGTACAAAAGCCTGCTCGTGTTAGCGATGCGTGCACTGCCTGCGCCAATGGTGCAACCTACTCGTTCTCCAAGACGACGACCGGGTTGGGGTCGCGGATGGCAGCCTTGAGCAGACCCTTGGCATCCTCTGCGCTGTATGGCGAGACGACCTTGAGTCCGGGAATGCTTCCGTACCACGCAGTGTAATCTTGCGAGTGCTGGGCAGCGACACCGGCGGCGAAACCATTGGGGCCACGGAAGGTGATGTTGCAGGGCTGGATACCACCGGACATGTAGTGTGTCTTTGCGGCCGAGTTGATAATCTGGTCAATGGCTTGCATGGCAAAGTTGAACGTCATGAACTCGCACTGGCATTGCCGTCAGAATTGCTTTTTGCAGAAAAGGAGTACGAGGGTACTGACAACAGGGTGCAGGCCAGCGAGCGCAGCACCGACGGTCAGACCAGCGAAACCAGACTCGGTAATGGGCGAGTCGATGACCCTCTTCTCACCAAAGCGGTCGAGCAGGCCCTTGGTGACCTTGTAACTGCGGGCTCAGTCAGTGTCATGTCGAGACTCGCCACTCTGCGAATTGTCCGGAGCGAGATGCTCGCAATTGAAGCCCCCGCTGAGTGAATTGGATGCTCGGAAAATGTCATCATGGGTGTGCACATACGCTCCGTTGTACTGCGCAACCTCCTCGCCAAGGACAAAGACTTTGTCGTTCCGCTCCATCTCCTCGGCCATGGCCTCATTGAGCGCCTCTCGCACCGTCATCTCCTTCTGGCCCGACGCATATCCTCTCCTTGCAATTGACGGTGTGGCGGCGGCGGCGCGGAACGCAGGTCGGAAGGCGGGCGCCGGTCGTGTCGACGCAATCAGGCGCGAGGCAGGGCGGAGGAGCCTGGAAGCAGCCATTGTGGGTAGTGTGCGGGTGTGCGGGCGTAGGAGGAGTGGTGAGGGTTGGCCGTGGGGGCGAGTAATGGCCGCTGAGGCTGCTGGTGGTTGCTGGGGCTGCTGGACAATTTCTTCGGAGGTCGGGGATGCGAATCGTTGGGCCCTGAACACGCTAAGTCATCAAAGCTTCGGGTGGGTCCCTGCACGCATAGCGAGAACACCCGATGCTCTGCATCAGCTCTCGACGCCATCAGGCCCTCGCATCGGCTCTCATGCCGGCTCTCATGCCGGCCCTCATGTCAGCTCCGCTGCACTTGGCCATTCAAATTCACCCGAGCACTGTCGAATCAAGGATATTACTTTTCATTCTCTAATTACCATGTCGCGTTACCATGACCTGCCCTAGACCTTGCTGTACCATCAGTTATTACAGGATATATCCGCCATTCAAGACGCGTGCGTGCAAATGCGAGGAGATGTGCTCCTACATCGATCGAACGTAAAAAAGCTACAAGACCGACCAGGTCCCAGATGCGAAGAGAATTCTAATGCAAGGCGAAGCGAAAACGATCAAGTTAGGCGTCGGCGGGTTTCCTTCCAACCATGAGGTACATGGGTGTGAAGAGCTTCTCGCGGCCACCCGCAACGAGGCAGTCGGCGGCAAGAGCAAGGCTGTCGGCAGTCTTCTGGGTGCCCTTGGGGGCCAGGCCGATCATCTCCAGCCCGCCGACGAACCTGTGGACGAGACCACGGCCAATCTTGGTCATGCGCAGAATGGTCGGGATGTCGCCAATGGTGCTAATGTACTTGAGCTGGCCAGAGAGGGGCCAGTACCATGGGTAGGGGTCGTCCCTGTCTGCCAGATCCTCGTGGTGCTCCATCTGGAAGCCGGCAGCCTTCATGGCAGCCAGCGCAACGTCAACCTTCTCCATGTTGGAGATGCCGTCGCCAATCTCGATACCCAGACGAATCTCGCGGTGGTGGGGGTTGTCATTGTCGTACTTGTCCGTCATGAGCCACTCGTAGACGCCAAAGACACCACCAGGCTTGAGGACACGGAAGATTTCGCTGTAGATGCCCTCGAGGGACGGTGCGTGCACGGTAGCCTCGATGGCGTAGACGGCGTCGAAAGAGTTGTCGGGAAAGGACATTTGCTGGCGCGAGTTAGCTACGAACCAAAGGCTGGGTGCGTGGTTCGTACCATAAAGTCACCCTTGACAAACTTGAGCTTGTGCGACAGACCCTCTTTTTCGGCGTAGGCGGTAGCACGCTCAATCTGGTAGTCATTGTTGTTGAGGCCGACGACGTTGACGCCGGCAAACTTGACAATCTCGCGCGCAGGTCCACCGACACCGCAGCCCACGTCCAACACACGCATGTTGTCCTGGAGGTTCATCTTGTGGGCGAGGTAGTGCTCGTGGCGGGCAATGGCCTGGTAAAACGGCTCGCCGTACGCATAGCGGCAGAAGTGGAACGATTGGCCCCAGCCATACTCGTACAGGTCGGTGGCGAGGTTGTAGTAGTGCCTTGTCAGCGTGGCGTATTCGTCTCGTCGTTCCTGGCACCGTCAATACATGCACAAAATGCCCGGCCACCTGCTGCATACCTTGCGCGTCTCCTCGGTCTCGTCGGCGGCGGCCTTGTTGTCCCAGTGCTTAAAGTACTCGTCAACGGCTGCTTGCTGGGCCGCCTTGTCCTTTTGCAGCATGGCAGTCATGCCGCCGCGGGACTTTGCGGACTGGCCGTGCATGGCCTTGTTGAACTCGGCATCGCGAGTATGGTCTTCCTTTTCAAGCGTGGCAGGAGGCATTGTGGCGGTATTGGAGGATGAGGAGGGCGAGATGCAAAAGAAGGAGGGATGTAGAGGACGGCAGAGAAGACAGCACGGCAGGTGAGAAGCCTCGAAACTTTATAAGTAAACAATGCTGAGCCAAAGGGCGGTATGGGTAGGAGATTTAGACAGACTCTAAGGGGGGATTCGGCGTCTGCCCAATCACGACGCACTCTGTACGCAGCCCTGGCCAACGGCCCTTGCCCCCCTCGCTGGTCGCTGGTCGTGCGTAGACGACGCCAAGCCCGCCGCGAGATTTCTAGCGCCACTTAGCCTGCTCTCCAGTCTTCTTTCCACCATCACTCCGCCCCACAACCGCGTACCCAACCGCCGCTGATACGTGTGTCGCATCGCCAGCCTGCACCTATATTGCGATAGGTCAGCCCGGGTGTTCCGCTATTCAGTGTCCATTACGACAAGTCTCTTCAGGATGCCGCCCCAGATCAAGAGCGACTTGAACCGCAGCGGCTGGGAGACGACCGACTTCCCGTCCGTCTGCGAGAAATGCCTGCCCGACAACCCCTACGTCCAGATGCTCAAAGAGGACTATGGCGCCGAATGCAAGATTTGCACGCGCCCCTTTACCATTTTCCGCTGGAAGTCCGACCGCACCGCTCGCCAGAAGCGCACCAACATCTGCCTGACCTGCGCGCGCCTCAAGAACTGCTGCCAGCACTGCATGCTCGATCTCTCGTTTGGCCTGCCCATCGTCGTGCGTGATGCGGCGCTGAAGATGGTGGCGCCCGGCCCACAGAGCGACATCAACCGACAATACTATGCGCAGGAGCACGAGAAGGAAATCGAGCAAGGACGAGGGGCCATGGAGGCCTACGAGAAGACAGACGAGAAGGCGCGCGACCTGTTGAAGCGCCTGGCACAGAGCGAGCCCTACTACAAACGGCAACGACGGATCGAGGCCGAGGCCGAGGAGAGCGGCGGACAAAAGGCGCTGCCAGCGCCTGGTGGCAGCGGAGGCGCAAGCCGTGAGGGCAGCCACGTCCCAGGACCCATCAGAACCCGAGATTCTCGCGGCACTCCTGCCCGGGGAGGCATGCGCGCTGGAAGGGGAGGCCGTATGGGAGGTCCACCGGCAGAGCCGAGCCCGCAAGACTGGCTGCCGCCGTCGGATCCAAACGTAGCATCGCTCTTTGTTACTGGCGTCGAGGACGATCTTCCCGAACACGAGATCCGCAAGCACTTTTCGCAGTACGGCCAGCTCAGGTCGCTGGTTTGCTCGCATCGAGCGCACTGCGCCTACGTCAACTACGCCAAGAGGCTGGATGCAGAGACTGCGGCAGAGGCATTAAAGGGCAAGGTTGTCATCAAGGGCTGTCCGATGCGAGTCACCTGGGGCAAGCCAAAGCAGCTGGATAGCTTGGACCAGAACGTGAGGATGCAATACGCAAAGGAGGGACGTCAGGTGGCGGGATCATCGCGACGGGCGGCTGCTTCCAAAGCTGCCATCGAGGCTGCTCCCGAGAACAACTTGGACAACATGGTCATTGCGCCGCCACCGGGCGCCGACGACGAGGTTCAGTATGCCAGTTTGGCGGGCAATTAGGCGTGGCTTAACATTATTGCATTGGGACGGCGTTTTTGGTTGCATGATGGCATGCATGGGTATCACGATTCGATTTGTCATGGATAAAAGCCTAGGAGGAGCAGCACTTGGCTCCGTTTAATGCAGTCTTTCCGTTTCCTTTCTTAATGTCCTCATTGTCTCCTCTTTCCGTGTGCTCGTGTATCCGTAGCTCTTCAGACTATTAGCCGACAACCGACAACAATAATGTTGCATACATACTGTAGTTGCCCTCTGCGTCCTCGGCCTGTCCCTGCACCACGTTCTCTCGCAGAAACTTGGACACCTCCTGCGCATGCAACAGGGATTTCTCGAGCTCCTCGCTTCCGATTCGGAGACTACGGTTCGACTCAAAGTTCTTGCGCACTTCAGCGCGGGCGGCGAAGAGGGTGTGCGTGTCGCCTGCGACGGTTAGCAACCATTTTCAATGCCCGCAGAGTGTCCATACCCTGAAAGGCGATGCGCGCGGACCGCAGCAGGTTTCGGTAAGCGGCTAGTGCCATTATGCGGGGAGGAGGAAGCTGGTGGTGAGCAATGGCGTCGTTCGCAGAAGCCGCTCGTGTTCGGGGGTCCGCAAAGAAAGTCAATTGCACGTGACGCGGTCTGCCGGCCTGATCCCTGCCGCCGATCTAACCATCGCATTCCCGCTGATGTCAGGCCTCACAGTGTTCCACCCCCCAAGCACGCACAGCTGGCCTCTCCCCTACAACTCTGGCTCCCACTCCGGGCTGCGATCTGCCACTGACCCATCATGGTGTCGTTCTGGCCTTGGAAGGTAAGGCCGTCTGCTGCCACGCAGCGCCGCGTTTGCTAACTGCAGCAGGGCAGCGAGGATGCCGCGTCCTTTGAGAGAACACTCAACGCCCTTACTGGCAAGATCAACAGAGCAGCTGCGCGAAATGACAGCCAGAAACAGCTGGCGCGGCGTGCGCGTGTCATGTGGACGCTTTACGCAGGCTTTGCCTATATTCTCATCGCCGTGATCCTCACCTTTGTCACTGGTTGGCAGAATTGGGGTCCTACTGAGGGGTCCGTCGTCGCTGGCGGCCCCGTCCTGTAAGTCACCCCTCGCAACCACCCACGCGTCGCACGCGTCTAACGGCGTCGTCCCAGGATATACGGTTTACGCTACGCGCTGATGAGCTACTTTGATTATCGCATTCGCAACACGGAGAACTACCTCGAGAAACTCGCCAAGGAGCGCGACGCCACCATTGAGCGGCTGAAGGAGGCTACAAAGTACAACTCGACCCAACAGCTGCTGGAGAAGTATGGCGCATCGCCTAAGCCCAAGGAGCCAGCCCAGGACGACGATTCCCCTGCCCGCAGCAGGTCGCGAGGGCCACAGCAGCCAGTACCGCCACAAGGTCCACGCACTGGCATGGCTCCACCTCCTACTGCCAACATTCAACGACCGCAGACTCCCCAGGTTCCGCCAACCCCGCAACAGGTGCCCTCGATTGTCGAATCTCCGCCTCCACAGCTGCCTCTTCTGAATGCTCCTGGTGCGGAATTTGCACCCAATGCTTTCGACGCCAATGTGCCCAGGCAGCAGCCGGAGACGGCACCTGCTACCGTTCCCGAGACCCACTGGTACGACCGCATCCTCGACGCTCTGCTTGGCGAGGACGAAACACAGGCTAGGAACCGATTCGCCTTGATCTGCACAGAGTGCCGACTTGTCAACGGACAAGCCCCGCCAGGCGCACGAACACTTGAAGACGTTGGCCGATGGCGATGCGGTGGCTGCAGTGCATGGAACGGCAAGGAAAAGCCTCGCGAAGACGACATCACGCGTCTAGTACAGGGCTGGGAGGCAGAGCGCAGAGCCAAAAACCAAGTCCGTCCACAGAGCACAGATGGAGGCATCGACTCGGACAATAGGGAGACTGAGGACAATAGTAGCATTGTAGCCGGCGCCGATGAAAGCTCAGGCGTGGATGTGGCAGCCGACAGTGCAGAGGATATGCCGCCACCGAGTAGGAACACCAGAAGCAAGACTAGAGGCAGGACCAAGAAGTGATATTCTTAGCCTGCTTCATGTCTCTCTTTACCTGATGCTTTCAAAAAGTGGATTCATTACTTGTAACAAGAGGTGCCTCTTTTTTTTCTCTCATTCGGTTTGTTTCATTGTCCATCTTAAACCCCCTACGCATATGTTTTAAACACTGTCATATTTTACAAGTCCAAGTTTCAGTCTCCATGTATAGTTATAGGCGTCTTTTGTTTTTTTTCCCATCTGTGTGTTTTCGTTGAACTCTAGATCTCCATTTTTTAGTCCATGTACCTCATGTGTACCCCTCCCCACCTTTTTCTTTTTCTTTTTCCCACATGTCTTAGAAAGGAATAGAGAAGAAAAAAAAAGCTATTGTTGTATTTTTACGACTCATCCTCATCCTCATCCTCGTGTTAACTACTCATTCACCCCTCCAAAAACAACTCTGTGTGTGTTTTCCTCTCTGATTGTCAACTGTGTAATAAAAGTAGACTGGTTTTTTGTTTCATCTTTGCTTGGATATGTACGTGGATAAGAATATATATCACGTGTGTAAATAATCACATGCAAACGATGGTCAGCTTCTGTTGATGTTTCATTGATTTTCGTCGTACTCTCATAGCTAACATTGCATCATTCCTTCATTCCTTGATGGATTCCTCCAAGTACGCCAACAAAAGAGACAAACAACCAAAATCTAGAACCCCCCTCCGCAGGAGACAGCGAAACAGCGCAGTTCCCTGATACCTTTTGCAACCAAGAAAGAAAAAAAAGACGGTTCACATCACCACATGTAACCAGCTAGGCCCTTCTCCCAAGATCAATATCAAGCACACACACCATATCATCATCATCAGCAGCAGCAGCATCACTTTGCATCTCAGCATGCGTATCCGGCAGGCCAAAAAACGGACGCACAGCCTTATCCACCACGCGCTCCAACAAGCCGCTTACAAGACCGCTCAGCTCGTGGCCCGTCTGCCTGAAGTCCGGGTATGCATTTACCTCGAGCAGCCAGGTATCCAGGGCGTGCGTGTGGGGATTGTAGCTCAGCATGAAGTCGAGGCCAAACAGCTCGAATGCATTGGGTAGCGCTTGGAAATGGATCGACATTCCGCGCGCGGCGGCCTCAAAGGTCGAGGCGGTTATGGCGCAGATCTGGGAGAAGGCGGTGTGTTTCCAGGTGGGGGGGATGTCGAGAGGCACAGAGGTAGTGTCTTGTTTTTCTGCTTTTCCTCCTTCGGAGGAGGAGGAGGATGAGGATGAGGCTGTGGTGAAACGAGGCTGTGTAGGCAGCGCATCAGGAAGAGACCAGAAGAGCGCGACGGAGCCCTCGCGATCGCCCGTGTCTTGCAGACAGGTATTAGTCAGATGTGCGCGCATGGCCTCGTCGCGGTTGGATTGCAGTGCGCTGTCCCAAGGGGGAATGTAGGGTTTTGCGGCGAAGAGGGCGAGCATGGGGCGGTAGACGTGGACTTTCAGGGCGCCCGTCGCGAGAACGTAGGTGCGTATGTGGAATTTACGGAGGCTTTCGGGGGAGGAGGGGGGAGGAGGAGGGGAGGAGGAGGGGGTTGGGGAGAGCAGGAGCGGCGGGTGGATGTAGGGTTGTGCTATGAAGTGGCGGAGTTGGGATGTGATGATTCCGTCGTCGTCGTCGTCTCGATCTTTCTTCTCTTGATTCATATTGTCGCTTCTTGCATCTTCGTCTTCCTCGTCGTCGCTGTCTGGATCCCACTCTTCGAATATCTCGGTGAGTTCCTGCTCGGTGGAGAATAAGCGGATTCCTTGCCCTCTGTCACTCATGCCTGGCTTCAGGATCCACCATTCCTTTTTCGCGGAATCCTCATCCTCGTCACCCAGCTCTTCGTTCCTGGCCCAGCTTTCTTTGAGTTCCCACGCTTCTACCAACGCGTCGTCTAGAAACTCGGCATAGTCGACTTCGAATTCCACGCTGGGCTTAACATGCTTCTTAAGCACGGAATCCGGGTACTTGGTAATCCAGTTTGCAATGGTGGTGCTGAGGTAGTGTTTCCGGATCAGCGCTTTACGGATTGTATACGCGTTTGCCAGCGAAGTGGATGAATGCTCCATCAGGTGATCCCAATCAATCGACTCATACTGAACAAACTGCAAAAGACGAAATGAAGGACTTGGCAGTTGGGAGAGAGATGCAATGAGTTCGTACGTCGCCGCAGGAAGTCTTTTTTCCAGTGCCGAGAGTATGAGGGGCTGGACATAGGCATCTTCGTAGTTGATCAGAGCGTAAATCTTGTCGCTTGTCTTGGACGGTTCGGCCGCCATCCTACCCTCTTGGTCCATGGCAACCAAGCACGAGACAGGACAGGACGGGACTAGTTCTCGTATAGTCCTGTAAACAGCGTTGTGGGATGGTGATAAAGAATCAATATTGTACACTAAGGAAAATCGTTACTGCAAGGCTGTGCTAAGCCAAAGGTATCCAGAATGCCCGCTTCTCGCTTAGCTCTAGCCAATCAGCGAGCTGCAAGTTGAACGCCATGCCGTGTTCCTCCCAAACATTTGGGGTTTGTGAATGTTGCAACGCCATTAGTACCGTAAAATCAATCAAACAATCTCAAGATCGTCATCGTCGTCGAGAGCCGCAATAAGCCCCGCGTCAAGCCCGCCGAGGCTTTCTCGGCCAGGCTCACGAATGCCTTTTCCATCCAAAAGTAGACGAGCCTTCTTCTTTGCAGGACTCGCCTCGCGTGTGCCGCGAAACGCAGAAGGGACTACTTTCTTGGGAGACGGGATGCGGCCGTACTTGAATGCCCAGCCAACCGGGTCGCTCGAGGCAGCCGATTTGCCCGACGCTGCTCGCTTGCGCTTAACAGGAGCCAAGGAGACGTCTTTGGACGTGCGGTTGAGGAGACTGGAAAAGTCCGTCTCAGCCGGCTTTTCTGAACGCGAACTCGCCGAGCTCTGAGACGACGGATGTGGTCGGGTGGGTAAGCTCGGAGTGCCAGCGCCTTTAAGCTTCATGTAGTCAGCTCCTGTGCCATCGCCCATGGAGCCGAGCTTCTTGGCAAGCTCCCTCTCCTTCTCTCGCTCGGCCAGCTGTTTTCGAAAACGGTCTTCTCGGTTGGCTCCGCCGTCCCAGTTTTGGTGATCGCGATCAATAAGCTTGGCTGCACCTCCCGGGCACGGGGCAATGTAGATAGTCTCGTGTAGTTCGCGGTCGTGGTACTTTCCTTCTCGTTTGAGCTCGTCACTTTTGGCGCCGCTGCGGCCACCAAACATGCCAAATTTGCTGCTACTTGGGCCTCCACCAAAGCCCGTCATGGTGTTGACCTGCATGCGGCCTTTCTTGGCCTTGTCGACCTGGAGTTGGATGTGGAACTCGCAAAACTCTGTTTTCCGACCATCAATCCACTGGCCGCAGTCCTTTCCGTCTTTCCTCTTTGCGTTGCAAAAGTCCAAGTCTCGTGCGGTGCCAAGTTCAAGTATCGTGTCATCTGAGCTAGTGAGCTTGAGGGAGAACTTGCCCGTGTCGCGATTCCGGGGCGGCATGATGTCGGGGTTCAGGATTGCAACCACTGTGCCGAGGGGCAGTTTCCAGAATTGCGAGAAGCCAGTGTCGAACAGGAACAAGTCGAGCTCCCACTTGAGGTCAGTCAGTTTGATCACCATAAACTTGCCGCTTTGGTCAGCCGCGTTGTCTTGACTGCTGCCTTTGGTCTGGTCTCGAGTCGGATTCTTGGCATTATGCGGCGTCGACTTGTAGCATATGACGCCCAGCACAATATAATCATTCTCCCAATCCGGCGGGTCGTACGCTGGCGCCTTGACAGTCTTGAGCAATTGTGGAATGGTCAGCACGGTTTTTCCTTCCAGCGTGCGCGTGACGACGTTGTGCTGCATTTCTCGTGACTTGAGATGCAGGCCAGAAAAGGGCTCAAAACTGGGGGCGTTGGTGCTGTCGTCTCGCGAGGAAATCTCGGCATACTTTGAAGCAATAGAGGTGGAGCCAAAACCGTTGGACGATGTCTTGGATGACGACGAGACCGGGCGTGTAGTGTCGTTGCGGAAAGACAGAGTCGAGCTGGGTCGTGGCGAGGGCGTTATCTTCAGATCGACGGAGCGGCTCTGCAGTCTGCTGCGGTGATGTCTCGCCGAGGGCGGTGGCATTTCGCGCGAGCTCCGCGTGTCCGACTCTTGCGAAGAACTTGTCCTGGATAGCGAGGGCCGTTCCTTTAAACCTTCAATGTTTTGCAAGCCGAATCCCCGGCTTCTCCGCAGCTCCGCCTTTTCCTCCCTCTCTTCGCGGTCCTTGTCCCTGACCCTGCTTTCGGCAATGCGCTCGCTAAAGGATTTGATCTTGGGTGCCTCGCTGCCTTTGAGGGATCCCGCTCTTGTCCGCCCGGCCAGGACGCTCGATGGGCGCTTGAGACTAATGTCGCGTGCCGTCAGGCCTTTGTCGATGCCCAGCATGACTCGTGCGGGACTCTTTGGTTCCTCTGCCGCTCTTCGTGCGCGGATCGGCGAGCGTGGCACCTCAACACCCGGCTCTTGTGAGGACTGCGGGCGTGTCGCGTCGGTCCTGCGCATGCTCGTCGCCAGGCTTGTTCGGGACGATGCTCCATTGCGGTCGGCCTCTGCCGAGTCGATCCTCTTCTTCTGCAGGGCCTTGAGTTTCAATTTGGCCTCGATGGCCTGCAGTTGGAGGCGGAGCGTCTCCTCGTCTTCCCCGTCGCTATCGGGCTGGGCAGTGTCTTGCGACATGGGGCGGCGCTTCATGGGCGAGGGCGAAGGCGAATTGCGCTCGCGGCGGCGCTGGTATTTTCTGCGTCCAGACGGCGAGCTGAGCAGGGCCTCTATGGACGACTGTGGCGGCCAGTTGGGCTGGCTGTCCTTGCCTGTATAAAAAAATCAGCACATGCGTCTAGGGGCTGGCTGGGGCGGGCATGGCGCACCTTTGGACTTGGGGCTCTCCCGCACAATCATTGTTGTGGTGGTGATGCAGCGTGGTGGGCGGGCGTCTCTCAGCAGGGCCCATAGCAGCACGGGAAGGCGGAGTGCACGAGGCTGACGATGCTCAGGCCTTTGGCAGTCTGGCCGAGTAGCCAAGCGTTTGTTGACACGCCGAGCAGCGAATCCACCCCAGACCACACTCATCCTGCGCCGCCCGTTCCTCGCAGTCCCAATCTAATCCGAAACCGGCCGTCTGCAGGGATGGCGCGTCGAGCCCGCACGCGACGCGTCGCCGCGGAACCCCCTCGTCGTCTACGCAACCACGCCGCCACCTCAGCTATCCCGGCCCACGCCCACAGTCCCCGCCACACTCACAATGGCACGAACACGCTCCAAGCCCGCAAAGGCATCGTCCCCAGCAGCCGCGCCAGAGCCCGCAACATGCACAAAGACGCTGCCTGCAAGCGCCCCAAACCCCCCCAGACTCTTCGTGCTGCCCACGCACGCCTCGAGCAACGCGCGCATAGTCACCCTGGACAACCCGGCGAATCAAACACCCTCGAAATACTTCTTCTGCCCCGAAAAGGGCTTCCATGAATTCACACGCATCGCCGCGCCAAAGAGGGATTGCCGCAGTTGGCTCATTGCCGGCTCCCCCAGCGGAGAGGGCGCCACAGCAGAAGACAAGGAAGGCGGCGACGCTTCACGGATAGGCAATGGCTATGTCAACAAGAACGCCCATCTCTTCGTTGCAACCCCCATCGACATGCTCTTCCTGCTGCTGCCCGTTGTCGCGCCCAAAACAGCAAAAGACACCAAGCAGCACTTCCTCGCCCTGGACGACTACCTCGACATGCTCTCGTCCTCGTCGCCGCACTGGAAAGCGCTGCTAGCCCAACACCCGGCGCTCAAGCCCAAGCTGGAGAAGCGGATGCGCGCCGTCTGCGACACGGTCGACGCCGGCGACGAAGCCATGTACCGGCTCTCTCTGACCAAGCTGCACGACGTACTCCTGCAGAAAGCCGAACGCATGACCAAAACAGGGCTTCCCGCATCGCTGGAAGAAAAGTTTATCAAGTCTGCTCTGGAAATCCCCGTCATGAATGTCAAGCGTGAGGAGAGTACGCTGAGTGCCGTGTCCACGACACAAGACGACACCACCACCACCACCACAATAACAACAATAATACAAGAAGAGGAAATCTCAACTACAACTCCCCCGCTCACCACACCCCCGGAAATCCCCCATCTCCTCCGCCTCCGCACATGCCTCACGTACCTCACAACAGCGTACCTCGCCCCGCTGCTCCGCACCCTCCTGCAGCCCCAGCAGACGCCGCTCTTCACCCCGCTAACCGCCCACCTGTCTGCCATTGCCGCGCTCAAAGCCGAGGCCGCAGCTCTCCGCAGCATCACGGACAACGTGTCGCGCAAGCGGGCGGTGCTGGAAGACGACGACAAGATGGCCGAGCGCGAGGAGAAGCGGCGGAAAAAAGAGGAAGACGACCGGAAGAAGAAGATGGAGGGGCGCGCCATCAAGCAGCTGAAAAAGGTGGATACGAGCGGCATGCGGAAGATGAGTAGTTTCTTCACAAAGGTGGAGAAGAAGACGTAGGGGTCTGGGGGTTGTTTTATATATACCATTGTATTATTAGTAGAGGTTATGATGCAGGATATGAAAGCATTGAGAATATTGTTGCTTCTCTCATTTGTTTCTGTCTACGCTATGTACCCTTGCCATCCATCCATACGTGTGTTGGGCCCAGGAATGCTAGAAGACGAAAAAAAAAACTTCTAGTCACCTCCATAACACACGACATTTGCTTATAAGATCCCTTCCCTCCCTTGTGTACTTACTACTACGAGCAGCACTTGATGGGCTACCCTGTTTCCCAGCTCCAACTCCCTCCCCAGAAAATTACCGATTAGAATGCCTTTGGGGAGCTTACAGCTAGCCAAGTGCGTCGCGCCGGGCCGGAAGCGCGGCAGCACGCCTTTCGTAATCATGGGTATCCTTTCTTTCTAGCAAAAACAAAATGGCAAACAAAAAGCAAACAACGCTCGCTATGTATGCAAAAAATGAATCGCCACAGTGGCCATGCAATGCACATCCCGCAACGGGACATGCTGCAAGCAGTGCCATGTCCAGACCACGTGTCATCGGCAGAATGCTCACGATGAACGGGCTGTGTGCGCTGTTAGATGCTGTCAAACGACAGGGAAGAGGTGGCATGCTCACTTCGAGCCCGCTTGTCAACTGCTTCGCGCTGAATCGGCTCGCCACTGCGCTTCTTAGACGTCTTGGACGAGCTGCTTGAGCTGTGAGATGATTTGACGCGCAGCCAAGAGTCGAATGATATTTCTGCAATCATGTCAGCACCACAGGGTCCAAGCACTACATCATGGCCGACTTACCCTTCTTGGGCTTGCGAATAGTAGGCGGTGGCGTCGTGGCTAGCGACGGGACTTGAACAACATTCTTGCCTTTGTTGCGGCTCGGCGTAGCGACAGAAGGCTCAATGTCGGTCGTCGCCTCCTCGTCATCGTCTTCAATACCGTTTGCACGATTGCGCTCTTTGATTTCAGCTTGGAACAACAGACGCGGCTTGATGGACGAACGCGTAAGCGGCCGACGGGCTTCGTGACCAATCTGGCGGCGGACGTGTCTGTCATCGGCGGAGAGCTCGTCGTGGTGCTCTGCGTCGGAAGCACCAGAGGGTGCGTCATCGTGAAACTTGCGGAACACCTTGCGGCCACGGAAGATGTAAACCATGCCCTCGTCCCGGTCGACGGCCTCGTCCATCTTGGCCGTCTTCTTGTCCACCGTCTTGCGCGACTTTTGCGCGACTCTCTTTGCTTTTCCCTTGCCTTTGGTGGTAATGAAGGGGTTTTCCTCGGTTTGGGCGCCAGGCGTGGGTACGCGTTCCTTGGAGTCGGTGTAGATGGCAATCTTTTCCGTGGCTTCGTCCATGTGCTGCGCGAAGCTCTCGAGCGTGTACAGGTCCTTGGTCTTGCGGGGTTTGCGGGGTGTTGGCATGGCCTCGTCAATGGTGGAGGGCCGGTTGGTGGGGAACAAGACGCGCGCAGTCGAGCTCATGTCGTCGATGCGGCGCTTGCGAGGCGTCTTGGCCGGAGTTGGTAGCATGCCTGGAGCCATTGTTGTCGACAGGAGGCGCCGGCTTACAGACGGGGGGGCGTGGTCCGAGTCGGAGTGGTGCGGGTTGGATTCCAAGGGCGCGCGACGGGTCGAGCGCGGTGAGCGGAGTTGCTGGTGCGAAGCGGGCGAGGATGGCGGCGAGAGAGCGAAGGTGGTTGCGCGCTTGGCGGACGATTTGCTCGCCGCGGTGGGCGTCACGTCGCGCCGGGCCCGTGGACTGGACTGCGCGTGGTGAAGGTGAGTATTGTCGCGTCGGGCCGCCACTCTGCTGGAGCGGCGCGGTGAAAACGGCTCGTAGTTGTCTCCATGGTGCGGCGCGGGCGGGGTGCGCAGGCGACGGGGTGGCGAGGGCGTGCGCTCCATGGTGTGTGTTTATTGATGTGTTTGGGTGTTTGTTTGGGGACAGGGCAGTTGCGGTGTTGGTGTAGCAATGGCGATATGGATGGCGGACATGCAAAATCAAAACACGCGGCAGCCAAGCTTCAATGGAGAGCGCGCACGGGAGTTGCAGGCGCGAGAGGCGGAGGGGGGAGATGGATGCAGCGGGCAGAGGGCGATGCAGCGGCAGGGAGGCGTGGTGACGGAGAGGTGTTGGCGGGTGGGTGGAGACAATGGGGGGCTGTCTGCCTCGGAAAGGGAAGGGTCGACGCAGAATGGAGGAAGTGACGAGGCTGGGAGATGGCGGGTGCTGTTTCCTTGGCACGCGCCCGGGCGCCCGCACAGCAACAAACCCGCCCGGGCGACGGCGGCGGCCCCGCCATACCGCATACGGCCGCATACGTCTGCGTCCACACACTCCAGCACCCGCCCACCTCACCCGCCCGCTGCTTGTGCTGCGCCCACTCGCCCTGCAGGCCTCTTTCTTCTCACACAGCACACAGCACACGGCACAAGGCACAATGGACCCGCCCAGCCTGGGCGCGCTCGACCTCTCCGACTCGGACAACGACGCCGACGCCTTGTTCGACACCCCCGCAGCGCGCAAGGCGAGCAAGACAAAAGACGGCGGCGGCGATGCACAGGGGGCAGCCGGCGGAAAGCCGCGCGCAAAGGAATCCCACTATACGGCCGAAGAGGCGCGCGAGTCAGCGCTGCGGCGGGAGCTAGAGAGCATACGAAACGTGAACAAGGTCATTGAGGGCGTCATTGAAAGCTTGCAAAAGGCCAAAGACAACATGGGCGTAAGGCACTGATTTGGAAGGCACAAGGGGCGTCAGCTGACACGCTTCTTAGACGGTGTCTCGCACTGTGCAAAACGCATCCACGCTGCTGCAGACATGGACGCGCATCCTGTCCCAGACCGAGCACAACCAGCGCCTCATTCTCAACCCCCAATGGCAGGGTGCGTCGCAGGACTTGATCGACATTGAAGAGGAGGAAGTGCATCGCCAGCAGGCTGCACAGCGCCGCGCAGCCGAAGAGCAGGCTCGGAGAGAAGCTGCGGCGCGCAAGCTTGAAGAGGACCGCCAAAGAGCAGAAGCCACAACCAAAACGGGCACGCGAGGCAGAGGCAGAGGCGTCCGGCCACGGGGTGCTTCGACATCGTCTACAGGCAACTATGTCGGCGTGGGTGGACAGACAGGACGGGGCGTTAGCCGCAGCGACTCAACCAGGGGCCGAGCGGGCAGTGGCATAGGGCGAGGCCTGCGTGGCCGGGGACGGGGCTTGGGCTGAGCAGTCATTCCATCAAATAAAGCAATTGTACGGATACCCCATTCGACTCGCGCACTCTCAGGCCTGTTGCATCAAGTCCTGGAATACCAGCATCTCGATTCGAACCAGCCAGCACACGCCAATTGCAACCCAGCAAACAACGTCACATTCTAGCCATTCGAAACCTTCGGCAAAACAGAATCAGAGCATCAGCCAGCCGTCCTCGCGGTGGGCTAAGCGTGTCCACCAATGCAGCGCTTACACAAGCACCCCATCAGCCCCAGCCCTACGGTCTATGCTCACCAAAAGTGTGAGTGCGCCATCGGTACTAAGACGGTACCTGCAGCTTAATGCAGTCAACGGGCCGGGCTGGTGTTGTCGGATGCATTTCTGGAAACGGCTAAGCGTGGAGACCCCACCTGTCGTCAGTGAGACCCCGCCGCGCCGTGCTCTGAGATGTTGCGCCTCTCCACCAGTTCAAATCAATTCGCCTTTCCTGATTTCCTAACCTTTGCTCCCTCCTCTCTTTTCTTTTGCACTGTTCAGACTATTCATCGCGCCAGAGACTGCTCGTCAACATGGAAGTCCCCACAGCATCGTCGCTACGCGACATCTACCCAGAGGACGCGCTTCCGGCGGAGACGAAGCGGTGGGACAGTCTGTTGGCCAAGTTCAAGGAACTCTATGGCAAGCAGGCCGACTTTGTCGCTCGAAGTCCCGGTCGTGTCAACATCATTGGCGAGGTACATACTGTCAATTCTAAAGTGATTCGCGACTTACAGCATTAGCACATCGACTACTCTCTCTACGAAGTGCTGCCCATGGCCATTACCGCCGACTTCATCATGGCAGTCGCTGTGCGAACGTCTGAAGAGAAGCCCCGCGTACGCATTGCGAACCTCAACTCGGACAAGTTCCCTGCACGCGAGTTCGACATTCCAGAGGGCGAGATTCCAATTGATGCTTCAGAACACGAGTGGACCAACTACTTCAAGTCCGGGCTAAAGGGCGTAACACAACTCTTGCAGAAGAAACGCGGCAAATTTACATCTGTTGGCATGGACATTGTGTGCGACGGGACGGTCCCTAGCGGTGGTGGGCTATCGAGTTCGGCTTCTGTTGTCTGCACAAGCGCATTGGCTGTTCTCAACGCAAACGGCGAGCAAAAAGTGGACAAGACCGAACTTTGTGAGCTCGCGATTGTTTCTGAGCGTTCAGTCGGTGTTAATTCAGGAGGGTAAGTAAACGCTTTGCTCTTGTTTTCGTCGTTGACACTTTGTAGCATGGACCAAGCAGCGTCTGTCTTCTCCCTGCGCGGCTCTGCTCTCTACGTTTCTTTCAAACCCAGCCTCAAGTGCACAAACATCGAGTTCCCGCAGACCGAGCCTGAGCTTGCATTCGTCACGGCCCAGAGCTTCGTCGCAGCAGACAAGCATGTCACAGCCCCAGTGTGCTACAACCTCCGGGTCGTAGAGTGCACTCTGGCAGCAGTTTTCTTAGCCAAAGCCTTTGGCTTGAAGAAGGCACTCCCCACAGACTCATCGCCACTGGGAGTCAGTCTGCGCGGCTTCCACGACACTTACTTTGAGGACAAGGAGGGCGTAGCCGACAACACCAAGATCTCCGTGTCAGATTTTGAGACTCAACTTACAAAGCTGATTCAGCACACAGAAGACTACCTCCCACAAGAGGAAGGGTATACACGGGAACAGATCAGCGGCCTGCTCGGCATCTCAGTGGACGAGCTCAACCAACGATACATGTCCAAATTCCCGGTCCGCGCCGAAAAGTTCATGCTTCGCCAGCGTGCTCTGCATGTATTCACGGAAGCTCTTCGAGTCATCAAGTTCCGCTCACTACTCGCGTCTCCGCCGTCAAAGGACAGAGCCTACCTGCAATCACTGGGTGATCTTATGAACACGACCCAAGACTCGTGTCGCGAAATCTACGACTGCAGCTGCCCCGAGCTAGATGAGCTCTGCGATCTTGCGCGATCTGCAGGCTCATGCGGTAGCAGGTTAACAGGAGCTGGCTGGGGCGGATGCAGCGTGCATCTCGTACCAAAGGACAAGGTTGAAGCAGTCAAGAAGGCATGGGTAGAGAAGTACTACAAGAAAAAGTTCCCAGACATTACAGAAGAGAAGCTAGCACAGGCTATTGTGGTGAGCGAACCGGGTAGCGGCAGTATGCTTTTCAAGGTTACTGGCGAGAAGCTTGCTTAGTCTAGAATTGGTTTGCGCTGAGTTCATAAAAAAGAAGAATCTTGTGTTGGGTGGTGGTATGTCAAACAATCTGACATCTCGCCGTTGGAGCGAGGTCATGAGTTGGACCCAAAGCAGAGACAATTGATTTGTTGTCTTGACTTTCCGGTATCCAAACTTATCTGCTTTTCCATTATCCTGATTGTACTTGACGTCGCTTCTCTTCCATGTTCTTGGCCTCACTTCACACTCTCCGACTTTTATATCCTGATATCCAAGTGTTGGACTCACAACATCTCATTCCAGCATTTCAACAACATCACCAAGTCTCACGTTATCATCACTCTCCACATTCGCACCCTCTACCTATCTTGAGTATCCAATCTTGAAACCTATCACTATTCACTCCCGCCACGCACACATATATACGCCGGCACCCAACATGCCCCGCCGCCGCAGACACCGTAGCAAAAACCCACCTCGAACACCAGTCCAGCATCACCGCCATAACACGTCCCACACGAGTACCGAACGAACCTATACTCCTCCACCCCGACAACAACATGCGTGCAATAAACGCGGCCAACAGCACACCTACCAGCACCCTGGCACTTACTCTGCTGAACAAGCAGTCTGCGCATGTCCCAGTTTCACCAGTGAGAGTCATGCACAGCAACGCCCTTGCTTTCTGCATTCTGCGTCCCTGCAATGCGTGGGTAGTCTGTTTGGAGACTGGAGACGTGTGTATGCGTGTGGTGTGCCGTGTGTGGATGTGGATGTGGATGTTAGTTTGAGAGGTGGAACTGCTGCTACTGCTACTGCTACTGCTACTGCTAGCGGTGGTGGTGGTAGTGGTGGTGGTGGTGAGATGTATGCCGTAGCAAGAGCAAGGAACGAGGAAATAGACATGGAAAAAAGAGTCGACGACGTGTTCTCTTCACGCAAAACCGTCACGCACATGAGATGTACAGATAGATCCCACGACACGAGCAGCAAAAGTAATAGAAAAGACGACGACAATAATTGGGATGTCAACGCTTATTTCGCGCCGTTTGGAGGCCACAAGTGGCTTTCGGGGGGCCGGGAAAGCATGGTGAAGGAGGTCAAATCGAGGAGGAGAGATGAGTGGGCGTGTCAGTTTTGTGGCGTTGAATGCTTTTGCTGGAGTGTTGCTGAGAGGGAGAGACTGACACTAAGCTTGAAGGGCTGAGCCTGACGTGGTGTAGACTGTGATTTTGGATTTTGGCTAGGGGGGTAGATGGGTGGATTGGAATTATACTTAGAGGCAGATTATTTTTTTTTTTTTTTTTTTTTTTTTAGATTTGAGTGTAGATATGAATAGATTCAGTCGTTTTTTTTGGTTTGGGGAGTTTGAGAGTAAATGAGGATTCGTTGATTGTGAGGCACAAGGTAGGATTGCGGTACGAAGTATGTGTAAAGGTGAATGTATGTAACATGTGATTATCGAGAGCAGGTTGGATTGTTTGATTGGTATATAACACATGTGAAAAGCTATGGTGATATATAAAAAGAGTGAGTATTGTCTGCATCTCTCCACGATACCAATTCACTCTCACTCTTCCACATACACAGCAGCATGCTCGTGAGACAATGATCCAATTCCACGCAATATCATTGTAGAACTTGGCATAGACGCTAGAATCTGGCAGCATTGCGTTCTGCAGGGTACTTGACCCAAGCCATTGGTGTCGACAACAAGGCAAGTTTGCCGGAACCCCCTTGAACAAGCACAAACTCAACTTCAACACCACTACCTCTCCTCGTGCGCCAGCGCCAGCGCCAACAACAGTCTTACGAATACACTCAGCCACGTGGTCCAGTCAGCCACGAGAGCAGCCGCGTTCCAGCGCCCAACAGCCTCGTATATTCCTTGATAACCAACAAAAAAAACGAACACTTAAAAACTCCAGGGTGTGCACAGCGCCATGCGGATCCGATCGTCGCAAATTAACTGGCATGTCACTGGCCCGTCGCTATTGGCTTCTCTCGCCGAGAGCCGTAGGTGATATTTATATATCAGGTGACTGAGCCGCAATGAGAAGACGTGGGTCTGGTGACCCAGGGCGTTGGGCGGTTGCCCTGAGCAATGGGCTTACTGAGTCATGGTGGCTTGTACGCAGGGGTTGCTTGACGTGCATGTTGCTAGTGTCCAAGGTAACGTGTTAATGTTATACCGAGGGCTTTTTCTGGAAGAAAAAGACTTGGGTCGGATTGCGATATATCCGGCGGAAAGATGGTGATGAGATTGGCGTAACGTGGAGCGTGTCCGAATGTGTTGGGCACGTGTGAGCTCAGAATGCTCGTTTATTCACACGAATAATGCGCGTGCTGATACGGCGTGATATGCATCGATGCTGGCTCTCTTTCTGGATGTCGGTGCAGATAAGCATGCGGCCGTGGGGGCGAAGGAGCAAAGGAATAGAAGGAAGCAGTGGGTGGGGTGCATGATCTTCGAGCTATCCAAATGCGGTAATGCACTAATCCTAAATGGGCTAATGACAGGTCGCTCTGGGGATAGCCGATTGCATTCTTATGTGGAGCGCATGTATTCATCACGATGTGAAGATATTAAAAAAAAAAGTACTTGTAGCTTTGTATGTGTGTGACTGCTGCGTTGCAAGTATCGATATTCCGTGACTGACTGGCTTTGTCAGCTTATTTTGTGGGGCACCCCCGGATTTGTATGTAAGCTTTTTGGTTGTCCCGACGAGTTTCTTCGCTAAGACAGGGATGCAAGTATACAGTCAGCTGAGAAACGGCAAGACAAGTAAACTGGAAACGGGAATCTGAGGTTGCTGTAATGCCAGGGGGAGTGGAAAGACTTGCAATTAGATCTCGTCGACTGTCATTTCTGTCTTGAGAGTATCGCAGGCTCTGAAGTACAATGACCATGATTGATGGGCAATCTATACCCCAGATGCTCCAGAAACTCATCACAGTCCAATTTGACCGTCTCAGAGGTAAATTCATGTTCCCAGACTATGTCAATATAGAAAATATGTATTAATTCTACCCTCTTCGAGTTGAACATATATCAGGGCTATGACTTCACTCCAGTAAGCAGGAATAGAGTGCCGTTATTATGCACAAATAGCGATCGCACACCACCCGTGCCACCTTGCGAATGTGTAAATAATCGTTTCTTGTTCTCATATACCCATAAATGGCAGTCAATACATTTTCTAACAGTGAGTAGACAATAGAAACAATGAGAATTCTCATGTCAGCGCGGCCAAGAGCCGTCATCTTCCGTCTTACAAAACCGGTATTTACCGTATTATACTCACATTCGATCCTTTCCGTCGGCGCTTCCGCACCGCTTCCGCAGGCGCTTCCGTAAAGGTGCAAGCGAGTGACTTGGCAAAGACGGGATGATGTTAATATAGACGACTATGACCCAATGCGACGCAAGCCAACCATGCTCAGGCTTAGCGCAGGGCACAGCGACCCAGCAATCACTTCCTATCAGGATATCTGCGGAGATTGCGGTACCGATGGGGGCTGTCAGATGGCGGACCGAGCGATACTCCGCTGCTGAAGTTGCGGATGTCTCCATTTGTATAACCACATAGGGCGAGGTGTCAGACTGACGAGTGCTTTAGAGTACTTAGCATTGCCCATCGCCTGTTCCTTTGATTACAGCAGCACATACAACACCTCGCGAGCTCACCTACCCGTTACGTCTTCCCGATAACGCGATCCGCCCATGCGCACGCGCACTGCCGGCAGTTCATAGCGCATTTGCTGGTTGAAATGGCCAAGATGGCTTGAGCCGTGGTGCTCGGGGGTACAGCCCAGACAGGCAGCATGGCTTACGTATCTCGATGGCTCCTCAGCGATGACTCCAAGTGTCGGGATAACTATAGGCGCGATGACGATGCAGCTTGCAAAAAAGGCAATCCGAGGCTCCAACATCTCAGATGCAGCGGACCGAGTTATTTGCACGACTAGGAGAGGCTGAGATGGTAGAGGCTCGCGGAGCCATAGCCCCGAAGTGTCGAGCCGTAGCTTCCGCGTGCCGCTGTCTCACACTGTTGAGTTTGGTCGTGCCTGGGTGATGAGCATATGAGCAACCCGGTTCAACCACGGAAGAGAAGGGATTTTGATTCACGGTACAGCTCGAGGAACGCTCTCCGTCACGGTGGCGAATATACAACACACCACGTAGGTGTCTGTCAGCATGACCTGCCGATCTATGTACAAAATGTGCAGCCAGCGCTGACGTCTTGCGCGGGATTTTAGGGCCGCAGAGTATCCGAGCCAGTCGAGTTCCGCGTGCGAAATTAATTGGTAGGAGGCCATGTATGCCCCGCTCAGATCGAAGAGAAGCTCGACGCCGTTGGGCGAGGAGGCTGCGCAATCTGGAACACACAAACAGCCGTGATAAGGCAGAGGGCCCTCGAAACAGCATAGGCAGAGGGCTGCTGATTGCTGGAGCGGCATGGCCGTGGCGGCTCGGTGGTTCGGGGTGGTAGTGTCTGTTGCAACACTTTCCCCCTCACGATAAGGCTTTCGTACCTGGTTCTCCAGGCGGCGCAGCAGCGGGCTGTCTCCCCAAGCGCCGGACCAGGCCGGTCAGTGTGCAGCAATTGCTCCATGTTTGGTGCCAGACCAGAGCTGACGGTGATTCTAGTCGTTAGTGAGGCTCGCAATTCTGCCCGTCCGCATCACAGGCAACTGGGCATTGGGCCCCCTCTGGTCAATTGCGTCGCGCGTGTGCTCGAGAGGTGCACCACGTAATTCCAGGATTTCGCATATCAAGGTATCCCGGCTGCTGAACCGGATCCATGGGACGCCATCCCTGAGATCCAGGACCATGCGCAGAAACGGTCCGTACAAATATTGGTCGATAATTGTGGCAAGTGACGCACACGGGCAGGCGAAGCGTCGCGGGACGGGACACTTGGGGCAACTCTTTGTGATTTTTTTTTCGGTCATGGTGTGGTTGATGTGAGCGGGCTGCAGGCATTGGCTGTGCCACGCAGACCGACACGTACTGAATCGACAGGCGGCAGGCGACCGATAGGCTGGCTGGACACGGCGGGGCATGGGGATGCAGGGCAGCATAGGGTTGGGCCTTAACAGGCAGGTGACTCTGGGGATGAAAGTGTGATGGAGAAAGGGCGGGCGTGAAGCCGTGGATCGAAGTTTTGGTCTGGCCAAGAACAGCCGAAGTGAAGGGGCGCTAGGCGACGAGGTAAAAAAACGCCCGAACGGCGCTGCCCATGCTTTTCACGTGTCAACCACCCCAGCCCAACCGCCCGTCACGCCCGTCACGCCCGTCACGCCCATGTCAGACTCGTGCTCGTACATATCATTGACCAAAACTGCTCTTGACCGCGACCGCCACGCTGCGACGGGCCCGCCACGCCCGGCTGCCAGAGCAGGCGACGGCGCCGCCTGCAGGCCAACCACGACCTGGATATGACGTCTCGCAAAGCTCCCAGATTTCGCATCCTCGAAGCTAATCCCCCGCAACGGAAACGGTGAATCTAGAAAAGCGGGGTTGGGGCAGGGCCCTGACCACCGTGCTCAGCAATGCTGGCCTCCAGACGGCCTCAAGTATCCCTTGCGGTCCATCCCCCTAGTCCTTTCACTAGACTGCTTTGACGCATCATTCCACCTGCTTCCACGCGCCCACCACCACCATGCTCAAGACGTTTGATGGCACCACCATGCTCAAGACGTTTGATGGCACCACCATGACAGAGGTCCCCACCGGGGCCCTCAGCGACTCCGTCGACAACCCCCCTCCGTTGCCGCTCTCAGCCTTTGCCGCCCACCACGCTGCTCTGCTGCCAGACCCCCCTCGCCGCCGCCAGCGCCGCAGCTGTGACGCCTGTCGCCGCGGGAAGAGGGCCTGCGATGCCGAGAAGTGTGCCGACTTTGAGAACCAGACGTGCTCCAACTGCCTCCGCAAGAACCAGGCTTGCACCTTCAACTGGCTCAAGACAGCAACCGAATCCCAGCAAGACCGTGATCGGAAGCGGCGGCGATCTTCAGCCCAAAACAGCGACACCTCGACCGAAGCATCTGCCACTCAGTCCAAAGGCTCCCACCCTGCAGCCCAATTCGACTCTGCTGCAAAGGAGACGCGTGAGAGAGCAGTCCAAAAGACCCGTTGCCCATCGCCCGAGGACGACGACGAGGAGCAGAAAGATGGCGCCAACGTCACATCAGCCGGCGATGCCGACGCCGAAGCAAACGACCCGAGGGCACTGCGGTCGCGCAAAAGCTCCGGGCGAGGGCTGCTTCTCTCATCACGTTCTCAGAAACTTCCGTTCGGCACAAGATTCCACGATAGGAGCCGCAACGGCAGTTTCCCCTTTCAGATCAATGAAATGTTTCTGGGAGAGAGGAGCTCGCGGGGGTTTGTGACCAATGGCCTACTGCGCATCTACAACGACAGTATGGAGAATGCTCTGTCGTGCTGGCTGACGGAGCACAACTGTCCATACACGCTGCAAAAGTACAAGCCTTCTGTGCTCTCCGTGGGAAAAGCAGACCGAGAATGGGGCACTTCCTGGGGCAACAGAATGTACAACCGCGTCATCCAGCTGGACCGAGCATACAACTCCCTCCGCATACGGACGTTGACGGCCGAGGAAGAGCGTACAGTGTCCAAAGCCCTCAAAATGACTGTTGTGGCTTTTGCCTCACAGTGGGCCCAAGCCGGCGAAAGAGGCACTGGTTTTCCTTCACCAGACTTTAGCTTCACAACAGACGAGTTCCCAGAGTCAAACTACTTTGAACGCTCAATGCAGGAGTCACTCTGGCATCAGACTTCGCAGATACTGCATCGTGCAGCTGGCATTGACTCGTTCCGCGTAGTTTTCGCCATGATCATCTTCTCGCTGACCCAGCGACCCCTCGATCTATCCCGACCGGCTCCACATCCCACATCCAAGCTCAAGTCGCAGTACGAGTATTTCAAGAATTTGATACAGGACGATGACGCCCCGATTTTCCTTGAGATAGCTCTGCGGCAGATGATGGCTCAGCGGCGAACACTGGAGCGCGCAGAACACGAAATGCCAAGGCTACCCAACGGTGAGCCTCAGGATCCTCTTCGGCCAGAAGACAGGGACACATTCAACTTGCTGTACTGGCTTGGCGTCATGTTCGATACACTATCTGCGGCAATCTGCCAGCGCACCGTGGTTGTCAACGACGAAGACTGCGAGCTGCCGCGATCTGAGAGCCAAAGACTTACCCAGTCATCTGCATGGCCCATGGTTCCGACGGCGTACGATGAGCATCTGCTGGGCATCAACACTATTCCGCAAATTCCCAACATGAGTGATAGCAGGGCTCCTCGGGACCACAAAGTTTGGGGCGACCTCTTCATGCGCGACATAGAATTGCAAGCGGATCCGCAAGCAACACGATGGCCGTGTAGCTACAAGCTGGCCGCATCGACACTGAGCTCTGCCGCACCAGTAAAAGTTCTTCTCTACCGGCGGGTAGCCCAGATTCAAACACTGGTCTCGCGAAGGGCTGAGGCATCTAAGATTGAGGTAAGTAACTGATTGTGCATACTGCTTTTCTGTGTATAGGTCACCTGACTAACCATCTCCAAAACAGGCCTCTATCAACGCCGCCTTCCACGTCTACAACCACTGGAACCGAAACTACAACCCGTTTATAACCGATTGCGTAAAACACCACGCTACACTGCCCACGCGCGTGCAATCCTGGTACATACTCCTCGCCGGACACTGGCACCTGGGCGTCTTTCTTCTTTCCGACCTCCTCTCCACCATTGACGAAACACGATTATCTCTCCCCAACGAACGAGCGTGCCGCCAAGTATCCGATCTCGTCACAACACTCCGCAAGCAAAACGCCTACGCGGTAGCCGATCTTGCCCTCGCCAGCATTCACAGTGCACAGGGTGAGGTAGCCGAGGAATTCCACTTTGCCCTCAACCAAGCTGCGCTTCTGACAGAGCCTTGGACAATAGTCTTTGTGCGGTCCCTCTGCAGGGCAGGCCACATACTCGTGCAGACGACGGCAGCGGACTCTAGCGAGCAGGAGCGCAGCCATGCAGCCACGCGCTGTGCCGATTGCATAGAGGGTCTGTGGTATCTCGGCCGCAAATCCGACATGGCGTTCCTCGCCGCGAGGTGTCTTTCCAGCATGCTGGATGAAGCACGGCGTGAGGCTGCTGCACTCACAACAGCAACCGCAACTACGAATACTGCAGCTACTACTGCAATACCAACACCTGAAGACGAGGCAAGCGACGATATCCCAACTGCTGCCTCATACCATCTCGATGATGAATCTACCCCAAGAGACGTAGCCGAACCACTCGATTTCCCACAACAACCTCCAGGCACCACTGCCGCCAACTCCAACCCCGCCATCGACTGCTCCACTTTCTTCCAACCCTGGTCCGTAGCTGATATAATGGGCGGTACCAGTACCGGATGTCAAATCACTGCTGCCGCTGCCGCTGCCGCTGCCGCCGTTAGTACAGACCAGATGCCTCCTCTGACCGAATGCAATATCCTAGATTTCCAAACTCCACTTGGTATGGATCCTTCGTTGTGGGATTTTGGCCTGCAGTCTTAGCATCGCATCTGCATTTTCTTTTTCTTTTTTTTCTTCCCTTTTTTTCTTTTCGAGGGGGCGTTTTGGATTGGATTGGGTCGGCATGGAATGGAATTGGACATGGACAGGGACTTGGATGGTAAGACAAAAGATTTTTTTTTTTAAAAAAAAGAACCCGAAATTTCAAACTTTGACTGGGCTGGAATGCATAAATGTCATTGTCCATGACCGGATTCTCCAATGCTAAAATGTATATGTACGTGTCTATGTAAATCAAGATAGTTGCAAGGATACCCCCTCACATGAAATATTTATATACTCTCTCTCTCTCTCTCTCTTGGGAAAGAAGAAAATGTTCTCTTGTCTTGCATACATGTTTGTTATGTGATACATCTCCACATCTCCACTTTCCAGTCCATTCTTTTTACCTTCTTCCTGCAATGTAGCGAACATGCATCAAGGGGAGGATTCTCAATCTCTATCGCTGCCTGCGTAAGAAGGACATATGTGGCATCTTCTGCCATGCTCATTCTTGTTAATACAAGGAAACTGTATTTTCGTGCCATGGAAGAAAATGAGAGGAAGAAATCCATGTCCAAAGCATTCTTCGGTATGTGAATGGAAGCGGTTGTAGTACTTTCGAGTTGATACCAATGCCGCTCTTTCCAATCAATACCTTCATCTCCCATTGACATATGTCTGCAAAGTCAAGGATATTCTATGCTCAAAATATACGCGGGTGAGACCTGGAGATTGAATAGAACGTGCACGATATGGACAAATCGAGATGATAGGAACCAATCACACGGCCAACTAACATCATATATTGAGGCACGGCTTGCATTGAGAAAACTAGGTATCATTCACATGCTGCCAATTTTAGACAGACCTAACCATGACGCCGCCCATGCTGGGAATGCCCACGCTGGGAATGCCCGCGCTGGGAACACCCGTTGCCGTATCGTAACCCTGACTTTTATAGTGTCGTAAGCCATAGCAAAGAACCAGACAGTCGCTTCAGCGAGTCGTTTATTTCTTCTTGGCATCGGCCTCCTCAGCCTTAGCCTTGGCACGCTTCTCACGGACACCGACGTGGCGGGCCTCGGAGCGGGCGTTACGGAGGGTCCTGTAGGCGTTCTCGGTGGCCTCGTAGTTGCTGATGAGGCCCTCCTCGAACTCGAGGACGTTCTTGATGGGCAGAATGGAAGCGGTGCTGCTGATGAGGTTCTCGCCGCTCTTGGCAGCCTTGACCTCCTCGGCGGAAGCGTCACCGCTCTTGGTCTTGCCGTTGCGGCGGGGGAAGAGGATGAGGCGCTTCCTGTACTCCTGGAGGCGCTCGACGTTGGCCTTGAGACCCTCCTCGGAGAGGTTCTGGCGGCGGGGGTCGACAGAGATACCGATGGTGCGGGCGAACTTGCGGGGGATGCCGGCAGCTATTCACGTTAGCGGCGTTTCTTACAATTCAACGCGGCGCATGTACCCTTCAACTCAGCAAGAGAGAAACCACGGCCGGGGCGGACACGGCGGTTGTACTTGATGGCTGCTACAGTCAGCAAAGATCAATCATGTATCGGGAGATGATATTTACTAGGGCAGCGGACAACAGGCCTCAGCTTGTCAACGGGCCTGGGGGCAACCTTCGCAGCCTTGGCAACACGAGCATTGCGTCTGGACTTCTTCTTGCCAGGCTGTTTGCAATGTCAGAAATCTGCACACAGGCGCCACTGCTCTCAGCGAGCTGAGAGGGGAGTTACCTGGTCGAAGTGCACGCGGACGTAGCGTTGCCTGTTCTTTAGTTAGTATGTTGTGCCCAGAGCCTCCAATTTCGAGACCTACCAGTCCTTGTGGAAATGGTTCTTCTGGATCTGCTGGTTGTGCTTGATCGCCATTGTGTCGGGTTGTCTATCCTCAAATCAGCCCTCTGCCGCCCGGTGGTGTTTCGTAATGTCGCGCGTCGCGTTGACGTACCTCGATGGCGGACCTGGTGGTTAGTTATCGTGCGGCTGTCAGGGAAAGGAACTTTCGACGTTGGTTTTCGCGCAATTTTCGACTTGCGCCTAGCGTGCGCGAGCCGAGCATTCGGCAAAACTTATTGCCGACGCTAGTTTGCTAGCGAGTGGGTCCGCCGCATAGCGCCACTTTGTGGGCAACATCAACACTACCTACAGCGTGTCATGGGTAGCATCCAGCTCCATGTGATTTGGATGAAGAAACCAGATTTCTGGATCTTGAACTTGCTGGTTTTCATGGGCTATTTATGAAAGTATCTATCTTAGTCTTTGCGCAAACCTGCAACTTGTCGTAGCCCAAATCATACTAAACTGACTCTTTTTATCTTTACAAAAATAATACATCATGAGACGACTAAAGTGGATTTTTAGAGAGTCTTGGAAAAGGACATCTATGCCTTTATGATTCTCTACCATTCGAACATGATGTACATTTCAGTTGACATTAGCGCAACCGTAGAGAACAAATGGTTCGTAATACAAGAACGAAACAAACCCATCAGAGAACGCAAAAGAAAGCAAAAATCGCCCATTTCTGGTATAAAAAACTATCCATATATCCATTCTCGTGTCTTCATGCAGCTAAACGGATGGAGAGTCCTCGCGAGGCGTCAATGCTTCCGTCCATCCAATGTATTCCCATCCTTCTACGGGCATAGGCAAAGGTTCTGTATTAGGCGGAGCTGGGGTGATTGCAGTAGGAGGTAGATGCCGCATCCGCTTTACTCGGGCCTCGATTTTGGCATGGAGGTATGCGTCCCAAACGGCGGGATACCGGTAAAGCCAGTTCCGTTGGACATTGTAAATTCGGATAAATCTTGGTTGTCCCATTTGTTCTGCATGGTAGAGGGAAGCTTCAAAGCCCCTCAGCCATCTAGCAGCAGCATCACAGTCTTTGTCCCCAGGGCCGACATTGGGATAGCCTTTTTTTGTCAACCACAGTACCTAAAAATGGAATGCCTTACTCACGTGGGCCTGCAGGTGGGATACGTGTGAACACGAGATTCTGTCCAGTGGTCTGTTGTAGGCTTTCGTGTAATCCCATCCGCTGGAATGTTGGAATCATCGGGTCCTCCTGTGTTGAGCTTGTAGATTGGGCTATTGGAGAGAGAGAATGGTGGACGTGTGGTACAAGACAGGAAGCTGCTGCAGCACGGGTCTGGTAAGTCGGTACTCCGTAGTGGGGAGGCTGGAAAGCTGGATTTTGTGGGGTCACTGGGTGGTTGCCATGCTGACCTGTCCGGTGTAATCGTTTTAGCTAAATCACTTGCATTGAACAAAGAAACTTACCCATGGGTGGATGGCTATCCGCATTCTGGTTCTCGTCTTGCGAGTCTGGTTGTGTGGTGTGTTGGTGATTGGTGTTCCAATTGTGCTCGTGCTCGGCCATCTCTGCGACATGGTCAGTTTTTCATGGATAGAACTAATGGAGTCGCCTTACTGTTGGTGATACGGTGGGGAAGAGTTGGAGGGTGGGAGGGCAGACTGTACTTGTGCGAGTACCTAGCGCGCTAGCGTATAGTCGCGGTCACTGAGCACGTGCCGGCATCTCGAGGTGAGTGTGAGACAGGTGAGAGCCAGGCTTGGCACCATTTTCACAAGGTCCCTGGTACGATATACTCATCAAAAAATGGTAATGTCATCGCTGATTGATTTGCCTTTTGGTGTCTTTGTGGTTGGTCATAGTTCTGAAGTACATTTCATTGTCACTGGAAAGCATTCATGTCATGGCACTTTGTAACAGCCATAGAGCAACAATGGGTGGAAACAAGTGTATAGTACAACGATGTCTAGGTGTAATCTCCGAGCATCTGGGCTAATTACATTCCTTCGCCATAGCATCTGCACCTCCCCAGAAAATACATGCCGTCCGCAAGATGGGTATACAAAACACCATCCGCTTGTCTACCAAATATGTGCCCATGTTTCCATTACCACACGTGGTTCTCATTTATTTACTTAATTGATCATGTCTTACTAGTCATTTTGAACGATTCCGTCCAAAACTCTGCAAAGAAGCGATGTCTTGCCACTGCCTTTCAATTGAATATAAAATTAGAACCCTCATAGTCTTGATCAAAGTGGACTATAATGCATGTGATAGGTCTGGTTCACTCCCAACATACTCCGGTCGTACCACCAGTTACCTCATCTATTCCTGCGACCTCCTTGACGCATTCTACAATCTCAGTAATCTTCCTCTTGCTCTCCTGTCACCTGGCCATCATTCTGGCGCGTCCCAAGAGAGTAGCATTCGCGCTATTGGCCCCGAGTTCACTTCAATGCTTCCCATGTAGCTTTAGCAACGGAGGGGTACCGAGTGCTGCAGGTATCCCTTCGGCTATCCAATGCACAGCAGCGAATTATATTGCGTTTGAAGTTGGTAAGAAATATAATAGTATTGAATATATGATTACAGTCTTGTAACTTTAAACTCATTGGGGGCGTTTTCTCTTAGTATGGGTACTGTTGCTTACGCAACTAAGGGTCACCACAGCTACAAATCGCTTCTTTTGGCTCATTTTCAGCAGGAATTCCGCATTCAGTCATTCAAAGCCCCGCAATAATATGCTCTGAGTTCTTCCAGCCTATGCTAGCACTGAATAGCTGCTAACTAGAAAAAGATTGTTACGGGAGACTTCTGTTAGTATAAATACATTAAGGTATTCTTATTACGTATCCTTGTCGTATTGTTGATATTTGAGAACAAACATTCCATTTTGAGTCACTAAGAGGATATAGATGTACACATTTTTTCACGACAATGCTTACTTGCTGCTAATAGGAGCACACAAATCGACACGTAAAAACATTGTCATTTTGGCTACATACATAAACGCAGCTTCAACTCTCAAAACTTTCTACAAAGCTACGCAAAAAGGACCGCCATCATCAGATTTTGCTGCTGGTGATTGAAACAAACGAGCAAAGAAGAAGTCTAGTCGTTATCATGGTCCCTTTGCGTATAGCGGTTGGCCCGGCCGCTGTACCGTTCGTGGAAGACCCTTGTCTGCGTCGGCCTCAACTGCTCAGCCCGAGCCGGCATGTTGTTGTCCTCTTGTTGGATCCTCTTGCGGCTGTTACCTTGCCAAGAATCGGTCTGCCTCCTCTTGAGGCGATTACCTTGTTCCAAGCCAGTGTGGAGCGTGTCAGCCGGGTGTTGTCTGGTACTAGACCCGCCGATGGACTGTTTGCCGGGCTGCTTGCTGGATTGAGCAAGCTGCTTGGGGGGCTGCACAGGCTGGTTCGACGGCTGGTTCGACGACTGGGACTGGCTAGCCCGGAGCAGCTCGTTAGGCGTGGGCGCCGGCCCGGCAGCAAAAACTGGCACATAGAGCTTCGGCTCATTCTTCGGCTTGTTTGCGTTCCAGTTCTGGACTATCATGGTCACCCACTTTTTGTCTGGACAGCGGTTTTGCACGCACCAGTTGAGCTGGTCTTGCGTGAGTGCATGATTGTTCATGCACTCTTCAGGCTTCTCCCAGTATGGGCATCGACGACGTCTCCCAACGCCGTACATGAGATAACAGAGGTAAAGGTTCTCGTCCTCATACAGGCCGAGGTGCTTCAAGGACCGCAAGTGTGTGTGAGAATCTTTGTCCAGAAGCACAGGACAATCGTCAATCGTCTTAGTTCGGAGGAAGGAGGAGTAAGGCGAGCGCCCGCCCGCCCGCTCACCGCTTGCAGGACAAAGAGGTGCCGTGCTCCTTGGGTTTTGGGGCTTGTTGGTCTCTTTGACTGCCTGCGTAGCGCGCTCCTCTCGTATAATGGTCTTTTTCTGACGTGGAGGAACTTGTTCGAGCTTTTGTGGAGGGGACGCCGTGCTTTGGGGCGAGGGCGCGGCTCTTGCAACTGGCTTGACTTCAACCATCGAATCCATGTCGCCAGACGCACGAGGCGGCTGCTGCGGTTGTTGTAGCTGCTGCGGTTGCGACAAAGGAGACATCCGGCATACATCTTCCAGTTCCTCAAGGGGCGGCGGTATGGAGAGGTGCTCTTGGTGGCGAAGGGCGGCCTGTTCTGCCCGCTCGTCCAGTCGTTTTCCAACGTATAGCCTCCAGATGCCCGAAAACTGGTAGATCCAGTTCCGGGTGTCGTCTTCAGCCTCCTCGAAAAACACAGATGCGTCTTGTTCTGTCCGGCAGATAAGGTGCTCATAGCGATGCACAAAGACCAGTGCTCTCTGATAATCCGGCTGGTCCTGGCCGCCGTTGGCATGCTCTGTTCGTTGTTAGTTACAGTACGCATGATCAAGGTAGTTTACTTACTTGTGCCTGTAGGAGGAGCCCTTGAAGACGCCTGGAGCACCGGTGTCGGCTGATAACCGGGAGCGGGAGCTTGTCGTGCATCATAGCAAGGTGCCTGATGCGATGGAGTCGGATCGTGGGAGACCGGAGTATCAGCCATCTTGCAACAAGTTCAGCTCCGCTTCTAAAACTAGTCGGCTGACTGTAAAATCAACTACCAGAGAGGAGCGAGAGGGCCGGAGAGCGGGCCGGTTTTTTACCCGTGCCAAGCAAGCTAGTATAGGAGTCATGTGGCACGTTATTCCAGAACCGGCGTGGAGGGATTCGGTGAAGGTGAAGGTGAAGGTGAAAGCTCACCGCTATGCTCGTCTTCCATTACACACGCTGTGCGGGGCGCCCCCGCAACATTACAGCCTCAACACAAGAATCGAATAAAATTTTTTGTAGACTGTTTGCCGTAGATTTCTATCTCATTTTCCGTAACATTGAATAACACTGGGAAGGTGACGAAGTAGTCGATCCTAAATCTTGATTGCGCGTCCTGCCCTTATAACCAAATGAACAACGATCGGCTGCAGACAGAACTGGCGCTTGACACATGAGAAGTAACAAACAACACTGATGAAAATCCTTTGTCTTGCTTCAGCTCTCTTGTTCGTCAGTTCCGAGAGACGGGACATCTGGAACTCCGGGAAGAAGATACTGGTATGTCAGTTCTTGTGGCGTTGGAGTTTTATATATGATGAACATGCTAGGCAGGTGGTAAATATTGTAATTTTAGTGTCCCATGAGAGGGGTTTGGCTTTGAAACAACTATATGGACCGCGTTGTATGAAAAAAAAGCTCACGTATGTGCAATCACAAGATATCAAGTCGAAAGCAAGAGACGAAGGACATTGTTCACGTGTAGACGATGAGAGATGGGCACACCCATTAACACGTCATAATGCCATTTTTTAATTGCATACAGGAGAAACAACCACTACACCCGACAGCAAAGGCATCGAGATGGTGGCACACAAGAGAACGCAATAACGACAAAATGTATCATGTCTACGGACACGATGATACAATAGGAAATATGCCACGCTCGAGAACGTGTCCACAAAAGTCATCATGTCTACGGACATGATGATACATGAAGACGCAATGAAATAGAAAAAAAGCAGATCTTCTCACATTAGGCACCGTCGCACATCCAGTCATCCCTCGGGCCAGCTGAAGGGAGACGGTCCTTCAACGATCGCCGGTGAGAAGAGGCTCATGTCAACTGCGAGCTGGCTTGCATCAAGATTTCAAATTCCTGATGCTGACGCTGAGCCCTCTCTGCCCGAGCATCGATCTTTCCGCTGACGTATGAGCCCCATACGGCTGGGTACTGGTAAATCCAGTTCCGGCTGGCGTCATCGACCACGACGGGAGGTCTTTGAGACGGGTCTCGTTCTGAGCTCAAATACGTTCAATTGCTATCTATTCACACACCGAAGGGGTAGTGCGAAAACCAAGTCGCCTGAATATTGATTCAGGCATTACATGCAAATGGTGGATTGCCCAGATATAGATCTAGTCAATGTATGTACACGAGAAGGGAATGCAAAAACCAAGTTGCCTGAAAATGGATTCAGTTTTTGCATAGAGAAGGTGGCTATCCAGATATGAATCTGGATAACTCACTTAGAAGAAAGGAAAACGGACGTAAGTCTGCGCAGACCAAGAGTGCTGAGGCCAGTCCTCATTGGGATCAGGCATATCATCGACATCCAACATGTCATGAACCCCGTTGCCAACGGCCCCAGCAATCGTCGAAGAGCTGCTGGCATGCTCTTCGTTGTTGCGTGCTTGCGCATCCGCAAAGAACTGTTGCGTCGAGGCTGGCTGCGTTGGCCGGGCGGGGGCTGGCTGCATCTGCCTTGGTGTGGGAGTTCGTGCCCTCGCAAACTGACGGGTAGAGCCTGGCTATCTTGGTTGGGCAGAGCCTGGCTGCACCTGCCTTCTGGGCATCGCAATAGGCCGGCCTGTTCTGGCTTGCTGAGGGGTGTCTGTCTCAACATCGACCTCGTATGCCGATGCTGATCGCTTCCTCGTGGTTTCGTCTTCGGTCGCTGCGCCTTTGATGCGGATCCCCGGTTGGCTGCTTTCTGGCCGGGATATTATATCCAGCATCCTGTTCAGCAGCTGTAACTGTCCAACGTTTGTTGGGACTGGAGGCGGAGGCGGAGGCGGAGGCGGCGTGGGAGGAGGAGCCCACGGCATGGGAGGAGGAGACCAAGGCATGTTCTGGTAATAACCCATGCCCGGGTTTTGGTATGTCTGCGGCATCATGTGATGGGTCTGATACCCTCCATGGGGTACGGTGTTGGGCCGGCTTGATACCCGTACGGCCTGTTGTGGGTCTGGCCATTCCAGTTGTCATGCCTCCGCCTCTTGTTGGGATTTCCACCCATGGAGACTGTTGGGATTGGGGCAGTGCCTTGTCTTTCGTGCTTGTACGCTATCTGCAAAGGCATGGGGGCGTCGGGCTCACGATAGGCCCAGGCTTTTTGGGTGAAGGCTGGCGCGTACCTGTTCGCATAAGTGCTCAACGGTTCAATATAACCGTTCGCCGTGAGCACCGCCCACTCGGGCTCTGAAGGGTACATCTGTAGCCCAGCGAGCCAGGGGTTGCCTACCCGGTAGATGCGTCTGCGAGCCGCGCCTCGCCTAGTCAGATATAGGCGGGGGCATGGCTGGCCGGGATGGGCTGCATGGACTGCTCCAGCAGCTTGGATAGGCGCAGCCAGTGCGCACTCGTTTGGACAAGGGAATTGGCCGTCGTTCCTTTCCAAAGGAGGGTCATGAGAGGCCAGTGGCTGGAAACAGGTTAAGCAGCATGTTTCCCACGACGCCAATGTGACTGATTCACTTGCCGGGTTGATATAGGGACCAGCAGGTGGTAGGTAGGCGGCTGGGTGCAGCATGCGTATGTCTTTGTTGGCCTGACCCGAGGGAAGATTCGGGTACAACGCTGCGGCTGCGTCGGGCGAGAGGGCCCTCTGCGGGTTGGCGTCAGGCAGGCTGGTGACCTTGATGGTCTGGTCTTGTGAAGGGTTGGTGTAGGTATCCCCATAACTACTAGGGTTAACGGGGTCGGCCATGGTTGTGACATTTATGGTGGCGAGCAAGACTGGGAGCTTTGGATATCTCAAGATATTGCACTGAAGCATAGGCTAAGCCTAATTAGGTTGGCGGCGAGCGAGGTGAACATATTTGGGAATGACAGTCGAAAAAGGTCACTGTGAAAAGTGAAAAGTTATTATTGCTTCATCTATCGTTCACCTTGTCATAGCTCTTTATCTAAGCATTACTATAATGCAACATAATTACTAATTAGTTGCAGCTTTTATAGTGAACATGAACTCATGAGCAGCAAAAGTGGCAGGGACCTTGTTATGTGACTGGCTCTTATAGACTGTTATTGGTTGTCTGTTGCTAACCTCTGGATCTTTTTCCTTTTCCCTAGGAGCGGCGAAATCATGGACCACCAAAATTATGATAGATCCACTGCTCAATCACACCCTTACTAGATTATCCCTATAATGCATTCTGCATTTCAGTCTCACCAAACGACCCCAACGACCTACCAACAGGCCCTGCAGACATACCAACAGCCTCCGCAGACATACCAAGCCATCCCACAGCCAACAAACCTGCCGGACTACGGTTTTGATCCCACTAGACACCCCGAGACCATGTTAGTGCAAGAGCGGCAGGCTGAACTGGCAGCGATAAGATAATGGCTCAATGGACATGGATATAGACAACCGTTTGATGTTGTCTGGAATTAGAGTCTCATGACCCGCCAGCACATGGTCGTTCACTATGTTCATTATTACTAAATGCCACACTAGGGTTTTAGCCCTGCGACTGACTACACGACACATCCGCCCACGGTACATCCGTCCACGACATATCCGTCCACGACATATCCGTCCACGACATATCCGTCCACGACATATCCGTCCACGACATATCCGTCTACACATCAGACAATGCCCCCCATGTCAATGCATGAGCCTCTCAGGTACGCGCATGTACCTGAGACAGCGTCGCGCGGTTAGATAGTGCGAGAGTCACAGTTGGACACGACAGTTGAAAGCCTTATAGAAGATTTATGGGGTATAGCCTTCACCATGCCCTTAGCAGGAGCCTCTGAGACCACTCCACGCTTAGGGACCTATTTAGATTACAGACCTAACCGCCACCGCCAAGACAGACGTCCGACTGGCAGACGACGTCCGAGCACACCTGAAAGCGTGCATCTACCCGATGGCATGGTTCGGATCGAAGAGGTCGACTCCGACGAAGACATTAGTACTGGAAAGGCGACTCGCTTTGCCATAGCCACTAGCATACTGCTTGTGTAGACCCGTCATGTGACATATGTTGCGGGTGTAGAGCGCCTTGTCAAACTTTTTCTATGCAATATGATCGATTATTTGCATGTTTCTTAGACCTTGAATCATGAGGTACTTGGATAAAGTGGTATCTCTTTCCAACATGTCCTTGATAAAGCGCTGGATCACGTTTCATGGGTGCTGGTCACGTGCGATCAAACACGTACAAAACCGCTAATGCGTAATGTCCTGGTATAATTCAATCAAAAGCCTATGGTGAGGGATATTTTGATTTTCATTGGGAAATGCAATATTGAAACTGGATACAAAAAGATGAAAAGGACTGACCAGGGGGGGTATACTGCTCTACTAAGAGTTTAGCGTCTTGGGAGCTCCGCGCATGGAGTAGGCGCAGCTTTTCGCACTACCAACATCAGAGCCATGAAGGGCTCTGGTAGTATGGGTGCATTGAAAGAACGAGTCAAAAATTATTTGCCTGTGTGGCTGCAAATTTTATCCGAGATTTCCCGTAGCAGTGGTGGCTGAGCTGTCCATTGCAGGGCGCAGCCAACTCAGCCTTCTCTACCCTGATCTCAGCCCACAACTCCCAAGATCGTTTCAATGCTTAATGAAACGGACCTACTCTCCTACAAATTGTATAGCGGCAAAAGTTTCCAACCTTACAAACTCGATCCAAGATGCGAAAACGAGAGCGCTTTCGTGCATGGTTCACTACAGACACTCCCTGCCCGGCACCAACCCCCACAGTTCCTCTTACGCCTGCGCAACAAACCCACTCTCCTCGCGCACCATCTATATCGCCCCCACCATGTCTGCCTCCGTCAAGCACTGGTTTGCATTCATCGAGCACAGGCCTGCCGGATGCGACAATACCACGTACCTTGGTACTAGAAAAGGCCATAGCGGATACGTTGAAGGAGCTCCCACAGATCCACAAATCAGCCTTCGCGCAGGCTTCAAAGACAATAGATGAGCAAACGCTGCTCTCCAGGGTGCAAATTTACGATAAGACGCACAAAGAACATTCGTCTTTCAGGCTCCAGGCTGAGCGTCTTTCCAAATTTCTACATCTTCTCAACACATTCATGGGAGGTGTAGCTATAGGTATTCAGGCGAGTCCTGAAATATCGTCTCTGGTAGTTGGCTCTATCAGGGTTGTCATCGACCTCGCCATCAAGTTCACAACGTATTTCAGCAAGCTGACGGACATGATTTGCACTTTCCAAGACTACCTCGGCCCTCTCGCGGAATATGCAAAAGCCGCAGATATCAATTTGGTAGAAGATACGGTGGTCAATGCTTACAAAAGGTTGCTCTGCTTTGGCTGGAAGGCGCGCCACGTATTCATTGATGCCAACGACAACCAGCGGAAGTGGACATCTTTTAGAACATTCATGCGCCAACACTGGGAGCCGTTTGAGTTTGAGTTTGGCACTATCAAAGAAATATTTCAGCACGACCTCGACGTACTGCTGCACTCTGTCCAGTCGCTACACTTTGACCTTGCTAGAAAGGACGAGCAAGCGAGGCGGCGTAGAGAAGAAGGTATGACCACCCACTCCGATATGAAACACTCATGTTTATGGTTGAAATTTTTCTAGCAAAGGAAAGATTGGAATTTCTCAACTGGGTTTCCAGCATTGACTTTGAGAAAACCCACCAGGATACTTTTGCAAAGAAGCACAACAAGACAGGTGACTGGCTCATCAATCATCCGGATTATCAGCAGTGGTTCTCCGGCCAGGGCTCATCCCTTCTCTGGTGCCATGGGAAACGTAAGCATTACTGCATATATATTCGAACGATGTGTTTTACTGACAACTCACAGCGGGAATTGGTAAGACCGTACTTGCGTAAGTGTAAAGTACCGCTTAACTGCTATCTCGAGAACTTTGGATTTGATTGCTGTCTAGGTCAAACATTATAGAAGACATTACGGCAAAGGTTGGACTGGGAGTGGACGCTTTTGTCTGCTTCGCTTACTACAATTACCAGAACGCGCAGCTGAGGGCTCTTCATCAGATTGTAGCTGCACTGATCAAGCAGTTATGTCGAAGAAAACCTAATTGGCCCTCTGACTTGCTCCAAACCAAACGGGACGCCTTGCCTTCTTCTCTGGTAGGCACACAGGATAGATTCATTTCTCTCATCGAAGACTTGTCTCAGGTATACGTGGTGTTTGATGCTCTAGACGAATGCCCGGAGCAAGAGAGAGGGGATATTCTTGGGTTCATGACCGGCATAGTGACTGCACAAATTGGATGCCGGGTCAAGGTGTTCGTCACAAGCCGACGCGAAATGGACATCGCCAAGGCCTTTAGCGACAAAAACGTACCCACGATTCAGATTCAGACCAAGAATGTCACCGCCGACATTGAGTCTTTCGCTCGCAGTCAGGTTGAGAGACTTCAAGCTGGGGAGCATGGAAAGACACTCTACATTACAAACGATGAGCTGAAGGAAAAGATCATTGGAACACTCGCTACCAAGGCAGACGGCATGTAGGTTCCTGCTTAGCAGTCATTATACGAACATCTTCAGGCTAACTGTAACGCAGGTTTCTTTGGGTCAAGCTTCAGCTGGACAGTCTCTGTCTAGCTAGTAAGGCCCAAAAGGATCGAGTGGTGGAAGCTGCGCTGAGTGCACTACCCCAAGGCTTGCCAGGTACCTACGTTCGGATAATGGAGCGCATTGAAGCCCAGTCACCGTACATGAGGGAATTGGCACTCAACTGCCTAGTTTGGACCATCTATGCTCGGAGGCCTCTCAGCACTGTGGAACTACAAGAAGCGCTTGCGGTCAACTCGAATTGCGAATCCATTCAGCATTTGCAGCCCGACTCACCCCAAGTGATTCTTGAGGCTTGTTGTAATCTCCTCCAAGAGACCAATGGCTCCATTCGGCCGATTCACTACACAGTGCAGGAGTTTTTGACACGCACCGTTCAAGGGCTACCGCAAAAAACCATGCAAACCCTGCTTCAAGAACGGAAATCCATGCACAGAATAATCGGCTTAGGATGTCTTGTGTACGCTCGGCTAGTCGCATTCGAGAAACCAGTTGAAGAGGGAGTGTCTCTACGACGACGACTGCATGCTTATCCCCTGGTCGCATATGCATGCCAAAACTTCGACTATCATGTCTTTCAATGTGGAGAACCAGGTCAAGATATTTTCGATGAACTCGAGTCGCTTTTCCGACAAGATAGTGCATATCTTGCAGCCATTCTGCAAATCAAGGTGTGGCTAAATGGCTATACCCACCGAGCAATGCTTGGCCGCTTCAACCGCATGGACTTTGTTGTCACTCCCAGTACGATAATTTACAGCACATTTCTCTATTGTATTCCTACCATGAAGCAAAAATGCCTCGGCCAGCCGCCCCCAACATATGCACTACAATTAGCAGCTTCTACGGGGCTTGCAAGCGGAGTGATCGGACTCCTTCAGGCAGGATGCCCTGCCAACGGGAAAGACAACATTGGAAAAACAGCATTATACTATGCGTGCCTCAATGGTTATGCAGAAATCGTTGAGGCTCTATTTGACAACGGTGCCGATGTTAATGCGGAAGATGATGACTATGGCAGCGCACTACAGCTAGCTTCACGTCAAGGCCATGGACATATAGTTGAGCTGCTGCTTGAAAAAGGCGTCAACGTTAATATACAGGGTGGTGGCTGTATTGACGCACTTCAGCAAGCTTCAGGTACCGGTTATGCGCAGATAGTGGAGATGTTAATTAAAAAAGGCGCCGACGTTAACGCACCGGGTGAACACTACGGGACCGCACTACAACTAGCTTCACGAGGAGGCTATGACCATATAGTTAGGATGCTAATTAATGAAGGCGCTGACGTTAATGCACCGGGTTTACGCTTCGGCAATGCACTGCATTTGGCTTCATATGCAGGACACGAGCAGATAGTCAAAATGTTGCTTGAGAAGGGTGCCGACGTTAATGCTCAAGACGGAGGTCGCAATGCATTGGAAGTAGCTTCAAGGGAAGGCCATGAGCGCATAGTCAAGATACTGCTGGACAACGGAGCTAATGTCAACACGCAAGCTGAAAATTTCAACGCATTACAGGCAGCTTCGTCACGACGCCATGAGCAGCGTATAGTCCAGATGCGGCTTGATGCAGGTGCTTATCAAAGCCAGGAAGATCGTGTGTCGGCTTGAGTAGTTTACTTCAGTTCTTTTAGTTGGTATTCCGAGCTGGCGCAGAATAGTAAGAAATACAAAATTGCAAAGTGCAATGATACATGTTCTTGAGCTACTATCCTCTTGCGATATTTTCTTTCTGAATTGGCTGCGATAGCAAAGTATTGAAAGTACCATATCATTCAATGTTTTGAGGTTCCCAGGGAGATTTAGTTTGAGAAAGAGACTCTCAAAATGTGACACTGCTTGCTTGGTCTTGGTGTAGAGATTTCTTGGCCTATGATTGTCACGGACCGCCATATACAAATATGAATTTGAAGCAGCCAGTAGATGAAGGAAGGTATCCTGTAGGGGCTGGATGACTGTGCTGCAGAACCAATTCGCCATGAACTGCGGAGCTCGTGTCCCAAGTCGCCTTGTCTAAAAAACTCGATTTTGGATGGTGCATATGAACGATGACTCTTCATACTCACAAGTCAAGGAAACCGAAGTTTGGTACTTCCTGAGAAAGGTATGTTGAAATCGATGGAGGGTTTCATCGCCCATGGTTCTTGAACAGCCTGAACCAAGCCATGAGATTCTGTATACCAATTGAATCGTTTCTCCGTGCTTTGATTTGGTTTCATACGATAGAGTTGCAGACTTGGTGCGTCATCAGCGTTCTACATTGTTCATATTACATTACCACAGATGAGAAATAGGGTCCACAGACACATTTATTTGGAGGACAACTGCGCTTTGCTGTCATCTTGATTTTCATCATCCCAAATCCACACAGCAAGCACATCGCGATCGCGATTCAGGACAAAAAATGCCTTTGATTCAGACTTTTCTTTCTTTGCTACCACTCGCCATTTTTCGTCTTACCGCCTTTCTTTCACACGTTGTAATGAAAATCCTGTCTTCTCTGCTCTGCTCTGTTTGTAGAACAGGGAATATTCATCCGGATACTGTTTTTCACTTCTACCTCTTCATGATCTTGCCACTTCTAGTGCTGATTCAAAAGAGGTTCATGTACTGGTTGCTGGGATACCCGCCACAGATGACCCGACAGCGCCACTTTCTGGTCTTTGCCTTCACATGGCTGCTGATGGTCTGCCCTCTTTTGGTCATGTATGAATGGAAGCGTGGGCGAATGTGGGCTGTCTGCAGAGCAAGTAGACGACCAGCGCAAAATGCTCGACGAACATATTACGTTAGTTTTTGAATGGAGACAGGTGGGAGTCTTGGATTATTGCGAAGACGGTTACATAAGAGAGGTGGATATGAGCGACGCTCATACGACGGAATAGGCCTTGCATCAATGCAGTCTTGTTGGATGTTAGGTGTGGTAAGTCATCAAATTCCGGATATTTTCTTCCTTTAACACCACGTGGTGCGTTAATTAACAAAATCAAAAGCAGATTCCAGCCCATGGGATTGCAGGCCGAGCCTCTCAAGCGTCTAGAATTCCATCAGGCCATACACATTCACAAACAACACGGCGATCTCAGACTATTCAGGCAGGAGAAACTGCTTTGAAAAGATTATGCTGCTGCCATAAGATGGTCTACACAAGCAAAATCTTGGCCCAAGACATGTACAGCAGGTCTAAGACACTGATAACTTCCTCCGTGTCATGGTGGTCCCCCACAATCATCATCATTATGATATGCCAATTAAGAATGCCATGCTCCACATGCGAGAATGAATCAGGTTGGTCGGGCAATAACAAGCATTCAGCCGAGTGCGGGATCGCCATATTAGCTCCACAACTGCCGACATGGGGCAAGGTCGCACGAGGGAACAAGGCCAATATATATTGACTCAATATACCACGTGCTGTGGGGCCGGCAGTTGGATATTGGAATTGATCAGAGACGGGACAGGAGTTGGAGGTGACCGCTGGCGGCAGTCAGGATATGAAGCCAGCACTGGACGCGCTACAAGAACAAATCGAACTTTTCTTCTATTCTTTTTCGTAGGCTCTTCGATCACACCAATACGGAAGCAGTCATGTTTGCACTCTTGTTTTTCGCGGCCTTAGCGCAGGCCATCCCGCAATTTGGCGGCAACCAGCGCTTCACGATGCTGCGGTTTGGCTGCGCGCAAACTGTAATCGATCGTATTGATCCGCTCGTCAATCCTGGGCAAGCTCCCTCACCGCATATGCATCAAATTGCAGGCGGCAATGCTTTCAACACCACCATGCAGAGTACCGATATTTCCAAGCTCGCGACCTGTACTACATGTGGATATAGTGAGGATGTAAGTGATACGATGTGAAAAAGGCTGTGAAATCGGATAGCTATGAGAATACATGGCTGACTACTGCAGTTGAGCAACTACTGGACTGCGAATATGTATTTCAAGGCCAGAAATGGAACTTATAAAAGGGTACCGCAGATACCCAATAGGTGAGATTGAATCTATCGGCATCACCTAGCCTTCAAACTGACAAATGGCAGGGACCTCTTCAACGACAAATACACGGGTAAAACTACAGGAGGTTTCGTCGTGTACTACGTCTCTGGAGGCAAAGGCGACGTCACAGCATTCAAGCCAGTCAGTGAGCACGAAAGCTTTATACAGGACCCAAACTAACGCAATTCGAATATCCAGGGCTTCCGTATGCTTGTCGGCGACGTAACGAGCCGCGTATCCAAAAACCGAAAGTCTCAGTCTTGCTTCCGCTGCTACACCGCACCAAACTTTGGTGGTGACAATGCTGCACCATGCCAGGATGCCAAGTACTTCACCCATCTACTCTTCTCAAGCATAGACGTACTAAAAGTCCCAGACTCGATACAGAAGGCTTCCCTACAACTCCATGCCCAGGAGGCATCCGCAGCAACATTCTCTACCCGACGCAAGTAACCCATAACCCCCGTTACGACATGACTGCTAACGCTCATCAGATGCTGGGACGGTGTCAATCTCGACTCTCCAGACCACAAATCGCACGTCGCGTATCCGGTCAACGGCCCCGCGCTATTCACCGGCACCAGCACAGGCGGGGCCTGCCCGTCAACGCACCCGGTCAAGATTCCACAAGTGATGCTCGAGGTACGCAACTCTCTCCTCATTTCCACGCAATAAATCTTCTAACAAAGGTATCCAGATCGTCTGGGACACGAGTAAATTCAACAACAAAGCCGATTGGCCCGCCGACGGCTCGCAGCCATTTGTCCTCAGCATGGGTGACAACACGGGATACGGACAGCACGGCGACTACGTGTTTGGGTGGAAAGACGACTCGCTGCAAAAGGCCATGGATGATGCCAAGGGCTGCATGGGAGCAAACTGTGGGACTTTGAAGACGCAGCAGCCGGCAGATGGGAATAAATGCGTTGTTCCGAATCGTGTGCGTGAGGATCATGATGGGTGGATGACGGCGCTGCCAGGTATGTCGATGTAGTGGGGTGCTGATGATCTCATGCTCGTTATGAAGAGGTCATGTTTTGGGTCGGGAGTTGTATTACGGGCTTTAGAAGAGTATAGTGTGCATTTTGCTTACCAAAATACACCTTTTTTCGCCTAATGGGATGCTTCTTTGCGGATATCAGAATTAACTAGTGTTATGGAATTGACGAGGTACTCTATGCGTAGATGCAGGTTGGCGCTTGGTGGTCTGGTAGGCTACGACTAGGCGGCGTGCCCATGATTCATGCACCATTACTCAGGTAAATGTCCGAGTCAAGATGACAAAACCATGAGTCAGGTATGTCAACGTCAGTTCAAACCAGTTTCTTCGATTTGAATAATGGTGTACTTATTTTTACTCCACGGCATTCATGTCTCGCAGCAAATCTGGCAGCGATATTCATCCACGGCCTTTTCTATACATCCGCACTCCACCAAACACCTCTAGTCTTGACGCGCAGGATCCAGCTTAATCTCGCCAACAATCTCATCAATCTTGGCCATGACCTCTGGTGTAAGCTTGTTCATAATCTTCAAAGCCGCACAGTTGTCAATAACCTGCTCTGGTCGGGAAGCGCCTGTAATGACTGCAGAGACATTTGGGTTCTTCAAGCACCACGCGAGCGAAAGCTGCGATTGACTGACACCAAGGCTATCGGCGACGGGCTATGGAATGTAAGCGAAGAAAAAAAATGAAGAGTACAGTACAAACCTTCAGAGCTTTTGCGCTGTTAATCATATTTGTCCATTCGCTGTTTCCGTAGCTATCCCGCATGCTGCTGACAAATCGGTCTTTGCCTTCTGCGAATCTTGATCCTGCTGGAGGTGCGTCTGGGCTGTCGTTGTACTTTCCACTGAGGAGACCAAACTTGAGAGGCGAAAAGGTGGTAAGACCAATGCCGAAGCGTGAGTAGAGTCGCTGAAACTCGCCTTCGACCTTCTTCCTCTCCAGGAGATTGTACTGCGGCTGCTCAACGATTGGTGCAATGAGACCCAATTGCTTCGCGATACCACACGCTTCGGCAATCTCATCGGCAGACCATTCAGAAGTACCCCAGTACAAAGCCCAGCCCTTTTGCTCAATCACGTGGTTGAAGGCGCGGACAGTTTCTTCCATGGGCGTCAGGCGATCCGGGCGATGCGCATACACGATGTCGACATATTCGAGATCCATGCGCTTGAGAGACGCGCGAAGACCCTCGACAATGTGTTTACGTGAGAGACCATGGTTGTTGATCAGCACCTCTCCGTTTGCCCCACCCCAGTTCAGCTTCGTCGAAATCACGAGATCGTTGCGGTTCCAGCCAAACTTCTTAATCGCCTGGCCCATGATAATTTCAGATTGTCCTCCAGCATAAGACTCGGCAGTGTCGAAAAAGTTGATGCCGTTATCGTAGGCAGTCTTCATAATGGAGAATGTGCCCTCTGAGCTTGAGTTAGTCATGTGATCTGGCCAGGCACGGGATTATCACCATTTTCGACGTGGCCACCAAATCTGCAAAGGATCAGTATTTTCATTCCAATTCAACTCGGTTTCCATACGTCAGCCATCCTCCTAGACCAAGGACTGAAACATGCAGCCCCGAGTTTCCAAGGCGACGGTACTGCATGCCCGTTTTGCGAGGTTCTTCCCAAGCCATTTTGCGGATAACAAAGCACGTGAAATAAAGGTTGACTGGAATATGAAAGATGCAGTCTCCAGCGCAGAGCCTCAGTAAGTCTCTCACGATGAGTCGATGAAGCGGCCAAAAGTTGTGCCGTGTCGAGCGGATCAAAATCCTCACATGAAAGCAACCAGTGTCATGAGGCTTCGTGCATCGGAGCGAGATTCTTCTTTGGGCAATGGCGGCGGTATTCAGTTTTCCTGCTGGCGTCTTGGACATCCAGACGGGACTGACTCGTGCTGAGAGCTCGTCATCCACCCCCGCAATAACGACATGCCGTAGCCTCGATTCGAGTGTGGAGCGCAGTGAGAGGTGGGTCTGACTAACGATTTCAACGCTGAGGGATCGTTTCTGGGATTCATGAGGCTGGACAAGGCCTAATCGACTGTCGGCTATCTGGATCTTCTTAGTAAGACCGGCATGGCTCCGGCATCGTTTGTTGGCTTGGAGAAAATTTTGAGCTTGAATGTAAGACAACTCCTAACTGTAAGCGGCCATGGCAAGACGTTGAGTTTGAATTGGATGTTGGGACCGGATGTGCATACCCGCGGTTCGCAAGAACCTCGGCACGGCTGGGGGTGAAAGGCGGCTCTTTTGGCGGGGTGCCAAGACACTAGCCAAAGACGTCCAATTACTTTCACTACACGTAAGCACTACTAGACGCGGACCGCTCCACCTTCTTTACTCGGACTACACGGTGAACCTAAAATCAAGTCGCTTGTTTCCATCCTGCTCTCGCGCGACGACATCCGCCTGGTACACGGCCTTTTCTTCGCTGGTCATGGCATCCCACGTGTCCTGCTTCTTCTTGTTGATTCGCATCAGAACCACGCGCTGCACGAGAAAGGTGACTAGGCTCAGCGCGCAGATGGAGACCAGCACCGAGTTTCCCTGCTTGTAGTACGGGCCGTCGTACTTGCGGTAGATCTGGGAGCTGATCAGAGAGCCAATTTGCACAATGACATTATACGTTGCCGCGGTAATTGCCCGCTTCTTGACGTCAAAGGTATTTTCGGAAATCCACGATGAGACCAGGGGGTGAAAGTACGGGTAACCCGAGATGAGCGTGATCAGCGAAAAGCGGCCCCATTCGCGCCCGCCGTCGGGAAGCGTCAGGAGAGCAATGAGGAGCGGCATGATCCAAAACTCGCCAAACACACAGTGGAATGTGCGTTCGTTGAAGTAGTCGCTGGAATATGCTAGCGCCAGCATGGTGATGACCTGGAGAGCAGCAGAGGGAATGGTAAGCATGTTGCTGTTAAAGGTGCTGAAGCCGAGGCGCTTGAGCGTGAGGGTAAGGTAGCCTTGGACGGGCGATGCGGGGATGTATGCAATCAGACCGATAAAGTATAAACCCCACATGGAAGAGTCCGACCAAGCCGCGCGAACATCCTTGAAAGTGGCGGGTTCTTTGAGAGCTGTGAGTCCTTTCGCCGGGTCGTCCCTGAGGATACGGTTGACCATGATGACCTCTTCTCGCTCGGTATACCAGCCATTGGGCCAGAGCACATTCTTGGTGGATGTGGGCGACACTGGCAAGTACAAAAAGGAAACGACAGCGATAATCACAGTCAAAATGCCTTCGAGGAGGAACAGCCAGAACCATCCCGGTTTTCCTCCGATTCCACGCATCTCCAGGATACCAGCTGCAAGCAAGGCAGAAATGACACGGGCGATGTTGAGCGTGGACCAAAAGGCAGCAAGGCGCATGGAGAGCTCTTTCGACTTGTAAAAGTAGGTGGCGAACAAAATGACTCCAGGAATAAAGCCTCCTTCGCAAAGTCCAATAGCGGCGCGTCCAAGATAAAAGGAAGTACGGTCGTGCATCCATGACTGGGCCCAGGAAGCGGTTCCCCAGGCAAACATCATACTGGGAAGGATGTATTTGAAGCCATATCGCTTGGTCAGGCTGGATGGGTATCGTCAGCCAACATCAAAAGTCAATTGAATCTACTCACAATTGCACTGGAAACTCGGCAGCAAGAAAGCAAACCAATTGAATGGTTGTGCCGTTGTTGTAATCATCGCTGGTCAAGCCAAGATCCTTCAAAAGGTTGTCTGCGAGCGCATTTGATACATTTCCGCGATCGAGCTCCAATAGTCAGTAATTTGCTATTTGAAGCGAATATGGACTTACCTGAAGCCCAAACATCATCAAACACAGCCATGAGAGCAGCCGTAAGTCGGTTTTCAATACAACACGGCGCTCTTCCTCAGCAGTCCAGGTCGCATGGGGGTCGAAGCGGTGTCGGCCTTCGTAGCTCTCATGAGGCGGCACAATATCTGCCAGCTCTTCTCTTCCGACCTTTGTTGGCTTGAGCGATCCGTCGTCGACGCTGACCCGCACCGCCTGCGGGGCAGTCTCAATATCATGGCCCATCTTGCAATACCACAGTGCCCAAGCACGACCCAAAACAACCAAGGAACGGGAAATGAGAGTTCAGCGCACTACAGTTGATGGTGCTGCCCATTCACTATATATCTCGTAATCACAGCATTGCGCAATTGCGCCTCCCGTCGTCGCCATCATACACTTCTTCCCCGAGGCAGTAATTGCGCCGGCGAAAGAGGAGAAAGAGGGGAGCGCACGGCTTGGTGCACGTCCATGCACGTCCTATTGGTCTCATGCATCCACCCCGGCCCTACACTTGCTGGTAATAGTGCAAGTAATCCGCAGCATCATTGTCCCGCCCTAGTCCCGGAACATGCCCCCTACCCGATGACGTGCTCTCCCACGTGTCTGGGGGAGGGGTGTCCTGGAATACGGCCCAGATTGATATACCCTGGGCTGTCCAGGCCACCATTACTCCCGTCTATCTTCGCTAGAGCGCTATCTGGTACTTGCGTTTCGCTGAGCATTGATTTTACCTCGTTTTCTGAGCAATACACTGTATTTTTGGTCGCCCAAGATGCCGTCCGTACAGCACGTCAATGGAGAGGATGGGTATGCTGGCAACGACACCAAGATCTTTGGCGGAGACTCGTCTGCTCGGTCAAGGCTATTAGAGCCCTTGACCTATTCTGGCTCTCTGGAGGGCTACAAGTACCAAGACTTGACACCAGTCATTGGGCGCGAGTTTGAAGGCCTCCAGATCACCGACTTGCTTCAACAAAGCGATGCCGTGATTAAGGACCTAGCTATCACTGGTTAGTTGAGTCTGGATCCCTCTTGAACCAAGACAACACTGACACTTCCTCTTAGTATCTCAACGCGGAGTCGTTTTCCTGCGCAACCAAGATGTCACACCGACCCAAATGCGCGACCTAATGCTACGCTTGACGGAACTCTCAGGCTGCGTACGTTGTCAACAACCCCTTCCCTCCACCACGACTAACTCTCCCAGCCCTCATCATCCAGCCTCCACGTCCACCCCCTCACAGAAGAAGGCTCTGAACTTGGCGACCAAATCTCCGTCATCAGCAGCGAAAAGCAAAAGAAAGGCGGTGGCCTCACCCACCAGCTCTCCGACGTAAGTCGTCTTGCATCTGCAGGCTGGCACAGCGACATTACCTTTGAGCCTGTGCCGTCCGACTACGCCATGCTCAAGATCCACACGCTGCCTCCTACTGGCGGTGATACTCTCTGGGCCTCTGGCTACGAAATCTACGACCGCTTGTCTCCCGCAATGCGCACGTTTCTCGAGGGCCTGACCGCCACACACGACGCAAAGTTCTTTTTGGACGAGGCCGAGCGTCTGGGAAACCCGCTTCGCAAGGGCGTTCGAGGGAACCCGCTCAACTACGGAGATTCACTGACAGCCACGCATCCTGTTATTCGAACGAACCGTAAGTCTCTCTTCCCTCTCCCTTTGCATTCCTTCCCATCTCCCCATTCCAACACATACGAAATATACTAACCCGCATCTTTTCCACCTCCAACAGCCGTCACAGGCTGGAAATCCGTCTACGTCAACAAAGGCTTCACCAAGCGCATCAACGGCATCACAAAAGACGAATCCGACCTCCTCCTCCCCTACCTCTTCAACCTCGTCACGCAAAACCACGACGCCCAGGTCCGCTTCAAGTGGAACAAGAACGACCTCGCCATCTGGGACAATCGCAGCACCTGGCATTGTGCTACGTATGATTATGACGAGGCGAGGGCCGGAGATCGCGTTTGCAGTTTGGGTGAAGCCCCGTTTTTGGATCGTGAGAGTGCGAGTCGGAGGGAGGCTTTGGCGAGGGGGTGAATGCGTGGAAGGGGATGAGAGGGCGGTGGTGGTGCGGTGTGGAGTGGGGGGTTAGAGAATTGCGGGATATAGAGAACATAAGCAATGAATGTGATGATCATGACAAGAAGAAGCGGATGAAGGAGTTCCAAGTCTAATAGCATGACGGTGTGGCGAATCATGGCCACATAGACTGCGTGTGGATATCCAAGTCAACAACAATGGAACCTTTTATTGAAGAAACTAACTCGAGATGACAGACCATACATCCCATCAACGATCCTTCAAAAGTCTCACTCAGCGATTACACGGCTCCATACGACCACATCACACCAGTCCAGCATCATCGCATGCAATTATTCAGTCCTCGCCGCAAAGCAACACAGCAACATCACCATATCCGCAAAATTAGTATAAAAATTTCGTATTCATATCAATCCAATCATTACAACCGAAAACAACAAATTAAACTATGCCGTACTCTGCAACTCAGTCAAAATAACATCCGCTGCCTTCTCCGCAACCATGTACGTCGACATGGCAGTAAACGTGCCGGGAATCCTAGGGAAAACACTAGCATCCACAACGCGCAGACCAGCAACACCACGGACATTGAACTTGGAGTCGAGCACGGCCATTTTGTCGTCGTCGGCGCCAATCGGGCATGTGGAGGAAGCGTGGTGGCCCCACGCCGTATCCTTTGCGTACTGGGCGATCTTGGCGGGTGTGTTGGCGTCTTTGCCTGGAAGCACCTCGTCGATGGGGACGAGCTGGCGCTTGAAAGCGTCGCGGGCGAGGTCTACGGCTTCGGTTAGGGCAGTGAGGTCCTTCTCGTAGTCGCCTGCGCCCGTGTCAAAGTAGTTGTATGTGATTTCAGGCATGTCGAGTGGGTCGGCCGATCGCAGGGTTACGGTTCCGGCGTTGTTGCGGGGATGCGCCTTGAGGATCGCCCAGGTGAACCAGTTGTGCTCGGCCGTGGCGTTGTGTGCGTAGCCCGGGAAATAGCCGCGGAAGTTGACGGGTCCGCCAAAGGCAAAGATGTCATAGTCGTTGTTCTCGGCGGTACTCGACTGGTAGAACATGGTGGCGCCAAGTCCTGGTGAGGCGTAGATGCCGCGGTTGCCCAAGATGGATTTCTCCCATCGGTCCATGCATGCGTCTGGCTCGCTTTCGTCAAAGGTGCAGCCGTTGAGAGCGGAAAAGTCGGATTGGGCTTTGCCTTGGACGTTGATCTCGTAGTGGTCTTGGAGATTGGTGCCAACGCCAGGACGGTCGGCAATAATGGGAATATTGAACTTCTTCAGCTCGTCGGCGGGTCCAACACCGCTGAGCTTGAGAAGCTGGGGAGAGTTGTAGGTTCCCCCGGCGAGAATGACTTCGCGGGATGCCTTGGCGGAACCGGGTGTGCCAGTGGCGCCAACTGACTTGGGGCTGGCCTTGTAGAGGTACTGGCCGTCGAGAAATTCCACTCCGGTCGCGCGGGGAGGCGAGACGTCCTCGTTAAAAGTGACCTTGGTGACATGGCAGTTGAGTCTGACGTCGAGAGGGTACTTCTTCGCGCCATTTGCATCCTTGGCGTCGCGAACAGACAGGACAAACTCGCGGGAACCAGTGCGCTTGCCATCGGTGGTGGAGATGGGAATCTGGTAAAGGCCTGGCCCAGCGTCACGCTTCTTGGTGTCGGCGTTGGCATCGCCAGCAATCAGGGTAGCGAGGTTGACGATAGCGTTGGTCTTGTTACTAAGAGCAAAGGCGGCGCCGCCAACCAAGCTGAGAAGCTTGGGGTCAGAAGTGACAATATCAATGGGTGCATAGTCGGTTCCAAGCCAGCCCTGGTATCCGTGGGCTCCCGTGCCGGGGATGAGGTAGTGGTTGTTCTCAAGCTTCTCAAAGTACTTGCGCATGTTGGCAGGCGCCCACGAGTCGTCGCCAGTGATAGTTTGAACGAGCTCAAAATCAGATTGGTGTGGGTAGACGGCGATCAGAGCGTTGTGTGCTGTGCAGCCTCCCAGGGTACCAGTGCGTGGGTATAGAGTACCCTTCATGGTAGAGCCTTCAGGTGGGTTGAGGCCAGTGTATTCGCCTCCATCGGCAGTGGCGTAGCTGGTCTTGAAGTCACGTGCTTGTCTCTGCTCGTCTGCATAGTGCTTGACGTAAAAGTTCCAGCTGAGATTGGGGTCTTCGGATGACCTGGCACTGAAGGCGGGCACAGTGTAGTTGACGTTGGCGCCCTGGTCGTCACCAGCTTCGATGAGAAGCGTCTTGTGGCCGGCGAGTGCAAGACGAGCGGCGAGCGGCTACACGCAGTCAGTGACAATGTTAGATAAGCTGACATGGTGGTTACTTACGCCACCGCCTGCACCAGAACCGACGACGACATATTCATAGCCAGTCAGATCGACAGCCCTGGCGAGCGAAAGGAACGCGGCAAAGGAGCCGAGGATTCGCGGAAAGATCATGGTGATTAACTATTAAGTAGGTGCCTGGGTAGGAATCAAAAGAACGACAGAGGCTTGCGGAGGCCTACTTGGGTTCCAAGACAGTGCCGCCTCGAGTCTTTATACACCATGTTGCTCGTATACATGCCGTCACCAGGATACCCCTTATTGCCGCGGCATAGGCGACGTGTGCCGAGCATTTGCACTAAAACCATTGGTCGCATAGGGTACCGTCTCAGCGGTGCTCGATAGTCGCGGTGTTTGGTCTCTTCTAGGCTTGCAAAGCAATGCCACGAAAACGGCATGTAGATCGTATGGAGACGGTAAGGTTCATGTGGGTCGCAATTTGCGCCACGGCAAAGGACGTTTGCATGCCGTTCTGCGCCCGTTACGACAATGCGTTCGTGCGATCAAGGCTTCGATGGCAATGAGTACCGTATCAAGAGTCCAACCTGTCCGTAGTTAGCGCTGAAACGACTTTGTCATACAACCACAATCTGTCTTGACAGGAGGCCACAGTGTGAGATCGTGGCGTGCAAAAATCTCTTGGTGACGAGCAGACACCTTCCCCCTTTTGCTAGGCGCATCGCCTGGGCCCCCAGTCTGAGCATGACACTTTTCCTGTCAGGAACCCAGTGCAGGGCCCGTCATTTCGCCAGGGCCGGACGTTCGTCCCGCTTCGGGAGGCGCCCAGCAAGTGTGGAGTAATCGTTCAAGGATAAACGGACACTATAACCACACGGGGGTTAGCAGCAACTGGCAACGTCCATTGGAAACCGTCTGGGCCTGAACTTCACTATGAACTGAGCATCGGCACCACGTGGCTCTCGCGGATTGCCACGCTCACTTCCGCTAATGGGGATGGTCGTCATGCGCGATAACGAGAAAAGGGCATCAAAATTCGTAGTCTTCGCCACTTTACCCACCAGACTGACTCGATCCCCACACACCCAGATCAGAAATGCTCGCCATGCGAACGCCATGTTGAATTCGGCATTCGTCTCGACTCCACTACTCCTTCAATGCTTCTGCTTCCGCTAATTCCATTCGCCAAGGCATAAAACACCGTTGCCTCGTGCTAAATCACCCCCTCATCGAAAAATCTGACAAGAACACCAACAGAGTGAAACTCTAACTATATTGGGTTCAGCGCCTGTCCGAGTTCTTTTGAGGAGGGAGTGAACTCGTCTCTTCGCCTACCTACCCGAGTGCCTACGGCTGTCCAGGCCATACGGCATCCGCAATGCTCCGGACGAGCTGCAGTTTCTTCCTCATGTCTTCGTAGCCCAATGCATTGCCCTCTGCATGCGACGCAAAGCCGCACTGTGGGCTAACGCAGCACTGTTGGAGGGCGTCTTCGCGCGACTGACCGGTGCCCTTTGCGATCCAATCAGCGGCTTGGTTGACTCGGCTAATCATCTCGTCCTTGTCCTCGAGCGTGGGGAATTTCGACGTAATGACACCCAGTACGACATTCTTGTTCTTGGGGAGATGCGCTAGTGGCTCGAAACCTCCGGCGCGTGGTGTGTCATATTCAAGGTAGTAAGTGTCGACGTTGAGATCCTGCTTGGTTAGCATGGCCGAGCTCTGAATCGAGGAAATAACAGTACCTGGAACAGCTTCTTCGCAATGTTGTCATATGCACCTTCACTGAAATGCCTGCTTCCCACGTAGTTGCCGCGGCACAGGTGAATACCCAGATGCATGTCCGCGGGGCGCTCAAAGCACTTGTTGTAAAATTTGACATACGAGTCAAACATCTCGTCGGCAGTCTTATTGTTTACCGAGTCAGCCTTCCAGCCTGCCAGCATGTCTTGGGAGCAAAAGTAGGCGAGGTTAGGGTCATCAATCTGAATGTTCCGGATGCCTTGCGAGTGCAGGATCTTGAGCTCTTCTTGGTACGCCTTTGCCACGTCCTCGAAATACTCTTCGTCGTTTGCATACACCTCCTTCGGGTAAGCGGAGCCGTTCATGTAACGGAAATGGTACCAGGATGGCGAAATGAGAGTGATTTTGATGTTCTTCCACTCGCTCTCTGGGAGCAGACTCTTCATCAAATCGACCTCTCGTTGGTTACTTGATTTTCCAGGGTGCCTAATCTTGTCGACGCAGACAGTGACGTGGTTTGGCACCTCCTTTGCCTCCATAAACGACTTGACATCGGGTGCGTACGCTCGGAACATGTCCTTGGTGTAGCCCTTGAGCACGCCAAGCTGGAGCTCCTTCATGCCGTGGAGGGTTTCAAAAAATGTACCCCAGAACATGTGTCTAAGCCAAAGTGAGTCTAGACACGGGCTAGTCGAATTCACACTACGCACCTGGTGTACTCGCCGCTCGACACGACTTTGAGTCCGCAGTCTTGTTGAAATTTGACCACCTCTGCAACCGCCTTGTCTTCCAAAGGTACGAGCTCCTCTGGCTGTGATTTGCCGGACGCGACATCGTAACGCTTCTGCACCAGCTCCTGGGGACGGAGCAATGAGCCGACGTGCTCAGCGCGGAAAGGCGGGCTTCTCTTGAGGGATGCCATGGTCAGGTTGGCAGTGTAGGTGTAGATGGCTTGAGAACAGACAACGAGCGCGCCGCAATCAACTGGACAAAAGTTGGCCCCTCATCTTTGCCTGCTAAGTAGCCCCGCAATCAGACCTGAAGCGGACGTTGATGGAGGCACGGAGGATATTAATTGGACCCTGGCGCAGGCCGAGGAGGGCCATTCCTGGACGCCGGGGGCCAAACTAGCCTCCGAAACAGAGGAGTCGAGGGGATTGGGAGGGTTAAAAAGTGGCGGGCGGGGCGTAATGTGGGAGGGAGGTCGGGCCAAGGTGGGGCCATTGGCCGATGCGATGAGGAGGCGTCGATATGAGTGCCATGGGCGACTGATGCCGGAGTTATACAACACCCCGAACTATCCGCTCGAGAGTCTGCCGCCATCGCTACGCCATCGCCTGGCCACGCTGCCATCGCTCTGTAATCGGTTGGGCAAGCTTTGTCATCGTCAGCACGCGCAACCGGCACCGGCACCTGTTCAGCGACCGGGCCGGACAATGAAGATATGGCTGTGCTGCGGGGTGTACTGGGAGGTCCATAGTCCGTTTGGGAGGCCGGAACGACGTGAAGCTGGCGAGCAGCAGCTGTTTGCGGTGCCGCGAGAAGGGGAGAATAGCAAGATGCAGTATGCCCCACCAAAGGTGTCGCATCGATGATGACGCCATTGGCAGCGCAGCGAGAACTTCACTACCACTATCAGGCAAAGCGAGCGCCTTTGTCAGCCGCGACAAATCCACTCGTCTGCAATGACCGGCAAAGGACCGCCCCGCGCTAGCTGGGATGCAGCGGCATTCATACGTATAGATATCGACATGTATGCTCCCGCAGCCTCCTGCGAGCTCCTGGACGAACCCCCCGCGGACCTCATTGCACCACTTCCCTCAGCATACAATCCAACATGACCCGAGTCCTGTTGACCGGAGGCAGCGGCTTCATTGCCGCACACACTCTCGATGTCCTGCTAGCACACGGCCACAGCGTCGTCACCACAGTCCGCAGCCAGGACAAGGCAGACAAGGTCGCCGAGTCGTTCAAGAGCCAGGTGGAAAAGGGCCAGCTGAGCTTTGCCATTGTTGCAGACATTGCACAGCCCGATGCCTTTGACCAGGCCGTGGTTTCAGACCCTCCTTTCGAGGCGGTACTCCACACTGCGAGTCCATTCCACTTCAATGTGACAGACATCAAGAAAGTGAGTGCCCCACGCCTGGAGCAGCAGTCGGCAGCGTACTGACCAGCCAGGACCTCCTCGACCCGGCCGTCATCGGAACCACAGGCATACTCAAGTCCATCAAGAAGAATGCGCCCACAGTAAAGCACGTCGTCATCACCTCGTCCTTTGCCTCCATCGTCGACGGATCCAAAGGCAACTGGCCAGGCCACGTCTACACCGAGGAGGACTGGAATCCCATTACGCCGGAACAGGCCCTCGAAAACCCCATGTACGGATACCGCGCAAGCAAGACGTTTGCAGAGAAGGCGGCGTGGGAATTCGTCGGAAAGGAGAAGCCAAACTTTAGCCTATCCACCATCAACCCGCCCTTGGTCTTTGGGCCCATTGTGAGTGCCGCACGCCCGCACCGACGACCTCAAGTTACTAACAGCCACAAAGTCACATCCTCTCGAAAGCCTCGACAACATGAACACATCCAATCAGCGCGTCCTCGGCGCTGCCCAGGGCAAGTTCAAAGACGAGATTCCTCCCACCGGTGTGCACTTGTGGGTCGACGTCCGCGATGTTGCCGAGGCCCACGTGGCGGCCATGGAGAAGCCAGAGGCGGCCAACAAGCGCTTCTTGGTCTCTGCCGGCTTCTTCTCCAACAAGGAAATGTGCCAGATCATCAAGAAGAACTTTCCAGAGTTCAAGGACCTGCCCAGCGACACGACGCCCGGCGGCGACTATCCCGAGGGCACGCCCGACACGGGACTGTACAAGCAGAGCAACCAGCGCTCCATTGACGTCCTCAGCCTACAGTACAAGACGTTTGAGCAGTCCATAGTCGACACGGTCAAGTCATTCCAGCAGAAGGGATTGTAGACGATGCTGTGGAATGCGCATTCGGTTATTCGATTGGCTACGTAGACTATCTAGCTTGTGCTGTTGCAGCAACGCGTCTGCTTCCATTGCAGCTGTATTGACCTAGACAATGCCTTGTTAGCGCATGAAGCGACTAGAGATGGACAATGCGACATGAATTTCAGCAATCAGCCTGTTGAGCTTGATCTTGTTTTTAGACTTCACCGTCGGTGACTCGGAAGTTATCGTTTTTGTAATCATCATAATGCAGAGATGAATGAAAATGAAACCAGCGTATGCTTACCTATAGCTTGCGGGCATGCGCCGGCGGCCTCCTGGTCCTGTATCAAGGGCGGCGCGCTGGTAGCGGTGATGTGAGGACAGAGGCGCGGAGCTTGCGAGAAAATGCAAAGGCTCGGCGAAAGGTCGGGCCGACGTTTCTCTTCCAAGATTAGGCAGGGCGTGCCCCACCAACGAAGCCCAGCGATCGCGGGCAGTGACACAGCAAAAGCCCCTAACACGCCTCGGTAACATTACCACCACACTCGCCTGCCGTCTTTGCGCGCCAGCATACCTTCCAACGAGCCCGCCATCCTCTTGAACCGCCGGTTGTAGCACTCGAAACACCACAGTCATGGGTAAGTCAGCTGCCTCTACCCCGCCATCCGCCCAGCCTCGATGCGCCTCTGCCCGCGGCAGTCGAGCCATCTGCTCAGGAGCCGTATGGGCTTGATGCGAACATGTCGGCTGCCTCGGGCGACCTTGGCGACCTTTTGTGACGCTGTAGTCATGCGTTTGTCTTGACGGGATTGGAATCGATGAAGCGTCTGGTACTGACTCTTGACAGCCGACTTCCAAGGCATTGCTCGTACGTACCGCCCGTCACTCCTAAAGTAGCTCCAGTCGAATCGCTGCTGAGCCCTGCCCCAGAACAGTTTGTCGAGTTCTACTACAAGACCTTTGACGAGAACCGCGCCGGTCTCGCTTCTCTCTACGTATGCGACCCGGTCTGAGCAACGGCGCGACTGTCGGCTTACACGTACCACAGAAAGACACTTCTATGCTCACCTTTGAGCAGCAGCCAACACAGGGGTCAGCCGCCATTGTAGAGAAGCTCCAGGTAATAAGAACATTCCCAGACTTCAGGGACAGAGCTAACACCGGCAAGAACCTGCCCTTCCAGCAGATACAACATCAGACCGCCACTATTGACGCACAGCCGTCTGCTGACGACGGTATCCTTGTTCTTGTCACGGGCGCGCTCATGGTGAGTATGCTGGTTAGAAAATGAACAGCTTCAGCTAATCTTGGCAGATTGCGGGCGAGACAAAGCCAATGAGCTTCACCCAGGCTTTCCAACTCAAGAACGCCGACGGCAGCTGGTACGTTCTCAACGACGTTTTCCGTCTCGTATACCCCGCCGCATAGAATGCCTAACCGCCTTCTGTTGTCGAATGGGAGCTAGCGGAATCTGGGGTGGTATCTGAAGCGTTGGGCGGAACCTCAAGGGGCGGGAGCACGTTTGCGAACGTCTCTGACTTTGGAAGTGTTGGTGGATGGCCATGTTAAGGACAATGAGAATGACAATTCCCACAGTCATTGCTGCACCATCTGGGGCATGTGGAACGGAGGATGATTCTTGCACGGATATGTCGAGTTGATCCCAGAATTACATCAGCATTATTTTGCAATACGGCCCAGTACCCCGTGTGGTTGTGACGCACCGCATACTTCGGAGACGTTTTCCTTGCACGTGATCCGGAAGAGAGCTTTGCCGCCACTTCTCCGCGGTTACTTGCCGAAGCTCCACGCAACCCCTCGGGTCTGGTGTTAGCTTGCAACAACCATGGCTTCTGCGCGTGGCAATGGTCATATCTCTCTTCTTCGACCCAATTCATTGAGTCTTTTTCCTCTCGCCTTTCCTTGATCTTGACGCCCTACAGCTGTCGTCTTGAGCGTTTCACTACTGCTCATCCATCATGGCGTTCGTACAGAAAGGTCTCAAGAACATCCTCCAAAAGAACCCACACGATGTCGTGTTCCTCTCAGCGCTCCGGACTCCGGTCACAAGAGCAAAGAAAGGAGGCTTGCGCGATGCATATGATCACGAGCTCTTGGGAGCGGTACGCCAAGTCAATCCTATGTTAGTCGTAAACTAACGGTCACAGGTCCTCAAAGCGACCATCACCAAGTTCCCAAACCTCGACCCTGCAAAGATAAACGATGTATGCATTGGAACTGTACTCGCCGAGCTTGGCGGTTCCAAGGCCGGTCGCATGGCTGCGAACCATGTTGGCATTCCGACGACGACTTGCTTCAGCACCGTAAACCGCGCCTGCGCATCCGGCCTCTCTGCAATCACGTCAATCGCGCACTCTATTGCTATCGGACAAACCGACGTCGGCATTGGCGGAGGTATGGAGAGTATGACGCGCAACTACGGCAGCAGGGCTATTCCCACCGAACTCTGGCCAGAGATGAAGGACAGCCCAGTCAAGGAAGCACGAGACTGTATCATGAGCATGGGCATCACATCCGAGAACGTGGCGGAACGATATGGCGTGTCCCGCGCCGACCAGGACTCCTTTGCCGCGGAATCGCAAAACAGGGCCGCAAAGGCGCAAGCAAACGGTTTGTTCGACGCCGAGATTGTTCCCGTTACCACCCGGTGGATTGAGCCCGAGGTGCCGCAAAACCAGAAGCAAATCACCGTCACAAAGGACGATGGCATTCGGCCGGGGACCAAGGTGGAAAAGCTCGCGGCCATGAAGCCGGCGTTCAAGCCCGATGGTACCAGTACAGCAGGCAACAGCAGTCAGGTTTCGGACGGAGCGAGCGCCGCCCTCATGATGCGCCGGTCTACCGCCACGGTGCTGGGCCTGGAGAAGCACATTATCGGAAAGTGGGCAGGTACACAAGTCGCGGGCTGCTCGCCTGATGAAATGGGCGTCGGACCCGCTCTCGCCATCCCCAAGCTTCTCGACTACACTGGTCTCCAGACGGACGACGTCAATGTGTGGGAGATTAACGAAGCGTTTGCCAGCCAAGCACTCTACTGCATCAGGAAACTAGGCCTGGAGAACAAGATGGACAAGATTAACCCCAACGGAGGCGCTATTGCGCTGGGCCACCCGCTTGGAGCAACAAGCGGCAGGATGCTGGCGACGCTCTTGAGTGAAATGGGGAGGAGTGGCGAGCAAGTGGGTGTACTGAGCAAGTGCATAGGAACGGGTATGGGCATGGCTAGTTTGATTGTACGCGAGTAGGAGACTTGAAGTGAAATGAAAAAAAACGAAAGAAATGAGAAATGAAAATGCATGATTCGGGGTATCAAAAAATTATATACGGTCTTCTACGCTTTTTTGAAAAAAAATATAACAAGTTCAGCCACTTTTTTTCATGTACGACATTCAGCAACTCAGGGTTTGCCCTTTTTATTCTTCTTTTTGGAACGCTCGGCGAGGATCTCATCGAGGAAGCTCTTTGGTTTTGTTCTTGCTTTCTTAGAAGCGGGCTGTGCGACGTCGGGCTCTTGGTCTTCTTCCTCTTTTTGCGATGGCTTGTCGTCGGCTGGCGCATCGGTGACGACATTCTCCTTTTGGTTCGCACCGGCTGCTAGCCGCTTTGCTCGCGTCTCCTCGTCTTCGTCGTCGCTATCTACTACCTTGGATGCCTCATCCTTCTTCTGTCTCCTAGACTTGAAAGTAGCGGCACGGCCCTCGTCTTCATCGTCAGACGCCTCCTTCTTGGCGGCCGGCTTGCTATATTGCTGGGCTTTTGCTGCTGCGCCGAGTCTTGCGGCCTGCTGCTTGGCCGCAATATGTGCTTTGGCTTTCTTCTTGCCAATTAGTTGCTGCAGCAGCTTGTCGTCTGATGTCGGTATCCTTCTGGTAAAACTGCCGTCCTCGACATCCTTGGGCAGGACACCGCCAAGACCGATCCTGGGCACGAGGTTAGCACGCGCCGTGGCCGTGGAAGTGCATGTGAATTTACCTGTCGTGGGCGTAGTTGTGTTTGAGGTCCTGATCATCTTCGTCTTGGGCCGTCGCCGCGGTATCTCCCGAGTCCCAGTCTGGCCGCGAGCCGTACAGCGACGCCAAGAGCGTCTGTCCTTTGGCCTGGAGCAGACTTATGCGGTTTGCAAGGACATCGCCGTCGCTGCTCCTCTTTGCCATTTTCTCTTCTGGGCGCGGACTTGATCAACCGGACTCAAGCCAGGGGGCGGCGCGGTATCGCCAGCGACCAAGTTCCCGGCCGCGATTATTTTTGAGGACCCGGTTCATTCTCGGCACGCTAGCAGACGTCCGCAACAGCCCTGTGTAGCAGCCAAGATCAAACAGAGAGCTGCTCGAACTCCAGCTTCACCACCCCCCTCAACCCTCGCCCGCCCCCCAATCCACAGACGTGTGTCTGCCACTCCAGACATCATGTACACCTTTGCCCGCGCCCGGCCGCTGGCTCGCGCTGTTCGCGCTGCCGCTGTATGCAACACCGCCGTGCGTGTGCGAGAGCTGCAAAAGCCTCTTACGCACGTCCTGCCCGCAATAGAGGCTGCAGGCTAACGAAGCCCCCCCCTCCAGGAAACACCGCTGAAGCGCTCCGCCATCCAGCAACGGAGAGGCCTCGCCATCCACGAATACAGGTCCGCGGCCCTGCTCGAGTCGGTACGAATTGCTCCAATGCCTCTGTCCCACCATGCCCCCTGACGTGGATATCTAATGCGAAGCGCAGTATGGCATTGGCGTGCCCAAGGGCGGCGTCGCCACCAGCGGCGCAGAGGCCGAGAAGATCGCCAAGGACATTGGTAGGCGCCAGCAAGAGGAGATGGGGTAGTTCTGGGCTAATGCGTGCAATGCAGGCGGAGAGGACGCCGTCATCAAGGCGCAGGTTCTCGCTGGAGGCCGTGGAAAGGGAACCTTTGACAACGGCTTCAAGGGCGGTGTCAGGGTCGTCTACTCGTATGCACACCTCGCCATGCTGCCGCAGTCCCCCGGCCAGTCTCTAACACCGCACGCAGTCCCCGCGAAGCCGCCATCCTGGCCGAGCAGATGATCGGCCACAAGCTCATCACCAAGCAGACGGGAGCCGCCGGCCGGCTCTGCAACTCTGTCTTCATCGTCGACCGCAAGTTTGCCCGCCGCGAGTTCTACCTGGCCATCCTCATGGACCGCGCTTCCCAAGGCCCCGTCATTGTCGCTTCGTCGCAAGGTGGAATGGACATTGAGGCGGTTGCCAAGGAGCACCCCGAGGCCATCATCACCACTCCCGTTGACATCCACAAGGGCGTCACCGACGAGATGGCGCGCAACATTGCCACGGACCTTGGTTTCTCGGAGCAGTGCATTGAAGACGCCAAGGACACGATCCAGAAGCTGTACAAGGTCTTCATGGAGCGGGACGCGACCCAGATTGAGATCAACCCTCTCTCCGAGACGACCGACCACCAGGTTCTCGCCATGGACGCCAAGCTGAACTTTGACGACAACGCCGACTTCCGCCAAGAAGAGGTCTTTAGCTGGAGGGACATTACCCAGGAGGATCCCGATGAGGTCAAGGCCGCCAAGGTTGGCCTCAACTTCATCAAGCTCGACGGTGATATTGGCTGCCTTGTCAACGGTGCTGGCTTGGCCATGGCTACCATGGACATTATCAAGCTGAACGGCGGTGCGCCTGCCAACTTCTTGGACGTTGGTGGCGGTGCTACTCCCGAGGCTATCAGGCAAGCGTTTGAACTCATCACCAGCGACCCCAAGGTCACTGCCATCTTTGTCAACATCTTCGGTGGTATCGTCCGATGCGATGCTATTGCCAAGGGTTTGATCCAGGTTGTGCAGGAGATGAACCTCAAGACACCCGTCATTGCGAGGTTGCAGGGTACCAACATGGAGGCTGCGCAGAAGCTGGTAAGTTTTTAATCGCCGACAGGTGATGACATTTCTAACTCCTATCTCCAGATCAACGACTCAGGCCTCAAGATCTTCTCGATTGACGATCTCCAAGCCGCGGCCGAAAAGTCTGTCCAGTTCTCAAAGGTGGTCAAGATGGCCCGCGACATTGACGTTGGCGTCGAATTCACTCTTGGTATTTAAAGCACCCATCAAGCAGAGAAGCATAATACCTTTTTCCGGCTGACCCACAATTATTTTCATGTGCGCCAATTAGGTTGATAGATTTAGTTGCATTTGCGCTTGTGGGGAATGCAAAACAAATAGTTGTTCCCCCGCCGTGTGCGACGTCGTCTTATAAAATCTGTGTATTTGTGTGGTCTTGTTGGTTGTGACGTGATGTTTGTCTTTGGTCATGTATTGTTTGTTGTGAGTTCCATCAAACATACCGTTAAATTCTGCAGACAAAGACCTTACTATATTTAAACCGGTAAACGTTCTTCGAAGCGTGGGATGGATGCAGACGGAATGGGATGTTACGCGTCAAGGTTGGCCTGGGGAACAATGGATTGAATGTGGTTAGTGTAGTGTTAAGAATAGCAGCATGATTGGGTTGACTACAACAGGTATGGTTATGTATATCTATCCTTGTACTTAATAGCCGTGGTAGTTACCATCACACTTTCATCCTGCCATCACCGATGGTCAATTGTACTCATGAGGGCTGTCATCGGCTTCATGTCCTGCCATCGTCTTTAGGCCCTGCCTTCACTGATGGCTGTTTGCGTGATGCCAGTCATGTGACCGATGTGTATACATCGATCACTACTCTTGAACAAGGAGTGATTAGTTGCCAATGCCTTAAGAAAAAATCTTTCCTGTTCCATGTAATAGTCTATATCAACTGGTATCAAGCTGTGCCACTGAATATTCGACCACTTAAACTAAAGATCCAAGACTTCATTCTTGTCCAATCTTGTGACCTGAGAAAAGTAGTGCTGAACAAGTATCCCATTCATCTACTCTTGGAATTAAATCTAGTCTAGGTGAAAGCCGGTCATTGATTGCGTCTTTGCTCTGAACAAAGATATATGATGACACCGGTACGCCTCAAAAGGTAGTCAGCACTGATTGCATGCACGGACGCATGGCAGCTGCTATAAGGTTTATCCCGTCCGAAGCCTTCCGGAGCCCCCCAAGCTATACCACGTGTGTTATCCAGCCCCTACCGGTACTAAACACATATCGCGCCATTTCCCTGGCACACAGCTATCCAAGTTCCCGCAAACTGTGCATTCCCTTTGACATCACAAGTAGCGCGCTGACCCAACAACATGATCAACACGGAACCCATTATCCAAGGCAGAAAAGTCACCCTCTGCCCTACAACCGAAGATTGGTCTGTGCCCCAACTCGTCAAGACGTGTCCCGAGTGCGGCGCCTTCGTGCTGTTTTGCTGCGCGTGTAACAACAAGTACCATCATCTGCCCGCGAGCCGGCGACCCGCGCTACCCTGCCACCACTTCCGCCTCATCTTCACTGACGGCGCCTGCACCAACAACGGGCAGCCCGATGCAAAAGCCGGCATCGCCGTAGCCTTTGGAGCCGCCAAGGACAGCCACATGGCTATGCCCATTGGGGACCGGATAGACGACTTTCCCAAAAGGTCCAACCAGCGCGCCGAACTGTGTGCGGCAAAAGCCGGTCTCGAGGCTATCGCCGCCATGGATCCTCTGCATCCCAAGTGCAGAAGTAGTGCCTGGATTATCGCCACCGACTCGGAATATGTCGTCAAGGGCATGACTGATTGGCTGCCCATGTGGAAGGTATGTAAATGTGAAACACCAATGCAAGCTTACTTTGGACGACGCAGGAAATTTCTGGAAATGGTGACCTTTTTTTGGTTTTAATTGATTTTGATTTTGGTCTTGACAGAAAAACGGTTGGCGCACCGCAAAGGGGACTCCGCCTTCGAATTCCGACTTGTTTCTCGCTCTCGACGACTTGGTTACGCTGTATGAGAAACATGGGATTACGGTTCGTTTGCGTCCCCCCCCCCCATCATGTTCTCTGAGCCTTTTTTCTTCTTCTCTCTGTTGAACTGTGCTAAGAGGAATGGTAGATTGGGTTTTGGCACGTCCCCAGGGAATGCAACCAGCTCGCTCATCGGCTTGCGAAAAAGGCTGCCATGTACGATGACGAGTCTACATTCTTCTGATATCCACGCTCGGGACCAGAATGTTCGATTGGCTGTCATACGACGTCTCCGACGCAGGAAACGGAGCATATATGGATTGGAGGGCTGCATTTGTTCGGTTTGAGGGTTTGATGATAACAATAATATATTAGAGTAGGGATATAATGGTAGAAAAAATGCGTCGGCGCGGATGGGAATGGGCTACAATTCAGACGCTCGGGAGCTAGTGTATAATACTAAAGGGTTATCTTGTCTTTTAAGAAAAGGGGGGCTGCTTAGTGGATGATTCATCGTTCATGTGACGTCTGCGAGCAAGAAGTACCTATGTCATGTGAATCTGGCTGCTTGGAAGGCCAGTCTAACGTTTTACAATCTATCCAGGTTATTTTCTAGTGTAGCAGCTATTCAATCGCTCAAGATTCGTATCTCGTAGCCGTCAATTGCAGTTTTAGTTGCATATTATAATCAGTCACGTGTGAAGGTTGAGTCACGTGTTGTATCGCATAGGGGCTTAAAATGCAACACTTTGTTAGCAAAATTATATCTTGTTGGATATTAGAAGTTCTACTGTTATTCGTCTACTAGATGTTAGGATATTAGAATTCTCCGTCGTGGGCTAGACGCGCTAAGCCTTGTCACTGACGAACGCCAGAACAGCCAGAATAACTGCTAAAGCTACACCCCTTTTCAGCTCCGTTACGGGCTGTAGGAATGTTCATGTTTCTCCCGAGCAACACTGCCCATGGAACCAATCACCTGTAAACGATTTAGTAAAGCCGCTACGTACTGTATACTCATCTCTTCTGCCGTTTCAATGTAAAATCCAGATGGCGCATAGTAGTGCTTACTTAGTCTGTAACGTAATTTTTAGACAAGAGCGCTAAGCCTTTGCAGTGCGTCATGACATGCACGATGAATCTCGGTTTCCAACTGCTTGGATTGAAGAAGTGGAGTTCAAAGTACATGATCTACTCGACAACTAGGTCCCCCCGCAGATCACCGGAGAATAGAGCTGCTGCTGCCAAGGCGAGAGTGCGAACAGTACGCGACTTGCTGGGTACATGGGCGATGCGGAGATGTCCAAGAAACGCCAATGGCATAACTTGAGAAACCAGGTAAAGGCTTACGCGATTCGCGCTGACATTTATGACGACGAATGCAGCGTTCGAGTGGCTTCTCAGGCAAAGTTTCGGTGTGGAGGCAGACTCCAAGTGAGGTAGTCCGGAAAGTAAGGAGATGGGATGAATGGGGCGGTGTCTGAGACAGTGATATACAACTACACAGCAACGAACAAGGGCTCGTATCCAGTAAGACCCTGGAATGTCAAATAGGCCATGTATAATCCTGAAACACTGCTACGGGGGGTGACGTCCACAACAGCTAGACGCCAAAGTCACCCTGCAAAGTCAGTTTGAGCAAGTCCTTTTCGACAATCTCGTGCCTGCGGCTCAACAGATTCTGCACACCCCAGTTTGCAGCGATGAAGCGGCCGCTGAGAAACCGAGCCTTGGCTTGACACAGCCAGACGGTGGTTCCGCCAACGAGGGCTGGGCTGTCGATGTTGAAGAGGCATCCGAATGGCTCACGCAGCATATCCGTGGCTACCAGGCCCGGATGCATGGATACGGCGTTTACGTTTGGGTACTCAGCCGCAACGTACGCGGCCAGCGCATCCAAAAGGAGCTTGCTCATCGAGTAAGCGCCCAGGGGCGGGACCGTGAAGAAGGATTGCCATGAGCTCGGATTGACAATTGTAGCGGGCGTGTCTGCATTGGGCAGCAGGCCCAGAAAGGAGCGAATCACGAGATAGTTTCCTTTTCCGTGGACCTCCTGAACACGAATGCGGTGTGCTGTTAGTATACTCATCTACGTGTTTGGCCCACTTGGTGTGGCGATACTGCGGGCGCACCGCGGATCTGGGGTACCTACAAAGTTTCTCTACCACGCTTCTGGGCTGGTCTCATGGAGCTTCGGCCCGTCTCCGGACATGGCTCCTGCGGCGTTCACGAGTACATCCGCATGTCCAAACTTGTGTTTGATCTGTTTAAAAGCAGTCTCCACCGCGCTAGGGTGGGACATGTCGAGGGCGCAGGTGAGTGTTTCGATATTAGAATTGGCTTCTTTAATCGACTGCTCTGTATTCGCGAGCTTGGACGCGTTGGTAGCTAACGGTACAATGCCCTTCACACCGGCTTTGACAAAAGCCGGTACCATTGCCTTTCAAGACGGGCCGTCAGCAAACCTTCCACCACGCCGGTCCACGGCGCGTGGGCCCATTCCCCCAAACTTACCAGGGTTCTGATTCCTCGTGAAGCGCCAGTGATGGTAGTAACTTTGCCGAATAAGCTGTGCTCCGGGAGGCTGAGATCAATGGCTGGATACGCGTCGTGATGGGCATTCTGTGTAAATTGTATAGACGTGACGAGAAAATCTCTTGGGAGGCTGCTCAAGTCTGCCATGATGCTGGTATATCTTGATTGAAAGGCGTAAAAGTCTCAGCCAGCGAGGGCTATGTGCGATGACAGTCGACGCTTCAGGGTTTGCAGACCCCACTACCAGGCTGTGATTGTCCGCTGCCATCTGGCTCTCCACTCGTCCGATGGAAACTGAGCTACGCATTCTACAGCCCAGCCCGCTTGTTCGTGATGGGCAGGTCGGCATCCACAGCTAGCGGTGCGGTTCGCTCGAGCGATACCGTATGCGGAACACGCTAGACCGAGTTAGTGCAAGTGGATCCCTATCTGTGAATGACCCAGCCACAGCCGAGATTGTCTTGAACGCCTAACTTGCAAAGCTGACTTTCATCGTCTTGGCATATCATCGGATTGTGCATCGGGTTCATCGGACATCTTATCATAGGCCAGGTACGTACCAGATTGCTGATGCTGATCATTTCACAGTGGTCCTGTAAGCAGAGATGTCAACAATCAAGCTCATCAAGCCGAGCTAACTTGATACAGTAATAGGCTAGCTTTTTTAGGCCTAATCATTACTATATCGCGTTAGCTCGGCTTGATGAGCTTGATTGTTGACATCTCTGCCTGTAAGTCAATGCTGAAGAGCATTTGATCAGCAAACGCAGTACCGCGCGCAATATGAACGCAATCAACCATTTTAAACTACAAACATCCGTAGAAATCAGTTCCACCAGACACACCTGAACTCTCCTGAATAGGCCTTGGAATGCCATGTGCGATTACGCTAACATGTAGCCAATCTGTCTTACGAACGCCCAGAAACCTTGTTGTAATTCGGGGCGTTTTCTCTTGGGCTGTGCCAAGCAGACAAGGACCGATCCCTTTAGTTATACAAAGCCACCCCCCATGATGCGGTTTCAGGTTCGCTCAGAGTTGATGCTGCAAGACAGTCGTGCTCCTGAGTCCCATCGTGAACATGACAATCCACAAGGTAAGTTGAAGCGCCCATGCTGAGCCCGATGAGATTACCAACTGTTACTCAGGATTTGGGGCCACGCCTCACCGCAATGGTGATTGTGACGGGGCTGCTGGCCTTCAGCTCCATGATCATGCGGGCATACGTCCGCATCACGAGGAGAAACTGGGGTATCGATGACTGGAATATGGCAATCGCATGCGTAAGTGTACAGCGCGACCCTCTGATGCCCGTGGAACTCACAAGACCAGCTACCTCTCTTTGTCCTGACTGGTTTTGGGGCCGCCGGATCGTATTATGGTATTGGTGCAAAAGACGGACTCTTCATGATATCTGAACATGAGGGAGACCTCGAAATCGCATACATGGCAAGTTGACTGAGGCCTCATGCGCATGGCAGTACGCTAACCATCCACAGTGTCTCTTCGTTTTTGAAATCGCCTACTGTGTGACTGTCATCTTTGTCAAGCTCAGTATTGGATTCATGCTGAACCGCATCGCTGAGCCAAGGAGACTGTATATTTGCATAAACAACCTCATTCTCATACTGGCTGTGAGCACCAATCTGGGCACGACCTTTTACATCATTTTCCAGTGTTACCCGATTCAGTATGGATTGACTGCCGGAACACGGCGGAAATAGTGCTAACAAACTGCAGAGCCGCATGGAAAGACGGTCTTATAGCTGATGGAGCTCGCTGCGAGTCTACATGGCACTTGGAGATAGTTTATTATGTTTGTGCTTCAGTCAATATTTTCACAGACTGGGCTACAGCTCTCATGTCAGCACATGCTGTCTCCTGTCTGGTTCCGTCGCTAACGTCCCGCAGGCCAATAGCACTGCTCTAGAATGTTCAGATGAACCGAAATACCAAAATCTCTGTCGCCGGTATCTTGAGCCTGGGTTTCTTGTACATGCACCCCCTTGGTGCCCTTTATACTACTAACGCCTTGTCAGTACTTCCATCTCGGGATTTGTCCGATTAAAATACATTCCCAAGTTAACAAGTGAAGAACACTTTGCATGTAAGTTCTGTTTGTTCAAAAATGAGTCTCCGCACTAAACAAGTCTCCAGACGGCCTAGGTCAGCTCCTCATCTGGTCCTATGCCGAACCCGCCCTCGGTATGATTGCTGGAAACATCGCTACGCTCCGTCCGCTCTTCAAACGCACGTTACATCTCGGCAGCGACAAACACAGCAAGCCCCAATCGCTCAAACCTCGCAGCTTCAGCCAAAACAGCCCCTCAGACTCATACCCGTCTTTTGAGGCCGAGCTCGAGTCTCGCGCCGTATTAGACAAGGAAATCCGGCTCACATTCGCTGATCCAAGCCAAGGCGTCCGAAGCAGCGTTTCGACCGATCTGGATAGACAACCGCGCATTGGAGACATGGCGGATGATGTAGAATTGATATCAAGGCAGAAAGATTGTATCTTGGTCAGTCACGAGGTGGAAGTGCATCGCGAGTGAGATGGACACGAAGCATGAATTCTTGCCTCTACCGTGCTTGGACAAATTATTTATCAGCACGCCTCCTTATCGCTCTGTTCCCAGAAACCTGTCTTCATGGACACCAAACCGCCGATTTCACCGTCCGAAAACGCCGTTCGAGAGCCCCGGGACATAGCTGGTCTTTCCAGACAAACTTACCACAGCGACGCGCAGGGGAAAAACTATGGTAGTAGAACTCATCTGGATTTCCATATGGCGGGACCGTTGCATATGCTCAGCTTGGAACATGAGCAATTCAGACTGAGCATCACTACATACGCAATCGCGTCAACCTCGGCACCACACAATACCGATTTATCTTCTCCAGGCATGTGAAAGCGAGAGAGAGAGAGAGAGAGAGAGAGAGAGAAGAAAGGTACAAGCGAGTATACATGTGCGTGCGAGCAAGCAAGCAAAGAATGGAGGAGGAAAATATCAAGAGAAAAAAAAAGTAAAAGTAAAAGAGGAGAGAATGGAAATACCAAGCCTATTCATTTGCGGCCGTGTCGAGGATATTTACGTACGTAGGTATTCATCTCATGCATTTCATTGATCCTGCTCCTCCTCCCGTGCCATCGTCTTTTACAATACTCATGCGTATGTCCGGCAGCTCGGACTGGTTGCGAATGCGACTGTGAATGCGACTGTGAATGCGACTCTGAATGCAACGCCCTTGGCACCAAATGCAGCTATGATTAAGAATGACATGACACTGATGGATTGGTACCCCAGGAACCCGTCTGAAATCTGAAACAATGTGGTATCCATGTATGTAAGTATTGCATTTGAGAAACCAGGCAAGACACTCGGTTAGTAGCAACATTCCACACAAGAGCACAGCGTGACAGGCAAGCATCAAGTTATCAGTGCATTCTAACTGAACGAAAATAATACACACATAGACATTTTTTCCGTCATCCACACTTGAAACTCTTTTCATCGCATAAATCTTGCTTCTCGTGACGCAAAAAAGACGTTGTTCTGGGATTGCAGTTGGCATGCCTAAGCAAGGTCCTGCTATCGTCGGCGGCACGACCGTATCACAAAAGCCCGCCACTTTTAGTTGCAAAAAAAAAGTGCGAATGGGGAGATGAAGAGAATAAACAAGAAAAGAAAGAAAAGTACATCAAGAGTACGGGATGGGAAAGAGATGCCCGTAGGAGAAAAAACTGAAATCCTTCTACCGGTCCAGTCCTCTCCCTCATGACGTTGGAAAACATGACGAACTCGAGGAAAAACGGGCCAAAAGCAAAAAAAAAGCCCAGGAATACCACCCATGGCGCTCATGAAAAGGCCTGTGCTATGGGTCAGCTTCCCCTTCATATCCGTAACGCCGTCGTGTTTGGTAGAGCCGTAATAAGCATGCGCATGAAATCAGTCGAGGCTTTTAATAGTCCGCAATGGTTTGAACACCCAAACCCATCTGCCAAAGACCCGCCACTCGACAACAAGGAAACTTTTGGAATCCGCCAGTCTTGAGAGTTGCAGTAAAGAAACCCCACAAAATGCAGAACAATGCGCGCTGAGATGCCCCCGTCTATGCAACGAAACAAGCGATTAGATTACCGCGTGCGGTATGGTCTATGGGTATAACCGTCACGCGCTTGAACGAAGAAAGGTAATCACTCGGATGGCTTGGCCTCCGGTTCGGCAGGCGTCTCTTCTGGCGGGTGTGATGAAGAGGCGGCCTCGCCGGCATCTTCGTTGCTAAGGGCTGCTAGCGCACTGCCATATGTTAGTGAATGCGTTGTACTTGTATCAGTCATTGACGTACCTGAAAGCGTTTGCGTGGGCATTGGAATCCTTCTCCTTCTGCACAGGGGGAGTGCCGGTGCGCGATGAGGCACCAGAGTCCTCACCACCACGGCCCATCATGCCAGGGCCGAGACCGCGGCGGCCGCTGCCGCTACGGCTGCCGAGCATGGATGGACCAAGCGCACCAGGGTTGTTGAGGTTGCGGCCAGAAGCGCCCTTGGAAAGCTTGCGGAGGTCGTCCATCTGCACGCGGCTGCCAGTGTCTGGAGGCGGCTGCATACCAGCACCAGAAAAGGAGCGGGCGTCGCCACGGCCCATTGGGAGACGGCCACCACCACCGCGCTGGTTCGAGCGTGTTCGCTCCATCTCGGCAGCCTGTTGAGCCGCCATAGCCTCTTGATGAATTTCGGCAATGGTCTTGGGGCCCTTGAGGGTGTCCTTGGACTTCCATCCAGCCTTGCGCAGGTCGACGGTATCGAGCAACATAAAATGCATACGCGAGGGAAGGCCTTCCATGTTCATGACCTTCTCGATGCGCTCAAAGTACATGTTGATCATCTTGGGGCCAGCCTCGGCAGACTCCATGGTGGCACCGACAGTGCGGAGCAACTTGACCAAACTCTCAATGGCGGCCTCATCAGGAAGACCCTCAAAGTCGAGGAGCTTGAGCACACACTCGTGCATGATTCGCAGCGTCAACATGCCTAGCTTGTACAGCTCTCCGATGAACTGAATCAGACCGAGACCCTTACGCTTGGCGGCAGCGGCGACATAGTACTCGTCCGAAAGCAGCTTGGCCTCCTTGCCGTCTTCGGGAGCGTCGGGGAGGTTGACTTCCCAACCACGCTCAAACTCTTCCTGACAGCGGTTGAGGAGGTACTTTCGGAAGAGGGCACCGCCAACGACGGGGTTGCCGTGCTTGTCGCGGACGTTCTCGTCCTTGATCTCCGTGCTCATAGTCTGCAACATGCGGCTGCAGAACTTGGCATACATGGAAGACCAGTGGCTCTCGTCGCAGGCCTTTTCAAAGGTGAGCTGGATGACTTGACGGAGGGTGCGACCGTCAGTCTCGTCCTTGGATTGACCGGCAATCTCAAGAATCTGGTCAGAGATCTTGTCAAACTTGTCGGGTGTCATCTTGTTCAGCGCAGCCTTGACCTTACGCTGTACCATGTCCGGAGGCATGTGTCCAGCAGACTGTTGGGCAGCTTGGGGCTGAGTAATCGATGTGGGGACCCATCCAGTCTGCGAGCGTTGGAGGGCCTTGACCTCCTGGCCTGCAGTCAAAGGCATAGTCTTGGCGTCCTGAGCAGTGGCGTTGTTACCGCCGCGACGGCTACCGCCTCCCTTACCACGAGAGCTGCCAACACGGGGAGAGTTGGGGCCGTGAGGCATGCTCTGGTAGGAGCTGGTACGTGCCATGGGGGGTGCCATGGGGAATGCGCCACCGCGACCTCCACCTAGAACGACATGAGCAAGAGGATTCGTCATAGAGCCACGTCCACCTTGGGCTTGCTGGAAACGCTGTTCGGATGTCGTACCTGGTGGGAGTGTGCGACCTCCCAGTGGACCGCCTTGTCCAAAATTGCCCATGCTACCACCAGCACCGGGGCCTGAACGAGAAGGCTGTCGGCCGCCGCCAATCATGGAGCCAGGACGGGCTGATGGAGGACCGCGGGCTGAAGCAGGCTCATCGCCAACAGTCTCCTTCAATTTCAGATCCCAGTCAACAGAAGGCTTCTCCTTGAAGACGTCCTGGAACTGCAGCAAAAAGTCCTTGTCGTACTGGCGACCCTTGCTCCTGTTGCTGTTGTTCAGAGCCGGGTTGGGGCTGGCAATGCCTTGCGGGTACTGAATCTCGTTGCGGACCTCGAGGAAACGTGCCGTCTTGAGCGCTTGCATGCCGGCAGTGGGCTGTGCAGGCTCGACAGACTTGTTCGTCTCAAGCTTGAGGGCAGCTGGCTTGGGCTTGGTGCCAGTGGGTGTCTTGGATGGCGCAGGCGCCACTACTGGGGCCACAGGCTCCTCAGCCTGCTGCGAGGCACCCGGACCGAACATGGTGTTCTTCTTGAGGCTGGCAAAGAGCTCCTTGTCCTTGGCCTCGCGTTCGGCCTTTTGCTCAGGAGTCTCTGCTGCACGGGCTGCCTCGGCCTCTTCAGCTTCACGCTCGAGCTTGCGAAGACGCTCCTCCTCTTGCTTAATCTTCTCAGCAGCGTTGGCCTTTTCAGCCTCGGCCTTGCGCTTCTTCTCTTCTGCGTAGCGCTTCTCGTCCTCTTCACGCTTTCTCTCTTCTTCTTCCATCTCTGCAATCATACGCTCCATTTCCTCATCTTCTTTGCGCTTCTTCTCCTCTGCGTCCAGCTCGGCCTTCTTCTTAGCTTCAGCCTCCTCCTTCTCCTTGGCCTCAAGAGCAGCCTTTGCCTCTGCCTCTTTCTCGGCAGCAAGCTTAGCGCTGGCCTCAGCCTTGGCCTCGTCTTCGGAAGCCTCCTTGGCCTTCTTCTCGGCTTCTTCCTGGAGGCGGAGTTTCTCCTGGAATTGCTTGACAAAGTCGGCCTTCTTAGCAGCAGTGTCTTCAGCCTTTGTGGCATCAGACGCGCTTGGTGCACGAGGTGGCGTGGGCGTGGCAGCAATGGCTGGTGACCTAGGAGCGGCAGGTGGTGCAGATGCGGCAGCAGATGGCGCGGGTGATGAGCCCTTGGGCTTGTTGAAGTCAACGACCTCCCCATCCACAGTCTTGATGATAATGGCCTTGCTTGCCCGCTTGGGACGCTCAAAGCTTGTAGTAGGAACTGGACTGGCAGACGTCATGCTAGGAGTGTGCGTGTGTGAGATGTGGTTGACGTTGGTCATCGCAGGGGTGGATGGCTGTGGAACGGCAGATGACGGGCGCTCCGACATGTTAGAGGGAGAGCGGGACATGCTCTGAGCCTGGGGCTGGTGCCCATAGGGAGCGACGCCATAGGGAGCCGGCTGCATCTGTGGAGGGAAGCCATGGCCACGACCAGGGCTAGCAGGGACACCCGGGTAGTGGATGGACTGTTGCAATCCATAACCTTGGCCCTGTGGATAAAAGTTGTTGTATGGATCAAGGCCGGGTTGGGGCATACCGTACATGTTCTGCATGGAGATGATGGTTAAAATTTTTCATGATATAGAGTTAAATAATGGGGGGCAAGAAAAGCGGAGGAAAAGTGTTGAGTATCGTTCAAGAATGACTCTTTGCCATTTGCCGAACCGTGGCACGACAAAAAAAAGCAAAATAAGCGGAAGTGTAGGGGTCCGTGGTTCAACAGAAAAAAATGAGCCGGACTGCGGATTTCGGCAAAGGAATGATGGAAAACAAACTTGGTAAGAAATTTACGAACCTGCTGAGCATATGGCTGTCCCTGGTAGTACGGCATTCCCTGTGGGTTGGCAAACTGCTGCTGTGTATGCATAGTAGCGGGCGTCATGGCGGGGCTGCGGTTTTGCGTGTATGGAGAACGCTGCGCCATCTGGCCAGGAGGCTGGAATGGGGGGGTCATACCGCGGCCCATCTGCTGAGGCATGGAGCGATATGGCTGTGGCGAATGGTTGGCCATCTGCGGGTTGTAGTGGCCTTGTGGGTATCCACCGCGGCCTCGGCTAGGAGGGTAGCCTCGCCCCATGTTTGCGTTGCTCATATCGCTGTGCGCTGACTGCGACGACTCACGGCGTAGATGCTGAGCTTGGGGGTGTGCGTGCGAGTTGGGCTGAGGAGGCATGGCAGGACGGGCCTGTAATTGTATTAGCATGTGAGGCTGAGAGGGGCGGGGGTGCGCAAACTTACGTTGGACTCTGTGCCTTCACCGCCCTGACCACCAAAGACCAGGTTTGGGCGAGTGGGCAATCCGTCGGGCTTGGGGCCTCCGGAAATGGGCGTGGGAATAGGCGATGGCGAGTGCGCAGGAGAGGCAACGCGAGGATTCTGGGCCTGGGGATTCAGGTTTCCCTGTACGACGGGCGAGGCGTGGGCAGGCGCTGGCGAGCCGGCAAGCGATCCAAACTTGATGCCAGAGGGAGGCCCGCCAGCAGTGGCGACAGGCGGCGTCTGCTTGATCTGAACCGAGGACTTGCGCTCGTGGGCGTTGGCATTGCCGTTGCCGTTGGGGCCGCCACTGACAATGGTGGGCATGGCGGGAATGGCGGGCTTGATGGCGCTGTTGCCATTCACGGGGGAGACAGACGAGCTTTTGCCATGCTGCGCGTTCTGTGGTGCTCCCACTGCCACGGGCGGGGTTGCGCTAGACACGATCGCGGGTTTGGTCGCGTTGGCGTACGAGCTCCGGGCAGCGGGTTGCGCCGATCCAGCGGCCACGGTGGCGGACGATCCTGAGGAGGAGTTGTTCGCGGTCGTAGACGAGGAAGCGGCGATGGGCGGGGTCTGCGAGTTCGAGATGGAATTACTCATGGACTCGGTGGGCGGAGGGAGGAGGGCCGGTGTGAGGATGCGGATGGCGGGCTACGCAATGGCGCTGGTGGTGGGTAGGGGCCGGATGACGTTTTGTCGCTGGAATCGCAGATCCGAGCGAGCAGGAGGCGAGCGGGCTTCTGCGGTATTAATGAGTTGCTGAGAGACAGCGACTCGGGCGGGGCAGAAAAGAGTGTCGTCCGCTGAGGCGAAGGGTAGAGGTCAACTCCTTATGGCAAGGGCGTTGGAGGCTGTGCGAGCGCTTCAATGAAGAAGGAGTCTCGACAGGAATCCGTGTCCGGAGTGGGGAAAATGGACTTCGACGAATAAATTCGTGAAATCAGCAAGCAAGCGGCTCCTGTGAAGATCACCGAGTCCGCTGCGTTTCGAGTTGCTAGATGTTCTCGCTATGGAGAGACGGGTGTGTGGAGGGACGGCGGTTGTGCTCTTTCGAAAATTGTTTGAGTGCCAGGCTAAGCCGCAACAAGGATGTTGGCCTAGCCGAGCCCTTGAACGCCCGCCCCAACACTTGCACTTGGTTGCTTGCACCTGGCCGCGATGCTGCGCTGCACACATGCGCTGCGGTTTGCTTTGCCTGGCCTTGCCTTGCCGCGTTGCATCTGCTTGCCTGTGAGTTGCTACGCTGCCATTGCTAGCATTGGCCTGCGCGCGGCGGACACGGTGTGCGCAGGCAGTCGTGCCTTCCTGCCTCAGATCAGGCGGGCAGGAGCGAGGTGGGATGGTGGGCCTGCCTCTCCCACTCCCACTCCCACCACGGCCGCGGCCACGAACTACACACGACGCCACGACCACGACAGACGCGGGCAGGACGGCATGAGATGGCATCGAGCGCTGCTCCGCCACACTGGCCTCGCTGCGATGGTGACTCCAACGAGGGCACGCAGTGGTGATTGGCTGCAGCGACGATTCAGCGCGGGGGAGCCGGCACAGCAAGCATGTGTCAACAGGCAAACACGGTTGATTATGCTATCAGCTATCACTACAGCACTGTCCGGCGCCCAGCATCGTGTATATGTGTACGTACCATGTCAACGGCGTCCTCGTAGGCCTCGATGGCGTCGTCCAAACAGCAAAGCCTCATGCATGTCTTCTGCTGGTCCTTTGCAAACGTGTGCCCAGGGAGAATGCCAGCCAACACCATGGCCGCGGCGACGTGTAAGCTTCACCACTCGCACATGCAATCCGCCGCCGCCGCATCACCCCGCCACAGCAACACGGCGCAAATTTGCGGATGGACTGACGCAGACGTTTTTTTCTCGCCCCCCATGCACAATGACGCCGGCCATTCACATGAAAGACAATGTCCGCTTAACTCCGGCAGCCGTCATCATGTGATATCACCATGTGTGTCTATCGATAACGCCCCTCACTTGTCCAGATGCGCCGTGTCCATGTCCGTCTAGTGTAATGTCATTCCCAAAGATCAGAGTCGACTCTGTGGCACGAATCAAGGGCGGTACGAATCAAAGGTCGATACATGGCCGGGTGCGTTGAGTCGAGGAAAAAAGTATAGTAGGTACGGTACCATTTGCGCGTCCAAGCGGGGTGAGCACTGATGCCTTGTCAATACCAAGTATTATTTAGTGTACTCTTTAGAGTACATATTCGAGCTGCTTACCCACTGCTGGCGCCCCACTAGCCCTCATCGCTCCAAGGCTAACACTACTCACCAGTAGCTACCATTGCATTTCCATGCATCTGATGCACTTGGATAGAGAAGACTGACCACCACCACAACATGCCAACGCCAATCCTTGCCAGGGCCCAGCTCGCAGTCAAGTCATTGTCCACAGTCAAGCCATTGTCCAGTCAAGCCATTGTCCAGCCAAGCCATTGTCGGAACCTTTTCCTGCCTCCTCAGACCAAGCTCTATGCCGCAGTCGCACAGCCGGCTAACCCAGAAGCCGACAGTAGGTACCATGATGCTGTCATGCAACTTGCCATGTAGTGCCGTTGGCTGCACCCAGGCTGCGGGTTCCTGGAACCCTGCGTGCGGGCTGGATGCAGCAAGCCGCAACGGCAGGCGCGGAAACATGGCAGACGGCGTGTCAAGGAACAAAGACGCTGTGAGACCCTTTGGACTTGCTGTACGTCTCAGACCTGACGTTTCGCTGCATGCACGCGCGCCTTTGTTCCATGCCGGTACACAAGCACCACGTCCGGGGCCTGTTGTGCTGCGGCAGGACGAGGGTAGCCATGGCTGTGTGGGCGTCTTCTCTTGCTCCATCAAAGTCCCGTCGCCTGCATCTTGCACTACCACGTCACTCGCGTGCTGCCGGCTCATGCACTGGGCCGTTGGTCCGTCGTCATAGGAAACGGGAGATTTGGGCGTCTGCTTTGCTTCTTCGAGACGAAACTCTGGCGGCTCCCAAGGAGACAAAAACCCCACCTCTCATGGGCATGCGCACTTGGACGACCTCGGCGAAGTGCTGGCGGTCGCTTGGTGGTGCTGCGCCAGAAAAGCCGGCGGCTGTGACAGAGGAGCGCTCCATGCGAATGGCCCTAGACGTGCGCCTGCGCCTGCGCCTTTGGGGGAGGGCCATGGTTTAAGAGCGCGAGCCCGGGCGAGCAGTTGAAGCAGCTTCCGCATGTCGTAGGCTGCGCCGACGGCGGATTGCAGCTGAGGGCGAGTCAGAAAAGGACTTTTTGGTTGATGGCGCAAGCCTACCGCACCGCCCTCGGATCGCTGGCCGCTGGTTGACCTCGTATCCTTCCATGATCGGCCCTGCGCCGTAACAGCGCATGTGCGCAGCGCAACGGCTGAAGAACCACGCTCGGGCACTAGCAACGCCTCGCAATCCTTTGGCGAAGTGTAGTAGAACGGACAGACCACAAGTCAAAACCAACGTCGCATGAGCCTCTGCTGCGAGGGGGGGCGGGGAGAGGCGGGGCAGGGTCTCATGCTGTGTATGTCTTGGGCTGGTGTTGTTGTTCTGTTTTTTTTCGTTTTTTGCCACAGATAGCGGCGGCGGCTGCAGAGGGAGGGGAGCGGGGAGCTAGGTGTAGGGGGGGGGGTGGGCAGTCGGGCGAGGGAAGATGTGTGTGGGTGGTGGAGATGGGCGATGCACGAGGGAAATGAGATTGGGAAGGTGGTGTGGTGGTGGCACTTTCCCTTTCCCACTGTCCCGCCTGGTGTGTGTGTGTGTGAGTGTGTGTGAGTGTCGGCCTGCAGCATCCCGCCCCGGCCCTTTGCTTGTTCTGGGCGGGTGCCTGCTACACCTCCCCAGCCCACACGCGCACCCATCCACACCCATCCACACCCGCGTTCGCCCGCACAAGCACAAGCACAAGAGAAAAAAAAAAGAAAAGCATGAATGCCCAATGGCTCCCGGCGTGGCCATGCGCGTCAGCCTGTTCCAATACGTCGCTGCATCTCGCTTCCTCAGCCGACAGCAGCTGCATGTGCGTGCGTGGATGTACTGTGTGTGTGTGTGTGTGTGTGCGCTGGGGACGCGGTCTCGACTGACATCATGGCGCCCGGCGCTACCAGAAAGCCGTCGGACCCCTGCCCACATGTGGATCCGGCCGCCTGCTGCCTGCTGCGCTTTCCCTTTCCATTTCCTTCTACCCGCCCGACCACCGCCCACGTGACCTGGCCTCGCTTTCACGGCGGCAATGCCTCCTCGTCCCTCCGCACCCCATGAGAAACGCCCGCCATCAGACCCAACGAGCCACCTCATCGCACGCGCGGAACTCTGGTCCGCCCGCGGCAACGCCATCCTCCGAGCACTCCACCAGTGCACTGGCTCTCTCGCTCTCGCTCTCGCTTTCTCGCTCTCTCGCTCTCTCACTTGCTCACTCACTCACTCACTCGCCCGCTCGCCATACATCTCTCCACCATCACCACTACCACCACCACCACCACCATCACTACCACCACAGGCCCTGCCCACCATCCTTGCTGGCTTCCACCAACCCCCAATGGCGGCTGGGTGGCACCGGACCTCGAGACGTACTCCGCATTTTGCCCATGGGTGGGTAAAAAAGTTCCTGTCGAACCAGCGGGTATTCAGCCGGGATGACTAGCACCGCATGTCAGTGGCAGGGTTCCTTACTCATCTTCAGGCACGTCGTTCCGGACTCCTTCGCCCATGATGGCGCGCGCGCGTTGCTCGCATGTACCTGCACCACCACGCCCCCCTTTCATCTTACACGGACAATATTAGATCTGGTACCGCTCGTTTCCGGCTGCCGGTAAGCTCGTCGCCAGCACACGACGTCGCTTGTGCAGAGCCATCGTGTCCGAGGCCAGGTGGTGAACGTGCGCTCGCTGCGCCTAAAAGCAGCGGCAAGCATGGCACTAGCCAACGCTCGTGCTGCTGGCCGCTGGCCGCTGCCAGGTCTACTAGCTGCTGGCTGCACCACATGATGCGCTCCGCACGACGTGAACGGTAGTCGTGGGTTCGGTCGGAATGGCGTACCGCATTGCGACGTCCGTGACCCTACGACGACGTACCATCATCTTGGCTGTAGCTTCGCTGTCACCCGTCCTGAGTCGCGCGTACTCGACATGGCGCCTGCCGGACCCCTCCATCGATATGTGCCCGAGGCTAACAAGCTTTAACTCACCAGGACAAGCTGCTAGGACTGTCACTAACGACGCGCCCATCACACCGCCACCGGGAGCCATGCACAGCGAGCCTCATCGCACACTCATGTCGAGTAATAGGCCGATCCGTCGAGATCACACGCATCGCCTCACCTCCCGTACCAAGACCGCTGGCTGCAGTCTGCGCCCCTCGCCCATTTGCACTGCCGTGTGTGTGTGTCGCGCTAACACTGTCGCCCATACATTTCGCAACCCTTCTCGAAGGACCATGCTTGGAAGAAATCGTCTTGGTCCCAATCACCCAATTCGCCCGCCTAGTCCCCACCCCCCGGCAGTGCCCAGCCTGGATTAAGCCTAAGATCTCCCCTCTCCTCTATCCTTACCGGCTTTGGCACTACCACCGAGGCCCGCGGCTAGCTGCTCAATCTAAGCAGAATGATGCCAGCAGCAGCCGTTTAATAACTCTAATCAAGTTAAGATCCACACCTAGCATTGTGTTCCTCGCGAGATGCATAACCCCAGTCCACAGCCTGTCAGCCAGAACGCCAACCGATGTACGAGATTCATATCGGAGCGAGCATCACGCAGCCACTGCCCTCTCAGCGCCCTCCCCCCCCGGCCGTATGCCCATCATTCGTATCCACTCCCGACTTGCATGTCTGCTCTGCTCTATGCACTGCAAGCCACATAGCATACCGAGCCCATCAAACGCACCTGATCCATTGACCCCAGGTCTTATTTTTCCCCGCATAATGCATAGTGATCTTGCAAAGCCCATACACACCACGAGGGTGTGCACAAATGCATGACTCGAGAGAAGAAAGCGAACACACATGGAACAATGGATAGTGCTGCACTGAATACCACATGCGGTATACAATGTGCATTCACCCGATTGCCCCCCTCTCCACACTCCGAAGGATCTGTCCGCCAGTATGCAGCACTAATCCACACGCTCATCTCCACACCTTGTTCTCCAGCGGCGCCAGAATCCTTGCATTTCCAGCAATGCACAGAGTTAGCAGCATGTGCTACCCACACCAAAACAAGAAAAGCGACGATGCTCATCACCGATCGCTGCCACCCTACCGCCAGACCCAGACCCTCTGCTCTTTGGCCGTTGCTGCCGCCCTTGTCCCTGGCATTAATCCATCTGTTAGCCATGCTCTCGTTCAAATCAACCACTCCCTGAGTGCATCAACCAGGTAAGGGACCTACCTCGCCAATGAAGAGGCAAAGGACAGGTCCAGCACCAGCACCTCGTGACAGGAACAAACAGGCACAATCGAAGCATCCACCGGCAGACATTAGCCACTGCACCTAGCAGCCCACACCTCTCGCAACACACACCTCAGTCCACATGCATCTCCGAAACCGCGTGCAAGCACGCATGTAGCCCTAAACTCTTTTCTTCTCGTCCCATCCGCCTTGCCCTTTTGTTCCTTTCGCTTGCCCCCCGGTGGCCATTTATCCAGCCCCAGCCCCACGTATGCACGACAGCAGCACTCCACGGTTCCTGAGCCTCAAAAGCCGAGATTTAATCTATGTACTTCTTGGGGTCTGGGGTAAAAGAAGAAAAGTGTGGAGTCAGACCACCACCACCACCACACGGACCAGGGTTATCGTGAACATGGGTGAGGGGCGAGGCGGACACGACCGTCTTCTTTTTCGCTTCTTCGCTTTTTCTTGCCGACTTACCGTCTCGCTTGATTTGGACTGTGCCCAAGGGAGGTGAGAAGATGATGTAGGTTGTCTTGATGAGAAGATGAGCATGAACAGGAGCATGATGAGGTCAGGTAAGCACATAACCAACACACCCTTGCATAAACTTTTAGAAGCACAAAATGAAGCCTCAAAGGGGGGAAGATCAGTACAACATCCATCATGAACGGTGTACCGCACATATCCAGATACCCGTAGCAAGACCAAACAAGACCAAACCAGTAATGATCGTCACGACGGAAGTCAAGCCGCTTGGTCAGGATAGGCTGGATATGCCACTGGGTTCATCGAAGCCGGTTCCTGCGCATTCTGGAAGAAAAAAACAGGAGTGGGAAGGATGAAGGAGGGTGTGCAGTACTGAGCCGCCGGCTAACCAGCATTTTGGCGTGCAGAACAAGGGGAAAACAGCGGGGGAGTGTGGTGTGCGAGGGGGTTCTGGTGGTGCGGGTATATTCCTACGGGGTGTTTTTTTTTCTTTCTGCGTGATCAGGTGTTTATTGTACACCGTTCAGAAGGCACATGTCAGATGGTTCGTTGGAGCAGCAGTGCAGACTTGGCTTGGCTTTGAGGCTTTTTATCCTTTCTTACCTACGCCCTACGCGTCGACATTCATACATGTGTATGTGTGTGGGCGAGAAAGTGCACCGCACGTCCGCGGTGAATGTACATGACGGTGATGCAGCAAACGAAGCTGTCTACTTGGCGAGCGCAGACCGCGGGAAACCATTATCTTGCGTCGGTAAGCCAGAGACTTTGCTATTTCCATGAACACGAGAAGGAAATACATGCACACTACCAGATAGACCTTGCCCGATTCTTTGTTCGCCCCCTCCCTCCCCTCCCTACACCCCCTCTTCACCTATTCATCCAGCCATGCATGCTATCCACCCATTCATCCACGCCCCCTCTCTTCCTCTTCCTCTCCTTCCCCTACCATCAACCCACCACTTTTGCCAAGCTCGCCCGCCCGGGTCCTCGGGACAATTCCTCTGCGAAACAGCATCCACTGCCGGTGTTAGCGCTCTGGCACTCTCCATGCCCCCCTGCACCTGTCTGACGTGACATCGGTCATGTTCGCCTATGCCGACCAGCACATTGAGTCGAGTCGAGGTCGAAGCGAGTCGAGTCCACCATGCAGAAGCGTCGACTCGACTCGACTCGAGTGCGGTCCAGTCCAATATTTTTTTTCGCCCGACCAACAAGCGCCCGGGTCTTGGCAATTCACCCACGTAACGCAGCGTCCACCCTCCCCCCCTTCTCGCTTGGCCGCCGCCCCAGAGTCAGGTACGCTACGCTACCGGCTGCGTTTTACGTACGTAGATAAAATCAGATGGTCCGACGGCACCGGGACCGGGATCGGAGATGGGCGTTTAGATGGGAGTGCGAAACAGCAGGACAAGAAAAAAAAATTCAGAGTCAAGATGCGCTGCATGACCGTGGTCGTTGGCCGTTGGCCGTTGGCCGTAAGACCGTTGGCAGTGGGCCGCCCATGACTATGTATGTATGCAAACGTCACACCATCGGGAGGGCCCAGATGCAAACGTGCTCGACGCGCACAAAAAAAAATGAAACAGGGCGAAACGTCATCTTGTGGATGCTGCAAAGTACAGCGTCCATTGTTGAAGAGTAGTAACGTGGTGCTATCTCGACTCGACTCGACTCGACTCGACTCGACTCGTTTTCTGTCCAAGTACATGGATACGCTACGATACGCTACGTACGGGTTACGCTACAACCACGCCAAGTGTTCCGTATACCATCTCTCACAGCCATAGCATTCTCCTTCCTATCTCAACCATTACTCGTCGGCCCGGTACGTTTCATGACCAGCATGACGCGGTGCTCCCTTCATCTACGTAGCCATGTACGTCAGACGTGGTGTGTGCGCTTGTATGCACGTCAGGTCAGTAACTCGGTTGATAGTGTTTCTTTTTTGTGTTTGTGTTATTTCCGCCGTGGGGACGGCCATGGCAAGGCGGTTGGGCGGGAGATCGGGGAGTTCGTCCGTTGGATGGGTAGATGGATGGATGGAGAGTGCAAGTCCTATACATGTATACATACATAGAGATATACATATGTATATACAACTAGATAGCTAGTTAGCTAGCTAGTTACCTACATACATACATACATACATACATACCAACAAACCAACCAACAAACCCACATACCTTTGCCACTCACTCACTCAACTACCCAGCCCATCCCACCCCCCAAACCACCAAGAAAACCCGCGTATATTCCCACCCACAGACCCAGCCAGTCTTCCGCCCAGCCCTCCAACCTCTCGGTCCTTTCCTTGCACTCGCCCCCTTTCCTCGCCCCATTCGCCACTCGCATTCGCATCTCCGCGCACTCTGTCTCATACACAAGCGCCATTGTTCGGCGGAGCCGCAGAAAGTCTTGGTTTCCGAGGCTCTGTCTCTGCCAGGCCTGCACGACACACACACGAGTCACTCGAGTTAGGGGGGGTGGGGGGGGGTTATTTTAGATTGAGGCGAAGGCGAAGGCGAGGGTTGGGACTAGTGGCTGTGTGATTAGTATGGCGAGTGACTGACTGACTAGATTGCACAAGGCTGGGACACACACACACACACACACATGCACTTTACACGCACGGCACTAGGACAAGACGGACGAGCGGGTGGATGGGATAGTAGTGTCACGATGTGCGGATACGAGGTCTGGGTATGGGTATACATGTACACACTATAGCTAGTTAGTTAGTTAGCAGTCGAGTGGGTACCCAGCGGGCGTTGGATGTACATGGTGATTATTTTAGTCTCGGGTTTCTTGGGCTGGGCAACACGCGCGTACCTAACTAACTAAACCAACTTACTACTCTAACTGATACTATCAAGTGCGTCCGGGAATAGCAGGCGTGGATTGCATGGCCATGGCCATGGCGAGTACGACACTAGTAACACCAGTGATCGTGATGATGCTGGGGGTTTTTTTTTCGTTCAAAGGAAATAGGTTAGCGGAGGCTCAAGGGCGGAGGATTTCGTAGTGAATGCAGCATGCATGGGTGGATAGATAGATAGATACGAACGAGTTGAATGTACATACATTTACACTAGATAGACGGAAAAACTCCCCCCCCCTTCCCCCCCCCCCAAAAAAAAAGTCAGACTGACAGAGAGAGAGACTGAGAGAAAGAGGGAAGGGCGGGCGCCCTGCATCATCGCCAAGCCCCGCGATACCGCTAACAACCCCCTCCCCTCCCCTCCCCTCCTCCCTTGTCTCCTTGTTGGTTGGTTGGTTGGTCTTCTTCTTTTTTTTCGTGCTCACTCCCCCCCTCCCATGTTTAGTTCCGTCTGGGCAAACGTTGGGTGTGCTTAGCTAGCTGGCTAGTTGATTAGTTGATTAGTTAGTTAGCTAGCTAGTTAGTTAGTTTGGTACATGGATGTATGTATGTATGTATGTATGTGTGTATGTATGTGTGTATGTATGTGAGTATGTGTGCCAGCCTGGTACTTACTTTCCTTACTGTAAGTACCCAAGTTCCTTAGCGCTCAAGGACTCGACACCTTGGCGGGAGCACCAAGTAGATGCAGAACAACTAAAGTAAACCCAGAAATGCGTCCAAAAACTACTACTCCTACTCCTACTCCTACGTACTCATACATGCTGTGTGTGTGTGAGTGGGGGGGTGGGCATGGATTTACCAGGTGCTGGGTTACAGTAGGGCCGGTTTTTTTTCTACCTCTTTGCATGTTTTTTTTTCAAATTCAGGAACAGCAAACATGGGTGTTTGGACATGTCGGTGCTATACAATGCCCGTGGGTAGATTAAAACAAAAGGATAAGGATGATGATTGATGGGTGTGTGGGTTTTTTTTTGGACGTAAGTAGGGCTGGGCTAGGCTGGGCTGGGCTGGATTGCGGGTTCTGTGGCGAAGGCCATGGCAATGGTAAGCAGAATGAGTCCAGCCCTGTTATTTTTTTGGGAGGGGGGGGGGCGGGAGGCCAACGTATGGATGTGGGTGTGGGTGTGTGCATACTACACCTACTTATTTCTATCTAGTTTTTACCCTAGGATTTTCTTACACAAGGGGACGGATAAGAATTGTTCAAGCACGACACACACACACACACA